ACACAGCGGTGAACAATGTTTGGATCCAGAGTGATCTCGTCTCGGGAGAGCTCAGTGAGAAGTTTAAGGGGTCAGAGAGACGGAAGATAACGAGTTTGGTCAGGTAAGTTATCCCGTTCTATGTGAGATAAGTCCATATGCGTTTGCCCCAGTAGCGTGAGCTCTACTAAATAAGACTTTTCCAGTGCTATCGTCTCGCCATGTTTTCATATCAAAGCAACTATCGAGTGTTCAGGGATGAAATCAGCCACTTTGAGGGCATCGGAATGCTCAAAGGAGCGATTAAATGCCATGGAAGCTTCCTGTACAAAGGCTCCGGTGATGGAGATTACAGGGAATGCCACATCCTTTCTGAGGGTGTCGAACAAAGTCTTCATGATCTCCTTGCCTCGGCAGCAGCACCAAGTACAAATCTCGAAATCGTCAACTCTTGGACTAGGATTTTCGGTGTGGCCGAGACTTTATCTGACCTGGAGAAAATGGAGTACAAATTTCCAAATGGAAAAGTCGTGCTGTCAAAAGGGTACGTTGCTGAAGTCAATTGTATGGTCACATCGCTGATTCTTGCCGGATAATCCAGATGGCATGGCTATACCGACCCCAACAGTATCTTCTGGGTTGAGGACAGATTCAAGCTTGCAGACTTTAACCAATCCAAGTTTGAAGTAGAAAGGTCTTTGCATCGGCTCAACGTGGAGAAGACTCACAGAGCCTTTTTATCCGGTATGATATTTGTACATTTTGCATAGTACATATCCTCGCACCGACTTATACTAAAATTACTCGTCCAGGTTCCCCAGAATGCACACCCGGGCGGCGGATAACGCACTTTACCATGAAAGCATTGCACAGGATGACCATTTGGTCCCTGGGATGCGTTTTGTCTAGTTTTGCGACGTGGATTGTTTTCGGGCCAGACGGCTATGATGAATATCACAGACTTCGTTCCCGTGCCATCCGCGCTATGCCAACGGCCCAGACCGACGAAGGTGTCTCACTTCATAAATGTGGCTTTCACGATGGCTTTGCGCTGTTGCAGTCAGTCAAAGACTGGCACCAGTTTTTGTGTCTCTCACTTAGGCTGTCAGACACCATTACTGGCAAGGTGCTGGATCTTATTGAAGCAAAACTGTTGGTGAACGACCCCAAAGAGCGAATTTCATCAAGAGAGTTGGTCCGGGTGCTTGAGGAAATTATTGTTCAAGCGAAACATGATTATGACACGGCTATAAAGAATCGCGAAATGCTCCCAGACGAATTCTTCAAGGAGTTGCAGGATCTGGATATTGAAAAATATGGAAGCACCCATGTCAGCAAAAGCCCCGACGCTGACAGCAGTGACGATGAAGAAGCAGCTCATGAAGCTTGGCAGTCCCAGTCTTCCCGCAGTGCTAGTTTGGACAGATCGTCAGTCAGCGGAGCGAAGTCACCTACCGATGACGAAAAGACTGAGGAGGCGCCTAGTCCCAGGACTCAGCACAGAAAGCTATCAATCTCTTCTGCAGAACAACACCAGCCTGCCTCAAGCGCAGATAGTGATGCAGCGACCCATCGCCCGCCTAGTTCGAGCCGAAACCGAGACTCATCACCAGATGAGCACTCTGTTTCCAACCTTGAGAGAGACTCCTCGATGGATCGCAGGTCAACCCCAAGCCGTGACGGGAGTCCCTCTGTTGACGGCGAGCGAGACCTCTGGTCTTTTGGTTTTGGAATCCCGAATGCTCGTGCTAAGGCTCGTGCGAAGGGGCAGAAGCAAGAAAGAACCGCATCTAAGAAAAATGATGGATTTGATTGGGAAGCCTGGGTTCAGGCTGCTGCTCGTACCGACATGATGCCACCAGCAATGCCTGTTTAAGCTGAGCAGAGTGGTGCATGATAAATCCTTGTACTGGCGGCTTCGGGAAGACTACCTTGTTTAGCGGGAAACACGAATAATGCTTGGTTTCATTTGTTTCTTTTCAGTATGATGACGATCCGATTTCTGGCCTGCTCCTTGGTGGCGTTCAGATTGGATATTGGTTGCATATATTGGCATTGAAATACCATCTTTTCTATCTTTTCGATTGGTTGCGGGCTTGGTGGTTATGAACAAGTCGACCAGACTCTTGATGTCCTCGAATTTATCGGCAGTAGGTATCGATGGAAAATCAGACGAACCATAACTCATGGTACAGCGGCTGTCGCCCCTGCACCGCCCTCGTCGGTAGCCTGCAATGGCCTGCCACACCCGTAAGGCACAGCACCTGGCAGACTAAGGTACCTCTGTGGCTCAGCTTGTTACCCAACATGAAACTATAAAGGAATCTAAGGCTGCGCAGCTTTTGACACCTCTCTTTTCCCTTCGTTATTATGTCCTTCCCCCTTCTTGATGTCCAGCCAAATTCACGATTCGTAGATCGGTACGGATACTTGACTTTGAGAAGCTGGCTTGAATCACAACTCAGGAGCCCTCTAAAATGTCTTCAACAGCAGAATCAGCCTCAAACGTGGCAGGAATCAGCTCTGCCGGAATGTTGTATGAATATGCACCCCTGCCCGAGAGTAACGCATTTCGCGTCCTGATTCTAGAGCCCGGTGGAGTTGACGACACCCTGTGCTGCTCTCTTGAGATAACAACCCTCAACAAACCCATCCCGTACGAAGCCATCTCGTATGTATGGGGAAACACGCATCGGGACCACCCCATCCGCATCAACGGCCGAGCCGGCCACATCACCGCCAACCTCTGCCGCGCGTTGCATCGGATGCGTTTACCCGACCAGTCCCGCGTCCTCTGGGCGGATTCCATCTGCATCAACCAAGACGACCTGACGGAGCGGGCGAGCCAAGTACTGTTGATGAGTGAAATTTACGGGCAGGCAAGACGGGTGCTGCTGCACCTTGGTGAAGACAGCAACCAGGAGGGTGAGGTGGTCCGGTCCTTGGTGCATGAAATCGAGGCCATGGTTCTTGAGGGGGTCAGAGCAGCCGGGGAGTCGTGGGACACATTTCCAACCCCCAGTCCGGAGGAGCGGGAGCAGTTCCTAGCAGACACGCGATGGGAGGCTTTCATCAACATGACGCATAAGCCATGGTTCACACGCGGTTGGGTGATCCAGGAGGCAGGTTCGGCGCGAAATGGGTTAATGCTGTGGGGGAAGACCGAGATCAGTTGGCAGTCGTTCGTGCGCGCTTATACCTGGATGGTCCGGAGGCTTCCACAGGTTCGGGTCAAATACCGGGACGGTGGCCGGGGAATGAACCGGCTCCATCTCGAGATGTACCGGCTGAGGCACAAGGGGGAGACCATGCCGCTCTACGCGAAACAGTCATCCCAGTTTGACTTTCTCATCGTGCTCCATGATGCTCGGGCTCTCTATGTGCAGGACGCGCGGGATCGGGTGTATGCCTTCATGTCACTGGCAACCTCGGCCGGGCTAAGTCTCCACTTCCAACCGGACTATTCTGAACACAAGACAGCCAGAGACGTCTATTTGGACATGGCGAGAGATTACGTCAACTCGATGGGGGATATCAGCCTGTTGCATTGTGTACAACACACCGGGAACAGTATGAACGAAAAGTTTCCCTCATGGGTACCTCGATGGGATCTCAACCTATTCGACAACATCATCACTCACACGTCAGGCCCAGCTCTCATACCCACCGAGCTGAGACCTAGCGTTTCCCACGACAACGCCTTGGAAGCCAAGGGGCTCATGTTTGACGACATCATCTTCACGTCTGATGTGCTTTCGCGAGATGTCTCCATGAGCGACATCAAAATGCTCTGGAACCAGATGCTCGACCTTCTCCCTGTGGCATTCACCAACCCGTCACCCACTCATGGCAGTTTCGCAGCGTTATCATTTGCCCACGTGCTATCTGTGGGCCGATCATGGGGCGCTGAATGGCCCGAATGGGTGGAATGGAGGACCGCCTACATGGAGTACTTGTGCCAGGAAGAGCCTACAAGGCGGGATTCTGTCCCGCGGCCTCCTCCGGACAGTGCTAGGAATGGTATCCAAGGATTCCACACCTACGCTCAGTGGAACGTCCATAATCGACGTATTGCTGTCACGAAAAGAGGGCTTTTCGCGTTGGTCCCCTTGCCTACTCAGACTGGTGATATTTGCGGCGTGCTTCTCGGTGGGAAGGCGCCGTGCATATTGCGTAGAGCGATGACAGCTAGGACGTATCGGCTTGTTGGTGATGCGTGTATCCCTGTTAACGTATCACGTCCCAGCACAGGTGGTGGATTAGTAGTCTCGGTCGGAATTGAGAACAGCGGAAGGGACTTGTTGGATTGGAGTGTTGAAGAGGAGGATATTCGACTTTGCTGAGCGTGACAACAGAGACAGATTGCTTTTGTAAGGTAATCTGACGATATACACCTAAGCAATGTTAGTTCAAATTGCTTTCATACCACGAGGCGTAAGCTTACTTGTAGCATGGTCTCTTATGTCACCCGAAGAACTGCCTACCTATCTCGAGGGCGTACACCATAAGGGTTTAACCCGGTAGCCGAAATACAAACACACACTCGGCGGCTCAACGCGTCAAGTGCGCATGTTGGGTAAGAAAGCCCATGCATGGAAAGTTGTCTGAGAAGGAATTTCGTTCTTGTGCCTCATTTGCAGCGTAATCACGGCGGTCAGGCTTCCTGGACGGGCTCGCCGTCGCGGCGGATTTTGGTACGCAGCAGCTTTGGACGTCAGCCAACGGCCGAGCGGAGCCTGAGCCATGGAAAAAGCCCATGACACGGGACTGGATGGCGGGAATAAACGGCGCTCTGCGGAGATTTGAAAAGTGGACCCGGGACTGGTAGCGCTAAAGCCCGGGAAGGCAGGCGCCTAGGCTGGATTCTGGACCGATTTTGTGGACAACTGCCTGATACCAAAGTTCTCTTTGGCTGTATAAAACCTCTGCTTTGAAGGGGTTTTTTGTTGTATATTGTTATCTATACTTGCCCTTTTCAATAGCCCGTCTTGAACACCTCGATTTATTATTCCACAGCCAAAATGCCAACCATTGTCGTCCTCGGGTGAGTCTCCGTGATCAAAGAGCCCCACATCGCCGGTGCCGGAACTGATAATGGGACCCAAACAGCGCCGGTGTGAGCGGCCTTACCTGTGCATTGGAGTTGGCGAAGCAGGGCGGGCATGAGATTACGGTTGTCGCGAAGCATATGCCTGGGGATTATGACATTGAGTATACTTCTCCCTGGGCGGGGGCGAACGTCCTGCCGTGAGTGTTGCTCAAACCTTTTGATCATGGCACTATTTGCTGATAAGTCTTGTAGAATGGCACTCGACAAGGACAGCCGATGGGAGAGACGGACTTGGCCTGTGTTGAGGAGGTTGGCGAAGGAGGTGCCCGAGGCTGGGTTGCATGTTCAGAGTGAGTTTTTTTTTTTTGAGCCTACCTTGCATATATACCAAGTGGTGATTCTAACTGAAGGGGAAAAGCTGCCCGTGTTCTTCGCCGCGAGAAGGATGTTGCCACCGGCCTGAAAGCTGCCTTGGCCGACGGCCTCTTCCAATTCGACCCCTGGTACAAGGAGGTTATGGACAACTTCCGCGAGATACCCGCTAATGAACTCCCCAAGGGCATGCACTCTGGTTGTGAGTTCATGTCTGTCTGTATCAACACTGCGATCTACCTCCCGTGGCTCGTCGGCCAATGCGCCAAGTATGGGGTGCAGTTCAAAAGAGGGATTGTGAAGCATATCTCCCAGGCTCACAACCTCAGCCATACTGGGAAGAAGGCTGATATTGTGGTTAATGCTACTGGTGTTTTGGCCTGCAAGCTGGGGGGTGTGATGGACAAGGCTGTCTACCCGGCACGAGGGCAGATTGTTGTTGTTAGGAATGAGGCCAAGGGGTTCATGCCGACGAGCAGCGGGAGTGATGATGCGGATGATGAGATTATGTATGTGATGCAGCGTGCGTTGGGTGGAGGAACGATTTTGGGAGGGACCTATATGAGGCACAACTGGGACCCCAACCCAGATCCCAACATTGCTGTGCGCATTATGAAGCGCGCTGTGGAGGCGCATCCGGAGTTGACGGACGGGAAGGGGATTGAGGCGCTGAGCATTATCCGGCATGGTGTTGGGCTACGGCCAGCAAGAGAGGGTGGTGTCAGGATTGAGAAGGAGAAGATTGATGGGACCTGGGTTGTTCACAATTATGGCCATGCTGGTTGGGGATACCAGGGCAGTTATGGGTGTGCTGAGAAGGTGGTGGAGCTGGTTGATGAGATTGTGAAGCAGGAGAAGCGGCAGTCAAAGCTGTGATGGCGTTGCAATGAACATTGAATAATGATAATGACAACGACAAACAGAGCAGCTGCAAGATCATGTTTTGTTTTGCCAAATGAAGAGTTGCGATCAAATTGGTTGGTGGGAGTGCCACCAGTTGACAGCCAGGTGTCCACTGTAACTAGCCACCAGGTACCCAAGCTCCAAGCTGAGAGCTCCAGCAACGCGTCCTCTCGCGACGACCAACCTGAAGCTTCAGTAGCAACGCCAACATGACGGGCCGAAAACCACCATTGCACCAGCAGGCCCTTGGGCTGGTGGGAGATATTTTGAATGGTCGTCATATGCTCTCTCAAGTCATTGCGCCCGCGCTCTTCCTGGCGGATGCTGTCCTGTGCGCCTTGGTCATTCGACTGATACCCTGTAAGCTCTTGTTGCGCCAATCAGCCATATGTCCCAACTAACACTCTCTCTACCAAGACACCGAAATCGATTGGAAAGCATACATGGAGCAAGTGTCTCAATTTGTATCCGGCGAACGCGACTATACCAAAATCCGAGGAGGCACCGGCCCTCTGGTTTATCCTGCCGCCCATGTCTACACCTATACAGGATTGTACTACCTTACCGACGAGGGGAAGAACATCTTGCTGGCGCAAAAGCTGTTTGCAGTTCTCTATGTCGTCACTTTGGGTGTTGTAATGAGGTGTTACCGCAATGCCAGGGTGAGCAAGAGGTATATCATCCAGTACGAGACCAGGCTGACATGTCGTAATAGGTGCCTCCCTACGTCCTTCCCCTCCTCATCCTCTCCAGGCGCCTGCATAGTATCTTTGTTCTCCGTTGTTTCAACGACTGTTTCGCCGTCCTTTTCCTGTTCCTCACCATTCTTGCCTTCCAAAATCACTCGTGGCGAGCTGGTGTCCTATTCTACACATGGGGGTTGGGCATCAAAATGTCCCTACTGTTGGTGCTCCCCGCGGTGGGTATCATCCTACTCTTAGGGACCGGACTCAACTCAGCCCTGCAATCTGCGGCCATCATTGCATTGGTACAAGTGTTAATTGGAGTTCCATTCCTTGCCAACAACCCGTGGGGCTACCTTGGGCGGGCCTTCGAGCTTTCTCGGCAGTTTTTCTTCAAGTGGACGGTAAACTGGCGTTTCATGGGAGAACAAGCTTTTCTAAGCAAGGAGTTCGCCCTGGTCCTTCTCGCGCTCCATGTTCTCGCCCTGCTTAGCTTCCTCACAAGTCGATGGCTCAAAGGGACCGGAAGATCGCTCTCTCATATTATCACCTCAGTTCTCCAGGTTAAATCCCCTTTCCTACCGCAGGAACAAGAAGCCGTCGCCGAAGCCATCACGCCAGAGTACGTTATGACAACCATACTCTCAGCCAACGTCATCGGTCTGCTTTTCGCTCGCTCCCTTCACTACCAGTTTTACGCATATCTTGCCTGGTCGACCCCTTATCTCCTGTACAAAAGCCGCATCCACCCCGTTCTCCAATACATGCTGTGGGCTGCCCAGGAATGGGCTTGGAATGTCTATCCCAGCACGCCGTTCAGCTCGGGGGTCGTCATTGGTGTGATGGCAACAACCGTTGCGTCGGTATGGCTGGGAACAAAGCGCTCTGTACTATGGGTCGATAACGCTGAGAAGACGAAGTGATTGAGGGCTGGCGAACCCGTTCATGACTCCGCCGGCATGGCTTCATGTATGCTGGAAGTAGACGGAGACCCCGGCTCCATGCCCAGCTCGATCAGCGCTCGTCTTCGTCCTCCGAATCGCTTGGCGGCATCTTTCCCACGTTGGACTCTTCTTCGCTGTCCGAGTCGTCGTCGTAGGTCTTTTTCTCGAATTTCTTGGGCCTGCAATGTGTCAGCCTAATACCCAGCCAGCCTTGGGACAAAAGGACGGCACCAATAGGCTTGCTTCCTCCACTCCTTTTCATCGCGCACGATGTTGATGATTTCGCCAACCACTCTGCTGGCAGCAGGCCTTTCGGCGGCCGAAGCCAAGTCTACCAAGACATATCCACCTCTCTTGATGAAAATGGTACCGCGAAAGCGCGACTGGAGTTCGACGACGATGGTCTTGGTGTTGGGCAGCTCGCAGATGTAAAGATTGTTGCCCTCGACTTGGAGTACGCGGGCGATGGATTGGGATTCGGTCAACTCTTCGGGAGGAGTAAGGGTCTCCTGCGCGGCCGCGAGAATGTTGCGCTTTGACTTGGCCATGGCTTGAAGGTGCTTTTGCTCGGGTTTGGGATCCTCTATGTGTCGCGACCTGGGATGCAAATGCTGATTGCGATGACGACCTTTTCCCGTCTGCAGCTCAGTGGAAAATCAGTGCCCCGCAGTGGAATTTTTGGGTGTGGTGGGGCTTGGTTTACTGTTGAAACGCAGGGCCCTGCCTGTCTAGAAGCTAACTTGGAACCAAATCGACCTGGGGACTAACTTAATTCATTCCGATCAAACTGTTCAGTATACCTACGCCACCTAATCCAAAGGTGCCATCTTTGAACATGCCATAGGCCAAAGCTTCGGCCCCCTCCAAAGCCACTCAAGGTCTACCGCCTCCGGGCCGAGTCCGGTATCGGGTCAGGGGCAATGCCGCCCGGATCCCCGCTGACAAAGTGACTCTCAACGGAACGCACTGTGCCGACAGCGCAGATCCAAGATCCAGGGACCACCCACTGCTTCGGATCAAGATTTGCAGTGGGGTCAAAGACCTGCGGTAACTACCTCCAAACGCCGTTGTCTTCTGGAAAAGCACGCAAAGTTCGGCCAAGAGCCCCAGCGCATACACCGATACTTCTTCAGTGCCGACTGCTGCCCAATCAAGGTCTTTTGCCCTTCGTTTTGAGACGACTTGGACAGCTCAGCGCCGGGATCTTCACTGCAGCCAGCTTTGCTCTTAGTAACAAGCAACGCCCCCTCTTTGTACCTACTTATTGAGCCGGAAGGATAGATACTCCTTATTCTTCAACCTCACCCAGTCCGCTTTTGACCACAGCCATGGGTTCTACTCTCGATATTGCGCTCCCGGCGCTCAAGACAAAACCCAAGTTCATTTTCTTTACCGACTTTGACGGTACTATCACCCAGCAAGACAGCAATGACTGGATGACGGATAACCTTGGCTTTGGTGCTGAGCTCCGCAAGAAGGGCAACGAGGATGTTCTCTTTGGCCGCCGGGATTTCAGGGACTCTTTTGCCGACATGCTGGACAGCATCAAGACACCATTCAACGAGTGCATTGAGCTCCTCCTCAAGAACATCACCCTGGACCCAGGATTCAAGCAGTTCTTTGAGTGGGCCAAGGAGAACAATGTGCCCCTCGTGATCCTGAGCGGCGGTATGGAGCCCGTTATCAGAGCGTTGCTGGCCCACATGCTGGGCAAGGAGGAAGCCGAGACTTTGCAAATCGTCAGCAATGATGTTGCCCCCCGGCCAGGAAAGAGCGTCAACGAGGCCGGCGGCTGGCACATCGTTTACCACGATGATAGGTATGTTTCATCGCGTGGGGGTCGACGGTGGAGCTCGGAGATATGGTGCTGACGCCAGTCTAGTGGGTTCGGACATGACAAGTCCCTCGAAATTCGACCCTATGCCAGGCTCCCTGCTGAAGAGAGGCCGGTGCTCTTTTATGCTGGCGACGGCGTGTCGGATCTCTCCGCAGCCAAGGAGACGGATCTCCTGTTTGCCAAGTCTGGGAGAGGTACGTTTGGTTTCGTTTTGTGTCTTGCTGCTCATGCTGACCAGGCCTCAGATCTCGTATCGTATTGTGAGAGGGAGAACGTCCCCTTCACAACCTTCCAGGATTTCACCGAAATCCTGGCCACTGTCAAGGACATTGTGGCTGGCAAGACCACCGTCAAGGAGGCTGCAACGGGCAGAAAATAGACCGGTAAATGTTCTTATGCCAATCCAATAGACGAATAGACGTTTTAGAATTCACCTTTCATCCACATCATGACCACGCGCCTATGAGACAAACTTTTCCGAGGTATGTGACGAACTATTATCATATTTAATTATCATTTCTAGCCTATTACAGCGACTGCCAGAATGTCAAGACGGCATCAACAAAGCGGTGTATTGGTCGCTGCTTCCAGGCCGACTTTTTCCATCTTGCTACTGGCAGGAAGAACCACAGAAGGAGCATCAGCGCGTACAAGCCCAGCACAATCGGATGCAGCACCCATCTCCCAACAGGCCTGTTCAGGTTTCCGATGACAAAAGGCACGACCGCCCCACCGGCCATGCCAAACGCAGAAATGACGCCCATCGCGGCCGCCTTGGCTTCCTTATCCACCTTACCAAACGGTGGCCTACGTATCTCATTCTCGTCGAGCATTTTCATCACAACCCTCATCGCGCAGGGATATCCGGGGCCGATGAAGAACCCAACGAATGCTACCGACAAACCGCTTGCAACAATGCCGCCCTTTAACAACCATATCAACAGCTGAAAGCCTGTGCAGAGCAGGATCAGAAAGTACACCAACACCTTGTTTCCCCCGGGCCAGAGCTCCCCCAGCGGTGTCAACACCACCCGTCCCAGCGTCACGCCGCCCCAGAACCCGGTCATGGTGTACCCGTATGTGTCCATCTTTTCCTGCGAGGCGGGGTGGCGGTGGTGGAGATACTCAGTTATCCAACCTGCGTTTGAGACCTCGGCGCCCTGGTAGCAGAAGATGAACAAGGCGGCGAAAACAACGAGCTTGGTGTCGGCTGGGAGGTGGGATCTGAGCCATTCTCCCGGGTTCGGTCTCCTCGCTTCCGTCGCCACTGCCGCGGCATTCCCTTCCTCCATTGTGCCCGCCGCGGGAGGCGCAACAACGGGGTGCTCCCTAAACGCCCAAAACAACAACATCGAGTTGATGAGACTCAGACACAGCGGAATGCTGTAAAACTGGCCGTAATCCAACCCCGTCTGCACAATCATTCTCGTGGCGATGAGCGGTCCGATTGTGGCGCCTAGGCCGTAGCAGGCGTGCGTTACCCCGAGGTAAAAGGTTGCTTTCCTCCGAAGTGAACCGCAGTAGACGTTGCCGATGGCGAAGTTGAAGCTGTTTCCGAAACCGAGAGGGAGGAAGGTTATTACTATTGCGGGGAGGGGAGCTGAGCAGGAGAAGGGGAGGTAGGAGAGGAAGACTAGGATGTTGGCCGATAGGAGGGTGATGTTGTCGTGGTTGAGGAAGGGTTTGAGGGAGCGGAGGGGGGAGATGAGGGCTGCGCCGAGGATGAAGCCTACTGCTTGGGCGACCCAGAGGAGGGAGATAAGTTTATCGTCGGGGAGGGAGTGGAAGTGCTTCATTGGTTCGATCAGGGGGCCGACGGAGGCGTCGGTTAGGCCTGCGGTTAGGGAGGCGAGGGAGAGGGCGGCTATGCGGTAGTGGTTTACGTCTGGGTTGATCAGGGGCGTTGGGTTGATGGGGGTGGTGGTGATGATGGGGGTTTGTTTCTCGAGGTCGTCGTTGTTGTTTGGGGAGGTGAGGTTGGCTGTGGAGGTTTGGGAAGCATCGGGGGTTGGCGCTGGGGTGATGTCGTTGAGGGCAGCAGGAGCCGGAGGGCCCGGCGGCTGCTGGCCGGTGTTGGCCATGGCTGCGGCTGTTGCGTTGTCGGCCATGATGTCAAACGTGCTACCTCTGCGCAGAGGTGATGGTGTTGAGGGCGAGCATGCGGTTAAGAGGCTTTTCTTTGAACGTGGCACAGATACGGACCGACTAACACCTTAACTTTGATGAGGCTGAAGTTAACTCCCAACGTCAACGGCCCGGATGGTATATTCAAGGTTGCACCGATGGATCCCATCCAGAAACGAGAAGCATTCTATCAATGGTAAGTGGTTAGGATTGAGGGATGCTGCCGGCTTTTGTACTCTGCTACGGATACCATCGTATCTGCCGTGTGGCCCACTCACACACGCATTCACTGGCAGCACTCCTCATCGCTTTGCAAACGAAGGACGAGAATTGGGTCGCGAGTATCGAGACAGTGGTCCAGGGTCGCACCGAAACGGAAACTCCGCGCGTCAGGGAAAAAGCTACAAGCCTGCAATTGACCCCCACCCACCCACTTTCTGTCAGTGGCTCGACGAACGACAGCGAAGACAGTTGCGCCGCCCAATCGATGACAGGGAACACTTGCGGTGGAGCTCCATCCTGGACGTGGCATACGGGCCGAATGAAGCGGGCGTCGCTCCGCCCACTGGTGGAGAGTTGAAGGGAAAGGCCGAGATCTGCCAGACGCCCTGTCGCGGTGTTAAGGTTTCACCAGGAGCCGCTCTGGAAGGCTGCGGGGCTTCCTGTTCAGTTGAAGCTTGCGAATGCCAATGTTTTTGTGTCGTCAGGGTTGGGGTTGGCGGTAGCCGACAGGGACGGACCTGACCCCCATTTAACCCCTGCTCACGGCTCACGGCATAGAACATCACTAATTCTTGCAACCACAAGTCAACCAACAAATCCTTCTTCAGCCCTATCAGACTTCAATGTTTGAGACACGGGTTCAAAGTCTAGGTCATTTTGCCCCGTCGCTAACCTCAACTTGTGGACCAGTCCCAAGACCTCCAGACTCTTTTAGCTCCGGTCAATAATGCGTCAAAAAGCTTGGCTGAGGGAGCCACATGGTAATTGCTCGTTCAAACTCCATGATGCGCCCAGAGAACAATTTTTGTCTATCCATATCACCCCAAGTCTTTCCCAATGTAAACAGTTATCTATCCATCACCACCACCACCACCACCACCACCAACTATCTCTCCCCTCAAACAACAACAACCCTTAATTGTCGCCCAAAAACCCCAAAACTCTCCAACACCCCCTCCACATCGACCTCCAGCCCCTCGAGTTGCTCTTCCGTAACCCAGTTGTCATCACAGGCGATAACTGTGATGTCTCCCGACATGTCCGGTATAATCGCCGGCCGCAGTCCAAAATAGGAAAGTCCGCTTCGAAGGACTGCGGACTTGATGGCTTCCGGGAGACGGCTGTGGACCCAGAGCCAGACGAAGCGGTGGGTTATTTGAAGGTTATTGTCGGACTTGAAGTCGGCGAGGCGGCGGAGTTCCCTGTTGTGGGGGAAGCGGTGGTAGTCGAAGGGGGAGGGTTCGGAGGGGGGGGAGGGGCGGTAGTAGGACATTGTGGTGGGTTTGATGATGGCGTAGGTTCTCTGAGAGAGATGCTGGGGTGAGAACTTTCGAAAAAGTTATCTTGAGGGAGAGTGAGAGATCTTGCAGGAGGACAAGCTGGTGAGAGGGGGTAGGTAGGTATGGCTGCAAAGAGCAAAAGAGGGAACTCTGACAAGTCGTCAGTCAAAGTGGGAGTCTGTACTTGTCATTTTGTTTGCTGGAAAGATGTATATCAACATTGTGTGGTGGTGTGAGGCTCGATGTTTGCTGCGCATGTAGCCGTTTGACAGCTGGTAAGGCAGCTTTCACGTCATGTAATCTGAACTTTTCAAACATGCTCGAGTCACCGGCATGGCATGTTTTTCCAGGTCACGACTGTTTCAAATTTCCTTTTGTCAAAATGAGTATCGGAACTCGTTGAGGCTCTTGGGAGCCGTCGTCAAACTCCAGATAGGTCAAAAGCCCTCTCCCCCCTCAGCGTGAAAACCCGCTCATTCGGTCACAACTCCCTCCTCTCCCTCCTCTCCCTCCTGCTCCTCCTTCCCATCCCTAACAGTAACCACCAAATCAGTAGCACTAGCATAAGCCTGCTGCACACACCTCAACCCCGCCTCCATCGCCCCCTGAATCCACCCGTGCGTGTAACTAGCCTGCTCACCCGCAAAGAACACCCTCGGCTTCCCCAACCTCGAACTCTCCGGCCACTTCCAATCACTCTCGCACATCGCCTCCAGATACTGCTTCTTCTGCCCCGGTCCAAAATAGCAAAACGCACTCCCCCCCGCGAGCTCGTCGGACGGGAAAACTTGCGACGTCCCCGCCTCGAGCAGCTCGAGCGACTTGGCCTCGGGAAATATGGTATGGAGGTTTTCGGCAGCGATGCGGACTTGTCTCTCGGGGGACATGGCCCCGAGGATGGTGGCGTCCTGCTCAAAGGTGTAGGCTGCCATGATGGCGCCGCGGCGGGAGTGCTTGAACTGGTCGTTGTCTTTTGAGACGGGGAAGACGGTGTACCGGATGGGGAGGTCGGAGACTAGCCCGCCGTCGGTGCCGAGGTTGTGGTCGGTGAAGATTTGTTCCCACCAGCGGGTCTTGTACTGAAGTAAGACTTTGGTCACCTCGACGTAGCGGACGTCGCGGATGGCTTGCTCTTGGGCTGTGGCGAAGGGGCGGGATTTGGTGATGGCGCGGAGGGCGGTGTTGGGGATGGCGAGGATGAGGTAGTCTGACTCCACCGTGAGCTTCTTTGAGCCGGTTGTTTCGTATGTGATTTTGATCTGGGGCGCCGTGGGGATTTTGGGGTTGGGGGAGGGCTTGAGATCGGTGATGTGAGTGACGCGGGCACCGAAGATGATGTTGTCGATGAGGGAGTTCTCGCCGCGATCAGGGGAGATGAACGCCTTGGGGACGAGATCCATCCCGCCTTGGAGCTGCTGCATGCCGACTTGCGCGCCTTGGGAGTTGCTGGACAGGAACGCGTCTTTGAATGATTCGATGAAGCCGTTCTCGAAGACTACGTGGGCATTGCCTAGATCGTATAGCTTGATGGCGTCGGGACTCCAGCCGGCCCTTTCCTGCAAGTACGATCGCAGAGTGTACTTGTCGTAGAGGTTGGTGATGGCCTGGTAAGCCGTCTTGATCTTGAAAGGCTCATCGCCTTCGGCGTTTTTGTAGGCCTTGCGAAAGTCTTCAACAACAGGTGCCACCGCCACTTCCCAGAGCTTGTCGATCGTATGGCCTCGCTCGCACTTCTTCAGCGATGGAAAGAGCTTGAGCAGCTCAGGCTCTTGACTCTTTAGTTTGGCGTTGAAGTCGTCGTAGGTCAACGTGGTCCCACCCCTGTACTCAGACAAGTAGATGAACTTGTTCTGCATTTCGAAGTTGAACAGCTCACCAATCTTGAAGTTGTCAATGTAGGTTCGCAGGAGGAAGTGATTGCCAGGGATGCGCATAGCACCTCCCTCCGCGTGCAGTCCAGGGGCAAAAATTGGGTCGCGGAACGTGACAACGCGTCCTCCCACACGAGAGGATGCCTCAAGGATCGTGACATCAAAGCCAGCCTTCTTCAGCTCATAGCCAGCACAGAGACCGGACACACCAGCACCGACGATCGTAACCTTGATTCAGAGTTAGCATGTGGTGTCCATATCAATGAGAAACACAGCTTACAGATGTGCCTTTGGGAACCTTTTCCTTCCCCGGACCGTCGCGAATAAGCTGCAGAAGGGACTGCCGAAGTTCCTCGCTCTCGTCAGGCAAGGGATCCTCTTCCGTGTACCCCTTGTTGAGCACATCGATGGCCTTGAGCCCGCTGATGCGATCAGAATAACGGCCCTTCTCTTCTGTCTCGCGGGTGTAGTGCAGCAAGAAGTTCAGCAGGGGAGCCGTGGACCAGGAGGCGGCATCTTTGCTGATGTGTTCGCTGATGTCATGGGGAGGTTGATCAGACATTGTCGTGAGAGTCAAAGACTGAGTACCTGTAGAAGATAGAGTTTCGTGTAGAAGAAGCTTTCAAAGGTTTTTAGAAAGATGGATAATAGGGAAGTAAATCCTGGCCATCACGGTCTTCAAATACCTGTTCTTCGCATGGTGCACCATGCTCAAAACTCTGAGTACCTATGTGAAGGCATGAACACCAGCTTCAACCTGTCAAGCCACAGTCGAAATGGGGTTATTAACGAAGTCAACATCTGCGAGACGAACTGCAGGTGACTTGATGGTTCTGGTCTGTCGACGAACCAAGACGTTTGGATGTTGTGGCTGCGTTGTATCGGGGTTTCAGCTTGACATTTGAGTCTCAAAGTAGCTGGTGGTGGTAATACTGTCCTGCACATCGAGAGCTGAATGGCTGCAGCAAAAGCGTCTAGACCGTCTGACTATGCAGCCCCCCTGCAACGTCACCGGGAACAGCCGTGATTCCTCAAGCTAAGTGGCCCAGTGGTAGTCAATCCAGGATCTAGACCACATGCATGGCAGGAAAAAAAGGATGAATTGAGGAAGACATAACTGCCGCTAGCACCTAGCTAGGTAGGAGACATAAAAGAACAAGCCATCGCAATTGAACGACATTATTAGGTACGCTAAGACTATCGCGTATGGCTGTTAGTGCGGAGGAAAAGGTCTCCCATGCTCTTATCTTGCCGACTGTTCACGCGGTTGCTGGCTCTCGCATTGCGTGTCACCATAAGGCAACTCAGTATGCCCATGAGCTGCACCCAACTCGCAATGATTGTGGTCGGTTGGAAGCTCAGCGGCGCTTGAGCAAGATGGCAGCTCTTGAGCGGGGCTTTCGACCATCTGTTTGTGTAAAGCTTTGTCCGAGTTGTCTCTGTTGGTGAGCTCAAGCGCGGTTGTTTTGGCTTTCTCTTCCGGTGATGGCGATAAAAGAGAAAGGCGGCCGCAGCAAGTAATGTGCCACCACCTACACCACCCAAAACAGCGCCTACCACAATTTCAAGTGATGGTGAAGGCGACGTGCCGGTACTAGGATCGGAGGGAGTTGAGCTTTCTTGATCTGGCGGTATGGTAGTACTTTGGGGTTCCAAGAACATCCGCTTTAATGTGTTGTCTGACCAGGCCACCGATTCCAGGCCACCTTCTGAATACCACGTTTTAACTACCGCCGGTGACTTGTACCCTTCAGCAGCTGCGTTATACTCATTGCTCCATCTCATTTCTGTCAAGTCGAACACACCAAGGCCGTTGGACCAGGGGTCTGGATCGCGCCAATACCTGTCCGGGCTACGCAATGATTCGTCATAACCCCCTATTGTGATCATTTGTCGTTTCCCAGCCACCACACAGGTGTGATCGTCCCGCTTTTTTCCCAGCGTTTGTTCGACAGGTGCTTTGAAGAAAACAAATCCGGGAAGAGAAAGAACATACACTTCACCCACAGTCTTGGGCGTCTTGGCGGATGACCAGGAAATGCCTCCATATATGAAGCTTTAAGATCAGACCCTGTCAGCAATTGCAGAATTCCCAGCCATATCGAGAAAAAGCCAACTCACATCTCGTACGTCCCATTGTCCCCCTTCACACCAACCACGCAAATTTGGTACCTCGGCGTAGGTATTGCCCCCGTTGTCTGTTGAGAATACCATTTCTTATAAAGCGGATCGTAGACGGTGATATTGGTAAATTCGACAGGCCTGTGGTCTGGGGACTCCAAATACGACAGCACCGGCGCTGTTACACCTCCCAGGAAAACCAACAAGCCGTCCGATTGTTCACCCCCACCCCCTAACGGTACGTGGTGAGCACTGCCGCCCCAGAGTGTCCCAAAAGGCCCCATGCCAACCGACGAGGAGTTTGTAAGCTCTCCACTGGCCATCTTGAGCAAAGTAATTCCCAGAACAGCGAGAAATATGTTCTTATCACCATCTGAACTTTGCGGTGGGAGGATGCTCGTGTCGGTATTAGCTGTGCCATATCCTCCAAGCCAGTATCCCACATCTTTGCTTTGGGTCCATGCTCCACGTGATGTACGAACATGTTTGCCCAGAGAAACAGAAGAGATCTTTTCGTGTTTATTCCAAGAGCCACCGCCGTAACCATCCGCTGTGAATTTCCACAGCTCAGAGGGTGGTGGCTGAGTGCGGTACGATGTTATACCACCCCAGATGTAGAACGCCGTCCCGGAAGGATCACGCCAGGCTGCTTGACAGTTGAGGGAAGGTACCGATGGAGGTTTGGGGATCTTATTGAAGGCCACTGTTTGGTTGTTCCAGGATATATTCAGGGGAAGTGAGAGGGTATGGTTGAGGGCGTGGGATGCGCGCTTGTCGGTGGAGTTCTTCCCGTTGTCGAGATGAGACACCTCTCCCCCGTCGATATAAAGATAGTCGCCCAGGACGATGGCTTCAAAGATAACATGTGCGTTAGTAGCCCCATCTCCTGGTTCTTTCGGTAGGTAGGTTTGCCTTACCCGCTGCATGATTACGTCTTAGGAAGTCACTGGTCGGCGGGATATCTTCTGCAAAAGTAAGATAGAAGAGGCGAACCAAGCAGAGGCTAGAAGTAGTTTTCTCAGCGTCGTTCTTCCCATTCTTGGAAGATGAGATGATGTGTCATCAGGGAGGGTCTACCAGGGCTTTGTAGTGAGGAAGAGAGGGGAAAGAGCCGAGATTTGAAAGAGAAGACGAGCTCGGGATATAAGCAGGATCCGTGCATTGTGCGGCGGGAACACAAATCTTCAATTTTCGGGAAAGTTATTTCGGGGCGCATGGCCAAGCGTAGTACATCAAGTCCTTCCCGAGGCTGGTGCGTGCCGTCGGTATGTGACTGCAAAAGAAGGCACGTACCGTAAGTACAACATGCATGAAACTGTAAAGTCGATTGTTTCACCCCGACCTCGCCAAGCTTCTCGAACTCGCCCCCAACATCGTCAACCTCTTCACCGCAGTCCCGCCCCCGTTCCTCTCCAAGCTCGTAACATCCTCTTCAAACCCAAACCCAAACTTCAACTCCTTCCCGCCTTGCCCCTCAACCTCAACCATCCCATACCTCATTCTCATCCCCTTCACCCCCTCACTCACCCGTCCCCCATCGGCCCCACCCCACTCAACCCTCCTCAACCCCTCCCCCCTAGTCGCAGCAACAAAGCTACTAAACTTCACATTCCTCATCAACCCCCCATTCTCCCTCACAGACAGCACCCCAATAACAACCCCCATCACCGCCAGCCCAATAGAAATACTATACACAATCCACAAATCCCTCACATGGTACGTGTACACATTCCCAGCCCTCGACCTCTGACAAGGATACTTCAAGCCCTCCACATCCTCCCTCTGCACATCAGGGTCAATCCCGCTTTGCTCATCTGGCTTGGCAGCCCAAACCACACTGGTAAACTGCGGGTTGGAGAGCATGCTAAGGATGATGTTCTCAGAGTAGAACCTCTGCACTGTCTTCATTAGGTCCCCCACAGGGAAGTAATTATTCGCAATGTCCAATACTTTCGTCTGAATAACATTCGTGTTGGCCATGGGGACTCCGTTGGCGTTTTTCTGGTTGGCTGCTACTGTCCCGTTGAGGAAGGAGCGGGCGATGAGGGAGAGGGAGTAGTACGCTGCGGTGCGGCGGTACAAACTCTTGTTCTGGGGGAATACGTAGTTTGACTGCGGTGTGGCGGCGACCTTGTCTGCCGTGCCATCTTCTAACTCGAGGTCAGGGAGGTAGGTCGTGTTGATGACGGGACGGAGGTACTCCACGTCGAGGACGTTGGTGGAGTGGAGGTTTTCGGTGTAGTTGAACTGGACGATGTAGGATGATTCGTAGTTCTCGCAGGCGAAGAGTTTGGGGGTGAAGGCTTGCTCCCAACCAGGAGAGGAGGACTTTTCAGGGAGAGGTTCCCCCGGGTTTGTGCGGGTAGAATATCCTATCCACACGATGGGATCGGTGCGAAAGGCCCCGAGGTTCTTGGGATAGGGGCGGTCGGTCTTGGGAATTCCGCCTGGTTCGACGTCTTCCATTTGCATGTTGAAGTAATCGCCGCCTGTGGTGAAGGCGTAGTAGCTATAGATGCCTTTGGGGAGGAGCAGATCGGTGCTGAACGGTGGAGCGATGCTGCCGGATTGTTGCGTCAGATTCGATGCCTTGGAGCCGACACCACTTGCGAGCTCGGTACACTTGTAGGCAGGGGCGGTGAACTTGATCTCAAAAGTGCAGTTCCAGCCGCTGCCACAAGTCTCCGCCTGTGCGTTCTTCCGCATCACTGTCTCTCCCATAAAGGCACCAATGGTAAGTGTCTGAGCCAACGCCAGGCCTGGTGCGGTGTAATAGTCGAACCACTCATCGCTGTCGTCGTCATCGGTGGCCTTTTTTGTTGTGTTCCAAATGGAGGCCGGAACCTCGAAATATTTGCCTATCTTGGTTGGATCTCTCCATTCGTCTATTTCTTCAAAGCTGAAGTTAAGCGTCCTGACCCCGGCGCACCTATCCTCAGTAACAATCCGGCTGAGCTCAACCTGAAGAGTGTTGGCAGTCAGAATGACGACGATCGGTGCAATCCTACATCTATTAGTCTCCAGTACTGCATGTAAGTTCGAAAGAAGAGCCACGCACCAAACAAAAAGAGCCAACAGAGCCGCTATCTTAGCCCCTTTGAGCACCTCCCAAGCCCCAAAAGAAGCCAAGCTCTCAGTCATGGAAAACAACGAATCCAACGCCCCAACAGTCATCACCCTCTTCCGCGCCGTTACCCACACCCGCTGATGAGAAGCCTCAATAACCGCAGCACCAAGCCCCGCCTTTGCCCCAAACGCCAACAACGTTCCATACCGCTGCATCACAAGCTGATCCGTTGCGGGCTTGCCATTGAGCGTGCTGTAAAACACATGATGTCCAGCTGCACAAGCAACACCAAAGAGGAGGCAGATGTACATCGCCCACTTGGACCGTCTTATCCGACCGAAGAATGACGGCCCGAAAGACCCGGGATGACCACGATCAGGCGGAGAAGACCCGGCATGATGTTGAGTTGCTGGTGTTGGACTGATGACTGACTTGAGGAAACCCTGCTTGGCTGGTTCTTGTACTTCGTCGAGCATATGGTACCCTCCGCTGCGATACGGCCTGGATAAAGGGTTGTGGTCGCTGAATGGATCTTCTCTGGCGGGCCGCTGGGTGCCCAAATCCCCCATTTCTACCCCATCCCCCCCATGTCCCCAAGGGGCGGTTTGTGAATGCTGTGGAACATTTCGTTGATGTTGTGAGAGGGACTCCCACTCAAGTGGGGTAGCAGCTGGGAGGTTGGAGATCGATCCGGACTCGTTTGAATGATCCCAGCTCAGCCCTCGATAGTCATATTCAGGTCGCTGAGCGGCCATTCAAAAGTCAAAAAATTATGCGATGCGGGCCGGGTTGCTCAATACAGATTAGAAATGTCCGAGTGCTGGCGTGGATAGATTGGCGAAAGGGGGATGATATTGGGAATGTGAGGTACGGTAGGTGAACGAAGGGCTGCCTTGATTCGGGGATCTGAGCTAGGAGGATCGGTGTAACGTCAGCCACTCCAATGCTGGTGCTGTCATTGGCCAGACCCAGGTTGACAAACACCAACAACTTGACCCAACTGATCATGAAGGGGCGTGTGGACTTACAGTTGGGAACAAGTTCAATGCATCGGTCAGCTTCTTTGGGTTGCTTGGGAATATAGAAACTCAGTGATATGGTACCTACCTAGCTGACAAGCCGAACTTCAGATTCCTTACTCTCAATGGGTGTGACCTTTGTTTGTAACATGCCACGTTTTGTTGCTGGCTTGTTGAAGACCTTGAAGGAGATGGGAGTCGGAATGCTTCTCAACGATGAACTCACAGCTGCTGTGTGGTTTCTGGAGATGTGGCAAAGAGCTTTTGCCCAATCCATGGACCATGGGAGCCAATTGGTGGAATTGTCGAACGCGCTCCTTTGCTAGCTGACATGTGCGAATTTTGGCAAAGCGCGTTGTCTGGCGGAGGTTGGCTGGGTCGGTAATCCCTCGGAACTTTGCTTCCTCGCTATCTGTCCAACAGTGTGAAAGAATGGTATATCGAATTGATTGGGGTCCTTGGATATCCGTGGGTTGCAACGTTTTGGTGTTAATGAGCCGCATGTAGTCGTATGGTTGACTACAATCAAGATCGAAATTTGGATTTGAGATGACGAAATCAAACGAAGACTGAACAATAAAAGGAAAGAGCGAACACAACATAAATGAATTTCTGCCTCACGCGCTTCCTTCCTCGCTCCAGCCGATGTGGCTTGCTTGGGAAGGACCCTGGCCAATGATTGCCCGCATAAGCCGCACAACTCTGGCAGCGCCTCGTTTGCATTATGGTCAAGATATGCTCTTTTCAAAACGCCTAGACATTTCTGCATTGGTAGATAAGTTTAAGCGTTTCATCCGTCGACTTTCCAATCGTAACTATCAGACACGACCTCCTCCACAGACTTCGCGAGCTGTGCTTGATCGTGCGTTTACCGCTGTGCCCAAGTCTCACAACTCCCTCCTGGTGACTACAACATTCATGTCACTCTGGATGAACACGGCCGCATTGAAGGAGGTCCAAGGATTTGTAGGATCAACCAGAGTAACATCGAACCGGCGAAGAAGCTGCGTAGTTGGGTGTTAGTAACAGCATATGGATTTTGCAGGGTCAGCTGCTCACCTCAACATAAGCTTTATTGAGCTCAATCTGTGCCACTGTCTTCCCTAAACACTCCCATCGACTGCCTGATGCAAACTCCATCATGACAGTCTGGTCCATGGTCCGATACTTTTCTGGCTCAATATCCAGCCATCGCTCAGGCCTAAAGACATCCGCATCCTCCCCAAAGATCTTTTTACTTCTCAAGAAGCTGAAAGGGGCCCACGCAATGATGGTTCCGGCGGGGATGTGAACTCCACAGACAACCTGGTCCCTATCAGAGACCTTGGGGAGGGCAGCGGTCGCTGGCGGCCACATTCGGAGGCCCTCCCGAATGACGGCCTGAAGGTATGGCAGATTCCTGGCCTCGGCGTCTGTAATGGGTGAGGAGATGCGACCTTCGCGGATGCCAGTGTCAATTTCGGCCTGTAGACGGCGGTAGACGAGCGGGTTGGTGATGATGAAGAGCAACGTGGAGCGAATGGCTGTAGCTGACGTGTCGGAGCCGGCAATGATCTGTACCACGGTCTCGCCTTCCGCTTCTTCCCTGGTGAGGCCATTGGCGACGAAGGAGCCGAGCATATCGCGCTTGATCAAGGGTTTGTCCCCGTAGCGTTCGGCAACCGCTTGCTGGGCCGTCTTGACAACAGTTCCGATGCCAACTACCCTGTCGATGTCGGGCATCAGAAACTGGAGGCGAGGTGACTGAATCAGCTTCAGGAGCCAGGGCATAAACCCTATCGTGAGCATGATGGGAAGCGTGCTCTCAGTGGTCTGAATGTAGCTGAACAGATCCTGATCGGCGGCGAGATAGCCCAGTTCCTTGCCAAACGCCAATGCAGAGATGACGTCCAAGGTGAAATACTGTACTTTGCGCGCCAGGTCGACGGGCTTGAATTCGGTCTTGGTTGACAGATACTTGGTCTCTAGTAGTGACACAAGACCAGCGACTTGTCTGTCGATGAGCTCATGGAGGTTGTCGACATCTTTGCCGCCGTAGCCTGGCATGAGCTTTGCCCTCAGCTTTTCGTGAACCTGGTCATCCGTGGTTGAGAAAGCATTGTCCTTGTAGGGATCAAAACGAAAAGCGCGGTACCAAAATGGTCGCTTCCACGCTGAACGGACTCCCCAAATACGTCTCAGCTCTTCAGCGTCGCCGCAGACGACCCAATTGGGTGCGATCTTTGCGATTGGACCTGTGAAATTAATGTCAGTCAGTGGATGGATATGCAGCAAGGACAGGTAGGTCAGCACGGGGTGGAATACCATATCTTGTGTTTGCATCCTGAAGGAGGAAGCAAAATCGACCGCTGAGCTGGGCGCGTATCATCCACAGGTCGGTCCATCCAGCCCAGAATGGCCCAGGAATATGCCGTGTTCTAACAAAGGACTGGACCCGAGTGGCGATGACAAAGCAAAGTAAGAGGGCCGTCCCGATGAGGGCCACGGTCGAGGAAGGTAGCCATGACATGGCAGAATCTCGCATTTCTGTACCGTGTGGAAAACAGCAGTTTGGGAAACACAAGCTGGGTTCCGTCGTGTCACATGGTGGGCATTTCATTTCCACGATAACCACGGCCTGTTTTTGAGGTGTGCTGTGGTCCACGGCTTGGGGATGCTTGTTGGCTTTGCAGCAGCTAGGGTGTATGTGCACTACTGCAACATCAGAAGTGTGCTGGACCGCCTGGGACCAATTATCGATGGTCCTTGTTGGTTTGTTGGCGTTCCGAGCGTGTGATTTGGAAGCGGGGGACCCGCATGTGTCAAGCCACACCGGCAACCGGGGGCATGTTCCGTTCATTGTCTGGGATGTGGCTACCTCAGCTCAGCATCCCCTATCTGGCCGCTCGCCGTTTTCCTTGTTCTGGCCGACCGACCACCACGACTCCGCTCTTTCGAACTCTTACGGACCATCAAACCCAAGTCGAGGCCGGATCACAAACACAACAAGATCATGCCTCAAACACCGCCAGAGGATGTCCGTCATCAGCACGAAGTCGAGCTTGTATGCCCAATTCACCTTTCCCCCGCAGTCCGGGGGATTTGCCACCTAATCTTTGACATTAGGGACCGTCAGATGCTCATGATGAAGAGGGTTACGACTCAGGTGTAGACGATGTATGTTTCACTTCTTCGTGTCTCAAGACTCGCCGATCCTGACCGACTGTAGGCGTCAAGACGTAGTAGTCTCACCTCTCTACGATCTAGCATTTTTGAGTTCTACGAAGAGAACGGACGGACCTACCATTCTATGAGCGCTGGGAAATATTTCATGCCGAATGATGCAGTAAGCCATGTGCGCGCCGTCCCGCCATTACATCGTGCTAAATCATATGTTCACTTATAGTCCGAAGTTGAACGGCTGGGTAGGTCCACATGCAGCTGGGGGCAAATGCCCGTCGGCTACGTTAGCTGACTTGGCAACTTCTAAACAGACTTGCAACACCACCTTTTCAGATTGACCTTTGACGACCAGATATGCCTTTGCCCAAAGAAAGACGGCGCCAAACGAGTACTTGATCTCGGCACCGGAAGTGGCATCTGGTGTATCGATTACGGTAAAGCTTCTGGTGCTTCGTTTCCACGCAGAAAGCTAACTGATTGGGATGGAATAGCGGATCAGCATCCCGAGGCAGAAGTGCGTTAGCCTCGTTTGTTTTTTATTCCTTTCAACTCGATTGCTGACCATCCTAAAGGTCATCGGTGTAGACCTAAGCCCAGTTCAACCGGACTTGTGCGTATACATCTGCCAAGACCTTTGACAGCATCGCTTACCCTAGATCTAGCATACCGCCGAATTGTTCCTTTGAGGTACATCTCATAAGACGACCATGCAATAGCATGTATGTAATGAAGCTGACATTTCCAGATTGACGATCTCGAAAAGGAATGGACATGGTCCAAGAAGTTCGACTTCATTATCAGCCGCTTCATGACAGGCAGCTTCGCCGACAATGCCTCCATAGTCAAAAAGGTCTACGACCAGCTGGAACCCGGCGGTTACTTTGAAGCACAGGACATGGCTCTGCCAATTGGCTGTGATGACGGCACCTTCACCGAGGACTCTGGCCTATGGGTCTGGATGTCATGGCTCATGAAGGCCATGGAAGCTATGCATCGACCTTTCTCAGCTGCACAAAACTGGAAGTCTATGATGGAGGAAGCCGGGTTTGAAGACGTTGTCGAGTACATCTACAAGTGGCCAATCAATGGCTGGCCCCGTGACCCCAAGTACAAGAGGCTGGGCCAGTGGGCACTTTATGACATGGACCAGGTCATGGAGGCGGCCATCTTGGCGCCTCTTACGAGGGCAATGGGCTGGAGTCAAGAAGAGGTGCTGTTGCTAGCTGCTGACGCGAGGAAGGTGTTGAGAGATCCGAGGGTGCATGCTTACTGGCCCATGTGAGTGATCTTTGGATGGTACAATACGGCGGGCGATGCTGACCCCAATCCTGCAGATATGTTGTTTATGGCCGCAAACCGTTCTCTTCGAAACAGAAGTCGAGTGTCGACAAGACTGCCGCTTAGGGTCCGCAGGTTGATCGAGGGAAGTACAAAGGATAGCTGCGGGAGATGAAAATAAGAATGTGTTGTTACCATTTGCAGACCACGCACTCCCTCTTACATCACAGCTTTGCTCCCCCGCTTACCTTCCTATGCAATGAACACATCCCTATTTCTGACTCCCTCGCAAAATCTACCACCCTCATTAGATCATCCTTTCCTGTGCTTCCAACTCTTTTCACCAGTTCACTCAGCTCTTCCTGATCCCCCCTCGACACAGCCCTCACAGCCCTCTCCACCCACTGAATTCTCTCCCCCGTCCACCCCCTCCTCTTCAGGCCCACAGCGTTAACCCCCACCGTCCTCCCTCTATACCCCTTGACCATACTATACGGCAAAACATCCCTGCTCACCACCGTCGCCCCCCCAACATAGGCGTACTCCCCAACCCTCACAAACTGAACGGTCCCTCCCATGCCCGCAAAAATCGCTCCCCTCCCCACCGTTACATGCCCAGCCAGGAGGACCCCGTTCACGAGGATGACCTCATCCCCCAAGACACAGTCGTGAGCAACGTGGCTGTTGGCCATGAGTAGACACCCATTTCCTATCACTGTTCCTTTGGCCGAAAAGCCGACGTTGCAGGTTACGCCCTCGCGGATGGTGCACGAGTTTCCGATGGTGAGCTTGCCGGTGTTGGGAGGTTGGGATTTGTCGGCTAGGGCTTGGGAGGGGCCGCCTAGGACGGAGAAGGGGTGGATGGTGCAGTCGGTGCCGAGGGTGGTGTTGGAGGAGATGGAAACGTGGGAGAGGAGGGTGGTACGGGCGGAGATGGTGACGTTGGGGCCGATGAGGCAGAAGGCTCCGACGGTGGCGGTTGGGTGGATGAGGGGGAGAGAGGAGGGGTGGATGAGGGAGGAGGGGTGGATTCGAGGGGTGGGATGATGTGGTTGTGTTGATGGGAGGGGTGGGAGCGTGATTGCTGGTTGATTGGGAGGGATGTTTGAGTCGTCCATTGTTGTTGATGGTGGTGGTGAAGGAAAGGCGGGTGAAGAGGATGGCTGTTTTATAGGTTTAAAGAGGCAGTAAGTACCTAGTTTAAACTTAATTCTCTCCTCACCAAACACTTCGCTTGGTCTAGGCCATAACCCAAATTGGCACTTGAATGAGCAGTTGTGGAGGTGCCATCGGAACTAGAAGCTGCCATGCATGGCACTAGGAGATGATGGAACTGTCTGATAAGAATGGCCGAGGTAATAAACAAGTTAAGGATAGACTTCTAGGTACATTCTGGGATCATCATTTTGCGTGTGATTCATGGACTTGTGGATTACCTAAGGTCCAGGTGACTCTCTAGGTAGGAGCAACTTTTATTTGCGTACAGACTGATCCAGGTTTCATGAGATGTAAGATATTTTTGATCGGACTGGTTTGATATAACTTATTTCAATAGGTATTTTGGCCATTTTGGAGTTGTCTAGGTAGACATTCCTAAAGTCCTTTCAGATACACGTGCATAAAGCTCGTCCATTTGATATCACAGCTCACATCGTGGCCAGGGCTCTAAACACACAATGCCAAGACACCCACTAATTGCAATTTCCAACGCCTGACTGGACTTTTCACTTCTCACTGAGCAACAGCGCCGCCCTACTGCCACCTACAAATATCTTGATCAATGGCGCGAGCAACCCAATGGCATGCAACCATTGCCATTTACATCTTTTTCCTACCTACGATCTTTCTCCACCTTCACATCAGAATGAGTTCCGAATTTGACCCGCATTCTCTGCAACACTCCTCTTCTGAAGAAGAAGCCATTGAAAAATGGAACCCCCGCCCCATAGTCAGTGACCCATCCCACTGCGCTGAGCTTTATAACCTCCTACTCTCCAGATACATCGCCGCTATCCCATCTGAATTCCACTCCCAAACCCACCCTCCAACAACAACCGCCCTCGAAACAACCCTCTTCCCCCGCTTCAGTGCCCTCCACCCAGCCTTCTTCTCCAACATGGAAGACCCTCACTCCCACCCATTTCACATCCTGCTCTCCCAGCTGCAGACAAGCTCCCCATTCCAACGGGACGCAATCCTCTCCCCGTTCTTCATCCAACCAGAACCCGACTTGCTCGTCCCCTCAGAGGCGTACCACTCTCTCTTCCAGATCGACTTTGAAGAGGCGCTCGAACAACAAGGCCGGTGTCTCCTCTTGTTCCTCCCCGGGAACATGGACTTCACCGGCGAGCCACCCTACGACGAGGGACTGGTGCTCGATGCCGACACCCTCGAGGCGACATGGCGCCACGGGATGGACGGCCTGCCGGAGTACCCCGGTCCAAGCTGGATTCCCCTCCATGTTGTTTTGGAGAAAGAACGGGAAAAGTGGGAGAGGGGGGAGTACTACTTTGACGAGGAGCAGATGAAGGTTGAGCAGAGAGGCTGGACAGAAATCGGGTTGGGCGAGACAGTTCAGGCTTGGGAGGGCTTGCTGAAGGCGATCGAGGACAAGGGTGGGACGGGAGGGGAGTGGGATGAGCCGCTGAGATTGGAGGATGAGGATATTGAACGGTACAAGGTCAGTCGGTTCGCCAAGGAGTTTCTGAGCAGGTCCAAGAGGCCCAAGTTCAAGTTTATTGGTCCGGGAATCACGGTGTTCTCGCCGGAGAGTTGGCTCGAGGTTTATGGGTCCGAACCGGAGAATTCTGAGCGGAGGTTGAACAAGAATGGTGCTGAATACAAAAACTGGCCGACTTTGGTTTTCCCGTCTGCTTACCAGATTGGATCGCCCTTTCATCAGTGGAGCCCCGGGTATTACAAGGCTGCACTTTCTGAGATGGTTCACCGTCGGACGGGTGTTTATCTCAATGGATGGGATCAGCGGTACGCCGAGGCAGCTGAGCTGGTGAGCGGATCATCTGATGTTCCTCGAGGGATCACGTCTTTTGACAGGCCGCCACCATGGGGACCAGTACGAGGGACCCGTCTGGCACTAATCTTGCGGCACTGGACCACGTTGGTGGAAGATGGGACGTGGGAGGTGGGCGTCGATGGTGTTGCAGAACATTTGACTTGGTGGAATGATGACAATAAAGCGAAGGCTCAAGTGAGGCGTGTTTAGGAGTGCTCAAGGCACCCCCTAAATAGACGTCAAGATCCAAATCGCCGACTGACTGACCAGCCTGGGCGGACACCACAATGCGCCAGGAAGAGTAAGAAAGTGTGTCCAGTAGACCCATGCGGCGGAGTAAACGAAAATATAAATGAGAGACCCCCATATCACCCACCAAAACCGGATGCCGCCCATCGATGGCGGTGATCGGCGCCGTATCACCTTTTTTGTTTCCGGGTCTTTGTCCACAGTCTCCTTCCAACCCCAAGTTTCACCTGTGATACGCCATATTGGAACTCCCACTGAAATGGCGATCAACATAATGCCAGGCGCCGCAAACATGAATCGCAGCGGTGGTTGCATGTACTACTTGATGACTTCGTTTGGAAACCTCTCCCAGGTCACACCGATGAACACCGCAGCGGAGATCTGGAAAATAAACTCGACCAGGGCAGCCGAAACGTACGCGTCAACATAAATGTGCTCTTTCTCTTTGCGGCCGTCTTTTTCCCACGCAAGGGATATCTTCTCATTCTCTTGCTCTTGTTCTTGCTCAAGTCTTGTGTTGCCGTCAGGGAACCTCCGGCCCCCCACGGAAAACGATGTCCGCAGGAGAGCGAGCCACCATGCCTTTAGTCTGGGCCTGGACAGGTAAAGAGCAAAGACCTTTACAAATTCCAGATGTTCGTATCCCTCAGTTCTGACGACTAGAAGAGCCGCACCGACATTGCCTGTCACTTGCAGGACAAGCCACATCAGCCATGTCCAGTATACTTTTTTGCCCCCTCGCTTGCCGAACAGATGACGCGAGGCTCTGTACAGTATTGGCCTTGCCGCGGTGACGATCAGGAGGACCGCCAGGATAACGTCCGTGGCAGCAAAGGTTGCAATTGTAGCTCCGGCGTTTGGACATTGGTCTGGACTGGTGATGTTTCGAGGCGCGATGATCCACTCGACAGGTATAGGAGGGAGGGCAACTTTGGTGTCGTTTCCAGTGTTGAGCTCGCTGGGTGTGACGATGACGACGGGGTATTGTCCGGAGTTGCCACGATCAAGGTACCATCAGCAAGAAGGTCCATCAGCAAATGTGGCTCAAACCCTGTTTGATCCTGTCATACCGGCACTGTAGCTGGGTCACCAGGAACATATTTGCCTGCTGACTTTGCGCCGGCAGCGGCAACGTCAGGAGGAGTTGTTACGATCACTCCTGGTGTTGTTCCCCATACGGGGACAGGTGCCGGGGCTGGGGCTGGTGCCGGGGCGGGAGCACCCCAAGTTTTGCCAACAGTCGTGCCTGCTGTGCCCGATGTGCTCCCGGTGCTGCCAGTGCTGCTGCCTGAGCTACCACCACTTGTTGAAACCCTAGGAGATGGACGAGTTATGATGATGCCCATGTTCAAACTGTCAACAGAAATGAAGGCTTTGAACTAAACTACCGCATCATAACCACTCGACACCGCGCCAAGATGGTGGGCAATAAGTATCACCTATTTATCTCCGCAGCCAATGTACTACCCAACTGCTGCGACAATGATGGGAGACCTCAGCCGCATCTGCTAAACACCCGTGCCGCAAAACTGCATGAGTCTAATTCATGGACATGCCCAAGGATGGGTACCACGATTTTTGGTTTAATCTAAAAGCTTCTTCTCATAGGATAGTTTCTCGTGGCAAGCTGAGATATGATAGAGAGGTGGGTAACATTGAGACACTCGAAGCTGATGGCCCACTACCTGTTCTAAATGGACTTGGACCTGCCAGCTTTTCTTGAGTGGCGCAGTAAGGCTCGAAGTGATTAGTCTCCCTACCACCCAATGATGAGAGGTTTCTCCCCAGCAATCCAGGCCAGTCCCCCACCATCTAAGCAGCAATGGGAATCACATCTTTCGACATCTTCCGTTTCTTCACACCATCGTTAACAACTTGTCTTGTATGGCTTAAGGGAAGGATGGTCACTTACAGTGAAACATACTGAAAGAATCAAGCCAACAGCGCCTCCTACATACACAGGAGTGAACACCTTTTGCAAAGCCAATACGATGGCTTGGATTGCGGCAGTTCTCGACTCTTCTGACAGCGACTGGAAGTACTCTCCGCTATGCCCTGACAGGGCCAATTGCAATGTGTTTCGTGTGACGCCGGGAAGTGCCACCATGAGATTTGCGATGGCATCGTTGACGAACACTGCCCCAGCAATAGCCAAGCCAAAGGCGATGCCGCCCTGTTGCCCGAGCATAACAAAGCTGATGCCGTACGCCATTTCCTCAGGAGGTACTAAAGTCTGAATGACAGCATATCCCGCCTGGGCAAAGGCACCGGTTCCAAGGCCAATCAGGATCTCAAAGCCGTAAAGGTGAGACTCTGGCGTGCTGGCTTCTATCCTTGCTGAGCAGACGAGACATGTTAGTTACATCATCTTGAGACGCACAAACATATCACTTACATAACAGCACGCCTCCCACAAGCGCTAAGATACTGCCGGTAATATACCAAGGTTGGAAATATTCCCATCTCACCATCAGGTGTCCATTGATCAAAATAGCCGCACTCAAGGTGAAGATGAGAGGCAATAGCCTGACAGCTGCTTCGGTCGGGCTGTCTCCCCGGGTGAACTGGAAGTATAGTGGGATGTAATAGATCGGAATGAACGCGGCAGCATTGATGGCAGCTGCAGAACAGAACAACAAGACCAGATTCCACCTTCTCAAAAAGTGCGTTGGGAAGATCTTGTCGCCCTTATCCCTTAGTCCAAAGTTCCAGCTTTGCTGCACGCCAAATGCTCCAAACAACACAAAGGATACCACGAACAACGCGATGATGTTGCCGCTATTCCACTCGTATAGGGCACCACCCAGATTGATTGCCATAACTAAAGTCGTAATCGCCGCCACGCTCAACAACGTCCCTCCAAAATCGAATTTCTTGACCAGTTCCCGGCTCGAGGTTTCCCGTGGCTGGGGCTTGTACGAGGGAATCCAAAACAGATACACCGGTGCGAACAAACCGGCAATGCACAAGTTGATGTAGAAAGCCCACCTCCACGTTGCCGGGCTCTCCACGAACGCGCCGCCCACCACAGGCCCGAGCACGGTACCGACTCCCCAAACCAAGCCCACGAAGCTGAGATATGCAGGTCTTTCCATGTTGGTGGTTGTCGCACTCAACAGGTTCATCGTCCCGAGGTACATCCCGTTACCGCCCATACCAGCCAACACCCTCCCCACAATCAGCGCATCCATCGACGGTGCCGCTCCGCAGATGGCAGATCCGATGTTGAAGAGGACGGTGGAGAAGATGTACAGCCATTTTGCGTCGAAGAGGCTGTAAAGTTTTCCAAAGGGCAGGACAACGCTTACGCCACCGAGTAAGAAGCCGACGGAAAGCCAAGGGAGTTTGAGGCTGTCGCCGAAGGCGTTGACGGCGGCGGGGGTGATGTCTGCTACTACTGTGTTGTCGAGGGAGTAGAGGAAGATGGAGGATAAGATGGCGATGACGACCGAGATCCACTTGAAGCCGTGGATGTCGCGGGGTGGTGGTGCTGGGTCTGTTGTGTTGGGGTTGGGAAGGCCAGCTTCGACTTTGGTGGAGTCGGAGTCGCTTCCTGTGCTGCTTGTTAGATGGTTGTTGTCGGACTTTTCCCTGAGGGAGGCCGTGGCGGATGCTGAGGAGGACATCTTCACGCTGTGAAATAAAGAGCAAAACAAAGGCACTTTTGGGATAAATGAACATCAGCTGTGAGGTGTAAAAGGGCGTGTCTCGTTTCTTTTATTACCTGCGAATAAGAAATTATCGTTGCAATGGCTAATCCGGTCCCGTCGGTCCATCTTCAGCAACATACCTGCCTTGCCTGATCCACTCATTCCGAGATGTGTATGCAGATCAGTTTGAGGTATGGAGTTTATGTAGATGGGTAAGCTACTCTAACTTCGAGAAGCCCCCACGCAGCTCACCAAGTCGTGGTGATCAGGTCAGTCCCACAAAAAGCCCTCTTGTCGTTTCATCCGAACCAACAAAGAAGAAGGGATCTGAAAAAGAAAAATGGAGATCATCTTGGCTACCGGAACATTTCTTCCCACTTTTGTAGATCAGATGCTCTTCAACTGTGCGGTTCGTTGCTGTTAGATGTCATGATAGGGCATGCGAAGTGTCCGCACTCCTAGCGTCGTTGAAGACGTATGCTCTTGTATCACAAACTCCGGTCCTTCTACCCATGGTTCTCAGCTGCTACGCCGCAATCCTTCCCGGCAACCCAAAGCCCGGAGATGGCATCTAAGGCGCCTGTGCAAGCGATGGATGGCAGGAAAAAAAGACAGTGATCGACATATTCCGATAAGATGTCGTATATCAAAGCTTATCGCTGGCTTGACGTGTACGATGCAACGTTCGTGCCATTTTGTCGGGTTTGGACCCATCAAGTGAAGCTCAAGTCAGGTCCCCACTTGGTGGCGACCCCTATTACCCCTGAACTGGTGAGGATCAGCTTGCCAAGACCTCAGGGGCGCGAAACCACATTTGGAAGTTTGAGTGCCAAGTCCAGGTTGGACTGCCGGTATACAATCGAGACACTGTGTAGTGAGTCCTAGACGGTATGCTGGTGTGAAGTTGATTCATTCGGAGCTTGTGCCAATGAAAAGTTTCTGAGAGTTGTCTTGTTGTGACGTGTTTGCTGCCCAACATGGACCCATAAGCGCAAGCGCAACTTCGAGACTACAATTTACCCAACAATGCATTATAAGCTAGCCAAGAGATAGCAATGGGGGAAAACGGGGCAAGCTCTCACTCTGACTTTTGCCTGATGGTAAGTTCTGCTTAAATCACGGACAGGGGTATTATGAATCCACGTCGAGCATAGAGTCACTCTGCGGGCCAGCACACTGATACAATTTGTCTTCCTTCACTCACTGTGGTTGAGCAGAATTTCCTGATGGTGATGCAACAGCCCAACGGCCGCCTTGGACTTGGCTGCATGTTGGTAATTGGTCATGCTAAAAGGGCCCAAATGGGCCCATTCCACTTCGAACAGGCGTTCCATTCTGGCATTCGAGAACAGGAAGAATTTTGCGACGGAATTTAATGATGCTAGCTCTAGGTATGCTGATAGCCAAGGCCAAATGATGCCCGACGGCCTTGGGATTCTGATCTGTGTTGGTTCGCTGGCTGGCTCTCCCAAGATGTCGGACTCGAGATATCAAACAAGTAAATAAGTAATGTCAGTCCGCCTTAATTCAACTCGTTTTTCATGGGCTGTTTTGAGTGAGCAGGCGACTTTCGACAGTTTTGTTTTAAATACTGTTTATATTGATCGGCCGGACAGCAGTTAAAATCAGTTCATAATACGTTGCTCCTTCAAAGACTTTACCACGGTAGGCTGATATCACTGAAGGGATGAAATCTTGTGATTGGCTGACCTACTGGCATGCTAGATATCACCATGCCTCACTCGACAACCCTCCAACAGCCATTCATCATGGTCCCGACCCGCCAATATTATCAAAGCCCGGATACATTCCTCTTGAGCAGCATTGTCGACATCAACAAGCTCCTGAAGACCGCTGTCTCGTCCGGCCTCAAAGCTGTCCCAGCTGTAGGTTCGCTGCTGGGGAGCGTCGTCAGCGCACTCTGGCCAGAGAAAAGCCAGCCCACCCTGCAGTGGGACAGAATCGAGAAGGATGTGCGCAGGGTCGTTGAGGGCCTTCTGGACAGGGACAAGGCCAACACTCTCCGGCAAAAGATTGACTCCCTCCATGACTTGATCGACGGGTACAACAAAACCGCTTATGGCGGACGACAGAAAGGCGAGAAGCTCACCTTCCTCCTTGGCTGGTTCACCGTCACCCGGCGCGAGTTCACCGAGAACGGCACACCTTGGCTGACGCTGCAATATTTTGTTCCTCTGGCCACGCTCCATCTCACGCTACTCCGCGAACAACTGCTACGCTGGGACAAGCTTTACCCCGACGACACAATGGATGAGGTGCGGCTCCGCGGGGAACTCCAAGATGCGATCACCATCTATACCACCGCTGCCGAGCAGATCCGCGACAAGTGCTTGAAGTGGCGTATGGATGAGCGTATCATCGTGACAGAAGATGAAGCTTATGACTGGTGTTTGGTTGGTCGTCAATGGCGCAAGTTTGTTCGCGACCTCGAAACCCAGTTCTCCCAGACGATCTCATGGGGCCCTGAGATCGGTCCAAGCAGAGGGTACCGTATTGAAGAGGAGGTGAACAGATACGTACAGGATTTGCGCGACACGGCTGGTGCTGTCTACCGACAACAGATTGATGACATCCTCGCGCCTTCACTTCAGTGGCCACAGTTTGATAAGGTGGGCACGTATGACCCAGTGAGGCGGGTCATCATGGCTGGCACAACGGGACCCATGTGTGCCGGTATCTCTTCCGGAATGTGGCACTTCAACGACCGGGAGTTTGCAAGGGAGCATGGGCCCATCACCAAGGTAGTTGTCCATGCCTGGGATCGCGTTGATGGCTTCGAGGTCTGGTATGGCGGTGTCAGTAGCGGTCTCCGCGGCAGGCGCGGTGGCTCGCAGAGGGAGTTGGAAGTTGGAGACTCGGAGTCAATTGTTTGCGTGACAGGTCACGCCGGGCAGTGGCTAGACTCGGTCAGTTTCTTTGTGAGTCCCAACAAGCATATCAACGGTGGGAACGGTACGGATAATTTCCGTATAGGTTTCGCAGAGGATTGCCCTTCAAACGAAACGGACACACTCCGCTTGGATTATGTCTATGGCTGGTCCAACAGCGGGAGCGGTTTTATCGAGGGTTTTGGCGCTGTCTTCTGCCGGGTGGAGATCTTGTAAATAGAGGCGCCAGGTGCTCAAGCTTCCATGTCTTGATTGGTGTCAGAAGATATGACTCAAGCTTGTTTGTCAATAATTACTGGGCTCTTTGTTTCTCATATCTACCTAGTGTTGGGTCCCATGTACATGCAGCAAATAGTCACTATCAAGCATGGGTAGGTAGTAGGGTTGTTGCCTTGCTAGAATTCTTCCATATAAACATGTAGTCAACCCCTCAATGCACTTCAGTTTGAAGGACATCACCGGGCAAGCAACCCAACTGATTCTTTCAACACAGAGAGCCAAGTCTCCAATCATGCCAGTGACCCACAACTTCCAGAACTTTCAAGGTCGCTTGGACTTTATCCACGACTTGCTGCCGAGATTCAGCTTCAGCGTAAGTATACTCCACCGGTCTCTCACACATGAGTGGCCCTCAAGCTGGCATCGCTTCTGCATCACAGAGCAGTGTGGAGGTGAAACCTGTTCACTATGACCCGTGTTCTCATTCAAGTACAAGAGCTTCGTTTACCTCATCTCCCTGGCATCAGCCCTTGAATCTGATCACTACCTGCATGGAGAAAATGGGCCTTTGCAACCCGGCTGCGTTGCCATCCCGAAAGGTACCAAGGAACTGATTCTGCGCCTCACCAACCTGGAAGCGGAAGGCATAAGCCGAACAGGCCGTGTTGAGAACGAAGTCGCCATGACGAAGCTAGCTTCATCGGCTCTCAGCTCTTACCAACCCAGCATTGTGCCACACATTTATGCCTGGGGAGGCACATCCGGAGGCTCAGCTCAGGGATGGAATCTCCAAGAGCACTGTCAGGATATGAAGTGTTCCATCCAATCGAGGAGCTGGATGCTCACCAGAAGAGGCATTTGTTTAGTGAAATGGCCAAGATTCTGAAAAGGATTGAAGACTTTGAGCTCCCTCCAAGCATCAAGAGCTTCGGGGACGTGACCTTTGACGAACCTGGCGAGATCGTTAGCGCAGCCACTTCTCTTGGTGACCTTGCTCCATGGCAAACGTATGAAGAGTATTTCCAAAACCAACTGGAAGTTGCTTTAAAGTCACCAGATGCCAATGAGTACATCAAACAATGGCACGCCGATAGTCTTCGCCAACAGATTGAGGAGTTTTCTAGCGAACGGGGGTGTTGCGTCTCAGTTCAAATCCCTGGCCTCAGCAGCAGAGAAGGTCATTGTTCACGGCACTTTGAGTACGTCCTACTCCGGTTCTTTCTGAATCCAAAGAGTTGATACCCATCTGCTAATATTATCATCTCGCATAGGCACTATCGATCTTTTGTTTGATCCTCAATCTGGCCGTATTACTGCCTTTCTCGACTATGACCTGCATTTCTCACCCCACGCTTGGATTCCTCAGGTCATTTTACTCTCCACACGAGGGATTTCCAGAATTTCCAACGTGGACCGACGACACAAGCAGTAAGCAGTGGTTGCTACGAAGAGCAAAGCTTGAGGGTTTCCCCCATCTCCTGCCAGCCACAACTGATGATGGTGTCCACTGGGAAGATGCAAAGGCCTGGGAAGACGCTCTTGAGATGGAAACTGTGAAGAGGCCGAGCAACATACAGGGATTTGACGAGGTTTCTATGCTAGATACCCTGCTTTCCTCTATTCTACCGTCTAAAGTTGCGAGTGATGATCTGCAGCGTTTAATCCCCCTGGAGGAATATCTTTTAAGATCAGGCATAAAGCTCAGAAGCTCATTCCTAAACTATTGGCGCAGCTCCAATGTTAGACACAAACGGGAAAAGACGACATTGGATGTAAAGTACACTAAAGGTAGTAGGAAGTTTGCTTTGCGGTTAGGCTCTCTATCTACATATTGTGCTTATAGTAAGAGATGAGATTATCCTCATAAAGAAAAGAAGCTAGCTGCCATGACCACCAAAGGCAGTTTGCACAAGTCCCTGGTCGAAACTCCAAGCCCCATGGCCGCATTAATGAACGGGTTACCCAGATCTTCCTCGCCATTTCCGTTGCCATTCTGTCCCTCAACCCCATCGTCGTCCCCATTGCCGCTCCCATCCTGAACAGGCTCATCAGCCACCCCCCCGTCAATAACTTCAGCCTTCAGGCAGGTCACTTCTGCCCACGGACCTTCAGAGGCCCCTTTTATGGCGTTTTCCTCAGCATACTCTCCATTCAAACCCCAGATATGCCCCACGACATATACCTGCCTGACAGCCTGCTGAAACGCATCCACCGTCCCATTACCGATGTGCGCAAACGCCAACAGGTCAATCGTCCCGTTAGAGTTGCCTCCAAGCGGGGAGTCGCTGGGCATGAGCACGGCGTCTGGCGGTATCACTGGTAATTCCTGTGTCAACCCCACCCCAAGTCCTACAATACCCGACGGCGGGCGGCATCGCTCCGGTATAAGAACAGGCCGAGGGGGGGGACATAGACTCTTGGCCCCGGCACCATTTGGTCCCATGAATTCCTGTTCTTTGTAGGCTTCCGTCAGGTTTCTTTTGATATCCGCGATGCAGTCGGCAGAGAGGATGCTAGTGCAGCCTGGCCCGAGGAGAGGGGTGTCCCGGGTCCAACCTGAGGAGACAAACACGACTCCACACATTGACCACGAGGGATGCTTGGGAACCTGCCAGGCAAATCTGTCTGTACTTGGGACTTTAACACGGTCGGACTTTGGGTGTTGGACTTGCAGCCAGGTGCCAGCGGCGTTGGAGAGGGTGTCATTACCCGGGAAAGCCAGAGGGCCGATGGAGGGCTTGACTTTGACGGTGTAGTTCCATGATTGGTGTGAGGGAAGCTCGGAGCCGGGGTACTCGGCGGTGATGTTGTAGGATTGAATCGAAGCTTTGGAGGTGGCATTGTATCCTGATGCGAAAGTCGATGACCATGAGTCGCCTGACATACGGACTACGTCGCTGCCAAGGGTCATGGAACCATTGCTCTCAAACAGAGATGCAAATACTTGGGCAGATGCCGTATCGCCGAACGCTAGGACGCCCAGAAGGAAAGGGCGAGTGATTGACATTTTGGTACTGACTAAAACTGAAACGAGTGTGGGCTAGCGATTGCCGGTTGGGTGCTGAAGAGTGAAATTTAAGAGAGGCACAAGAAAACCTGTGAGATCTCGGGACTCGTCACTGTTACAATGTCGCATTTTTATGCCCTGACGCGGAAGCTTGGCGATAAGTTGGACTCTGCCAACGGGAGACTAGTCAGGTGCCAACAGTTCTTGTCATTTGCTGAGCCACAATGAGAAGGGTAACAAGTTCCTCACATACCACGGAAATCTTGGACCTTCCTGATGAGACAAAACTCAACATAAACCATTCAAGTCTTGTTGTGTCACAAGTTGATCGCCAATGGCAACTCTGAACATGGAAGGCTCTTAGCTATACCACACCAAGACAACCTCGAGGCTGCACTAAATCGACTCCTCCTTCTTCACAGCCGTCGATGACACGGGCACTGCCTTTTCCTTTTCTGACTCTGTCCCAGTTGACGTCTCGGCAACATTTCCACCAACAACTCCTTTCTCAACCGTTGAAGTTCCCGTCTGTGTCTGTCCCTCAACGTCGCCCTTGGCAGACTTCCTACCTGCTGCCATCCTCGCAGCCATCTCTGGGAACAACACCCCAGGAGGGAAGAAGGCGAGGAGTAAACACGCGATAAGGACCATTCTGTTTCTTTGTCAGTCTTCGTTCCAAGTCTTTCTTACACCCAAAGACTTACATTCCCTCCAACACCACAAACGACCATTCATCCTGCATGATGTGATTCCCCCAGCCGCCAGCCATCTCTGCTATCCTATTTCACCACCATCCGTTAGTAACTTCACCGGGAAAGGCTTATCTCCAACATACCGGTAAATACACCTCAACAAAATAGCCACATACGCCCCCAAAACCGCATACCCAAACCTCCTGAACCCCCTATCATTCCACAACCTCACCACCTCTTCCCCAGCCTCCCCAGTCTTGATCCTATATCACCAAAGTCAGCATCATCCTCCCTCATCCCAATCTCAGAATACAACACGTACCACTTCCCAACCCTATACAAAAACTCCCCCCCCACCCCCCCAAACCCCCCCAAAACCACAACCTGCAACACAATACCCGCAATAATCGCCCTATTCCCATGCTCAACCAGTCGTATATTACTCACCGCACCCCCCGCCGCCAGCGCCCCCCCGATAGCCTGCACCATCAAACAACTAATATCCAACGGCACAAATATAAACGGGTATAACCTCGGCTTGACTCTACTCAGCCCCGGATTGAGTGATAAACACACATGCTTCAGTGTCAAATAAACCGAAATACACAGCAACGTCGGCGCAAGAATAATAGCCACGATCTGCGTCTCGAACGCTTTCTTGTTCCAGGGGTTGGACGCTAGCGGGATGCGCGAAATGTACCCTTCACAACAACATCAGCTCCTGTGTTTCCAAATAGAAGGAGAAGAGAAGGAACCCACCTGCGAGCTCAAGCGCGCACCCGGCCGCGACAAAACCAGAGTACGTCAACGTTTTTGTTCTGACCCCATGGTGCACCGTCGCCAAAAGAGCAATCCCAAAACCGACAGACAAAAAAATATTAATCCCCCTGTTGGGGTAATACCCCAGCGTAGTGGCGGTAACAGGGCAGGTAGGCGACACGAAATCGCACGAGTAATAATACGCCGCGATCAAGTTCTCGAGCTCGGTCGGGGTGAGGTTCGGGGGCAGGAGGGAGGGGTCGATGTCTTCTAGCTTGACCATTGTGACGGACGGACGGCGGCGAGGTTGGTGATAGTTACACACACGAAATTCGTTTTTTTCTTTTTCGGTAGGAAGTCTGATAAGAGAATCCAAAAGGGGCTGATACCCCTCATATCACAGCTTCATCTTGGTTTGAAATGAATTGCGTTGATGTGAAGAAAAAAGTGTCGGAGCCTTGACCGGATATCACACACAAACAACGGGAACAAAAACAAACTTGGTGTTGTCCATTTACACGCGGGGTTCACAACATACAAATAAAGAGCTGGCGCCCAGCGGCCTTCATATACTTCCATACAACACACTGTCACACCACCCACCACCTACCATCCGTCGGCAACCTCAATCCTGATTCCGTGAAAGTTCTTCCATCCCAAAAGTCCGGCATCGAGACTCACCGCGCCACGCACTGCAGGCCAAGAGCCCCTCTGTCAAAGAGAGCTTCCCCGGAATATCCAATGCTGAAGCTCAGAATACGATTACGGGCCGCTGAGAGAGCTCCCCTCACTTTCACCTCACCAATGAAATTCCGAGCCCGAATATCACCACCCCCGGTGTCCAATATTGGCACCCTTAAAGGCAGGTTCGGCGAGATAACGTGATGCGACGATGCAACGGCATCTGAATATGCAGGACTTGTCACCACTATAAACAAAATGCAACATATGAACATGAATATTCTCTCTTGTTTCTACCCAAGATTTCCCTGGTGAGACCAAGAAACTTCACGGCCCTTGACCATTCGTCTTGTCAAAGACTTGGTAGACAACCGAGAAATCTCGACCCTTGCATTCGGCATCCTTGGAAGCCCTTTCATACAGATCAAGAGCCTTGGTAGCCATGGTCTGCTGAAGGTCTATCCTCCGGGCGGCATCTTGAGCAAGTTTCATATCTTTCAACATGAGCTCGATGCCAAACCCGCCTTCGTAGCCACGACTTGCCGGGGCTGTTGGAACTACGCCCGGTACAGGATTGTTGACCTCACTTGCCCAGCACTTTCCAGTGCTAGCATTGATGACATCTGCCAGTACCTTGGGGTCAAGACCGAGTTTGACACCCAACAGCATAGCCTCCGCCGTACCGATGTTCTGTATCCCCAGCAAAAGGTTGTTGGCCAGCTTGGCTGCGAGACCAGCGGTTTGCGGACCGCAATGAAGCACTCGTTTCCCCATACGAAGCAAAATGGGCTCAAGGCGGCCGACCAGCGACTTGTCAGAGCCCAGCATGAACGTCAATGTGCCAGCTGTGGCGCCGACAACCCCGCCTGACATGGGGGCATCAACAAAGTGACCCTGCCCAGGGAGCTTGTCTTCCACCAATTGGCATACTGTGGACGACGTGTGTGGGTCAATCGTTGACGAGTCAATGAAGAGTCGAGGTTGCGGACGAGGTGGGAGATCCGCAATGTCCTTCAGCAACGCCTCATACGTTGACCGGACATGTTGTGGCTCGGGAAGACAAGAGATGACGACATCCTAAACGGCGCGCCGTTAGCAAACGTTGAACCACAGATTGGGGCGGAGTTGTGAAAACAAGTGTTTTTAGGCTTCTCAGAGGATTGGCTATTGTTTTGATAAAATCATGAATAAGGCCGGCGAACCGGCCCCAACTTAGACTGTTCATGTTTGGAACAAATTCATCATAAAAGCTTGTGGGGGATGTGGCAAGAAAAATGGAAGAAAACCTACTGCTTCCTTCGCAGCGTCTGAGACGCTGGTAGACACCTCTGGGGCAGCACCACCGGCTTGTTGCGTCTTCATTTCCTCGACGAGCTTTTCAGCTGCGCTCCGGTTGATATCGTACAGCCGAATGGTGTCGCCTGGTGGAAGTTTGGACTGGAGGTTTCGTGCCATTTGGTATCCCTGAAGAGGAACGGTTAGCTCCAAGAATTCCACGCAAAGACAGGCAGCAAAGTAAACATACCATCCGCCCAAGCCCAATGAAGGCATAGTTATCCAGTGCCCGCGGTGTAGTGGAAAAGGACCGACGTTGCGCCAAAGCCCTCGCGGGTCGCCATACTCTTGCCGTTGACATCTCGCCGAATAGCTATTCAGAATGCAGTTGATCGAAGTCGCGGTCAAGAACAATAGAGACGCCCAATATGCTCGGTGTTGGCTCCGGTCGAGCGGCAGCGAGGTTGCCATCCATGGCTGCAGTGAGGGGTGCTGGTGCGGACCGAACAACAAAGCCGACCATTGCCGATCGAGACGCTTGCTGTAGAGCTTCCATGGGTGGTCATCTGGTCAAACAAAGCGGAGGTAGGCCGAGACCGTCGGTTTAGAATAGAAAGAGATCTGTGGAGCGGAAACGGCACGCGCCGTCTGGGCATCCGCACCACATGAAATCAGTGCATTGAGATTGAGTTTGTTGGACTCAACGTCCTCGCGATCGTTTCGTGGTGTGTTTGCTGAGTGGAAAAGGTCAACCGAGAATTTTGGCGTTTTGTGTGCACAATTTTGCGATAAGCAAAGGCTGGCCCAAGCGCTGCATCGGCGCCGAGTATCTCCGCTCTGGAGTGGTAGGTGGATAAGATGTGGGCGGACAACTGATGATGGGTATGGGCACATGGGATGAGTATCGTAAATTTCGAGCAAGCTTTACAAAGTTGACTGCGAAAACTATATAGTAGGTATGAGAGATACTGCCGTAGGGTAGTGCAACAAGAATCTCACTTTGTGAAGCTCGCAGTCAAGTACTCCATACATCGCTGTGAAAAAAAAATGCCTTCAATTACAATGGGTGTATGAGTACGGTTGTATCGATTTCCTGTCTCCAAAAGGATCCCACGAGACGATACTGCCAGGCCCAACTAAACGATTGTCCCTCCTCCCTCCCATCCCTATTTAATCGACCATGTTGGAAGACGGCAGAGGCCGCGAAGGGGTATGTATGTGCAAAGAAACAAAGAACGCAACCAAATGTGAGAAGATGTCAAGGAAAGCCTCACTTTCCACATATCCTTGACTGATCCTCCGGAAAACTCCAAGACCCCAATAGCTAATGTGATAGATCCTCCGACTCCGAACAGACCACATCCTCAGCCAACGAAGATATGAGGCCCATCTCATCCAGACAACCGAATTTTGGACAGAGAAAAAAAACTTGGAAAAGAGCAGCAAGGGAGGATCCTATAGAGCATTGGCAATATAAGGGGTGATCATTGGAAGAAGAGCACTGCAAAAACGTGTTAGCTAGCGTCACTCGGAGCAATCATATCAACCCAAAACTCACCCAATAGCACCCACGGCAACTGTGGCTGTGACACCGAAGAAGGCCCTTCTGCGGATCTTCTGCTTTCTAATTTCCGCCTCGGTCTTGACCTTCTTCGCTTGACGAGACTCTGGAGCGTCTTCGTCCTGGTCATCTTCATCCTCAGCGATGTCGTCGGCCTTGCGCTTCGACTTGGTAGGCTCGACAGCAGCCTCGTTATCAACCGCTTTGGTGGCAGCCTCCACCATAGCTCGGGCCTCAGCGACCATCTTGGCAGCCTCCTCCGAAGAGGGAAGCTTGCCACCGAAAATGGGAACCTCGACGTCAACCTTGGTGTGCTTGACCTCTTCGCCATCGGCATCCACCTTGACATCCTGATCAACGTGAACCTTGATCTTGGGCTCCTCGGTCGTATTCAGGACAGCGCCGGAGTCTTGCTCGACAGCCTCAACCTTCACCTCGCCCTCCTTGACCTCCTCAACCTTGGCCACGGTTGTAACTGGGGCAGAAACACTGGTGGTCTGGAATATCTCGTCATCGCCGCCACCACCGTTCACAAGAGTTGCCTGGGAGTCGGCAGGCTGGGATTCAACTACACTAGGGACAGGGGGCTTCGATCCAGCCCTTCTTCTCCTGGGGGTCGCAATAGGGCGCCTGGTGGAGGGTGGCGCCGTCTTCGCCGGGCTGGCCGAGCGACTGCTGCGACGCAAGCGGGAGGGAGTCGGGGGTGGGAGAGAATATTGGGTGAGTCCATGGAAGGCGGGCGGGGCTTTTGGCCCCTCAGACGACGGGTTGACGGCAATTTCCGACGGATCCAGGAGTGCGCGAATCCACGGAAGAATCTTGTACTCAACCGCAAGATCAAGAGCCTGCTGGGGCGGGATCCACACATTGCCGGCAGTCTCGTTGGCACTCGTAGTCGGCTGCGATTTGATGTATCTGCGCTCTGCCTCCTCCTCTTCTAGATTCGCATACGGGAAGCTCGCCTTGAACATCCCGGTGGCAGACACAAAGCCATCGCGACTGCGGCGCATGAGAAAGTAGCTGCTCGGCGATGACTTGTTGAGCCCCCAGATTGGCGATACGATCCCCTTGGGAAGTGGGGCGCGCAGATGCGCGTAGTCGAACGTGTCATCGAGAAGGGGATCGTTGGCGTCGTTATGGGTGAACGCAGCCACCTTTGGGGACAATCTTGTCCGGCCCAGCCGGCGACGGGAAACCAGTTCGTTATCTAGTGGTCCGAGGTGAGTTCCTGTTCACTGCGATTGTGCAGTAGGGAAAAGCGGGTCATACGCGGTGGGACATCATCAATCATGAACTGATTGTAGCGCTGAGGCAGGTGACGGTGTGTGGCCATTTTGTCTGCTGCGAGTGTGCGTCTTGTGGAGCTTGAGCCCTCCAAAAATGGTTCCGTTTTGTGTATGTTCGTGATTCGCAACGAGATGTATTGGGATGAAAGTTTGATGTAGGATCGAAGTGCGCGACAAGCGAAATCTTTTGCGCGCAGCCGCAGGGGCCTTCGTGGGAAATCAGTCGTCCACAAGGCAACGAGCTTTGTTGGGATCAATCCAGAGCCTAGGTAGCTACAGGGCCCGGGATATCTGGGTAATAAACAGCAGAAAAAAGATGCGGTCCAATACTTCGGCGCAGCATACAAAGATGGTGCGACAGGATGGGATTGACAGGTTGACAAAGTGCTCGGTGCAGTTGACGATTTCCCCAGGCGCAATCTGTTAAACCTCTCTCTTTGGGAAAGCGACAGATTGGGAGAAAAGTGGCCGGGGCCCCGGGATCTCCTTAAGCTCAACACCCCCAACAGCGCGACTGGACCCATGGGGAAGGGTTTAGCGTGTTGATGGCACGGACCACTTACCACTTTGGAAGTCATCGAGGTCACGGGAAGGGCCAGAATGGGCCGTTGATCGGAGGTTTTGATTGGCTCTGGATTGCAGCCAGCGTGAGGGGAACCGACATGGGGGCGTCCACACACACGCGCCGTGGTTCCGTGGGGAGCCCGAACTGTCAACGAATTGCAACCTTCCAAGTTGCGAAGAAGGCATCGTTTTCAGGCCAGAAACGACGTCTCCCTCAAGCCTCCTACGCTGTTTCTTCCGGAAGTGGGACATGATGGTTGTACACGCCATCAACTCCCCTCTCCCCGTTACTGGCAACCCCTCATGAGGCTGCCGTCCCCTTGTGGCTGATCCTCGCGGCAGGCGCTCGCCAACACCTACCTACATGCGTTGTATGCAGTCTCCCTTGCTCCATAAAATCTGGGGAAGTTTTCACGTTGTCTTTGAATCCGGTCTTGCGGGTGACCCTTGAGCCCTTCAACGACGTTGCCGAATCTGTTCCATGCTGCACGGACCTTCGAGCCCCTATTTGGACCCGGAGAAAATGGAAGTCGTCAGTGCTGTCAAGTTCGCGACCGGATAATCGTTTCTTCCGTGCTCTTGTACAATCAAAAAGCCAGATCCCCAAACGTCTTTGCGATGGACGCAGAAGAACAAAAGGAGCGGTGTGCAGCTTGGGGATGCAGCTTGGGTGGCAGTCTTGGCTGGGCTCTCCTCGGAACCTTCAATGTCCCATATTTATTGACTGTTGATGGAAGGCTTGTTAATTCTGAGTGCTGGGTGAGAAAAGTGAAGATGGACAACAAAGAGCTTCGTGGACAAGAGTCATGGCTTAGTTATGATATCTTTAAACTGTTGAATACCTAGAGCTGTACCGAGCTCGAAACCTGGATGGCCCGCTCCCGTTCTGGCACCTTGGCATGTCGAGGTCGACAAGGGGTGACGGCAGCAGCCGACGTATTAAGTGGAACTAACAGCATCTCCGCCAAACGGCTTCCCAGAGTGTTAGTGTCGGTTGTATCTGTAACACGGCCGCTCGCGTCGTTTCCGGTCAGATAGATCGACCGTTGGGGACGACCGTCGAGGATATGGATGTTCTTCTCGGGTCCTTCAGCTAAATAATAAGCGTGTGGTCGGGATAACATATATAGTAGCAAGTGGCCTCACCTCTGGGCGGCGCTGCTCGACCTGACCCCTCAGTCTCGATGTCAAAGCCCTCAGTTGGGCCAATTGGGCATGCTGGTGCTGGCCAACCACGTCGGTAGAACAGAGGCCCCATCAAAACAGTTGGGGCCTCTGATGAGGTCCGGCCCCTCGTCAGGCTATTTGTTCCAGAAGTTGCGACGGTTCCAATGCTGCAGAGCTGCATGATTCAGGGCCAGATGCTTGCGGTCTCAAAGACCCCACCAAGGGGCGGCTTGGTCTCACTGGCTAGCCAAAGAAAGGATTGCCTGAGGAACCCCTCCATCAACCACCCCTCATCCACCTTGCTCCATCAGGCCCAGCCCAAATAAATAAGCTCCCATCATCATCCTCAGCCCCCTTCCCCGGTGTTCTGGTTCCCTTACAAGTAGTTTTACCTACCTTAACTCAACGACACCCGCCCCTAATTACTAGACTCAACGACGCCGTCTGCGCCTGCCACCACGAGTCAAAGTCGAACCGACGTGCCCAATCCCCACATCACAACGCTCACCGTAACTTTACTTTATCATCATGTCTGGCCACGAAGAGGATCTCCTGCCCGAGAACAACTCGGGCTACAAGCTCTCCCAGCCTAAGCAGAGCTTGGCTGAGTACCAAAAGATGGGTAAGTAAACGACTGCCCAGTGGGTTTTGCATCAGGGGTGATATATATAAAAGGACGCGAGTGAGAGCTTGGGCGAGGGGGTTGCGGCGGGTTGGGGTATTTCAGCAAGTGCTGGATGAGCATTGCACCTCAGTGGAAGGCTTGTTATCTTGATAATGGAATAGAGACGGAAATGGGGCGGGAGCAAGATATAAGTGCTTTTGCTAGGGTTAAACTTGGAGCATCCCGGGAGTCGAGCTCAATGCCCCGTCCAGCTGCCGGGAAAGCTGCCGGAGCAGGTGCTGTTCACTCGTCGAGAGCCCCGGTTGTTCCGTCGAAAACCGTTATTCACTGCTGGCTGGCTATTGTTCTCTGCAACGACTCGTCTGGCTGGCCCTGCCTGAGGCTTTCGACACTCGGAAGCTGTCTTACCCTTCTCAACACCACCAACTGCATTCTTCCCTACCTCCCGCGGCCTCACCACACCATCCACTTCAGCATTTTCTCTCTTTCTCTCTCACAACCCACAACACCTATTTTTCTCCCGCCCCCGAGTCCAACCGAGATCAACATGTCTTCGGGAAATAAAGTCACGTTCCAGGAGAACTCGGAGGAGAAGACAGATGCCAATGGCCGTGGTCGCGCTTTGAGTGGTGCCAAAGCCCCGGACCCGGGCTTGATTCGAACACCCTCCCGCCGTCTTCCGTCTCCATACCCCCATCACGATGCTCTGGATGAGCAGACGAGTCCCATCGGCAGCGCCTTGAAGCGTGCCAAAAACACTGCCTCTGCTGTCTTCTGTCTGGCCAACGCTAACCAAACCCACTCAGACGAGGGCGATGAGTCTCTCCAGCGCTACAAGGCTTCTCTTGGTCTGACTGGCGGAAACGACCTCTCCGACCCCAACGACCCTCGTGTCTGCATCATTCAGTCTCTTACCATGGAGTCTCCTGGTCGTCCCCCGGTTGTCATCGACCTCTCGGCCCCCGGCAGTGTTGACAGCCTCAAGAAGACACCATTCAAGATCAAGGAGGGCGTCACCTTCACCATGAGCGCCCAGTTCAAGGTTCAGCATGAGATCCTCAGCGGTCTCCATTACGTTCAGGTTATCAAGCGCAAAAATATTACGATCCCTGGTGTTGGCAAGTCTGACGAAATGATTGTAAGTTTCTTCCTGATGTATTCCACCACGCAATTGCAGTTTTGCTAACAAAGCAACAACAGGGCTCTTATGCTCCCAACACCGACAAGCAGCCCTTCTACACAAAGAAGTGTGCGTACAATCTGTTTTCTTTTTTTTTTGAAGGGGGTGAAGCACGATACTGACCAACCAGCTCAACAGTCCAAGAAGAGACGGCCCCAAGCGGCATGCTCGTCAGAGGCACATACCATGTTGCCTCTAGCTTTGTTGACGACGACAAGAAGACCCATCTCAAGTTCGATTGGGCCTTTGAGATTGCTAAGGACTGGTAAACATCGCGTCACCGACAACATTACTTCTCACAACCACTGGATTGAGCTGTTGAAAGCGAGGAAAAGGAACGAACGACTTGGAGCTTCAGCGACCCCAATCACCACTTTGCGACTCGAATCCTCAGGCGCGATTCACTTTTTTTCTTGCTAGAGGCAGGCACGAGGGCTTAGATTTGGAACCAAAAAGGGAAAAGTCGAAGGAAGAATAGTGCGGGGCAGCAAGTCGTGCAATCTGGGTTGTTCTTGCTTTTGGTGGAAGATGGAAGGGTAGGAACGATTGGGGGATTGCGAATTGTAGTAGCGTGGACAATACTTTCTCTCACACTTGCTTCTGGGGCTCTGCGAGCAGAGTCCCTTCTCAAATACACATCAAATGCCGAGTCTGCGCTTCTCGTCTTTTTTTTTGTATGTCTACTTGAACATTGCTTGTGAACCCCTATGCGAAAGTCAACAAACATCTGAGGGGGCCCCTTTTCCGAATGTAAACGAACCCCCGTTGCCGTTGCCATGCAGTCGGCCGGTGAACCTTGATCTTGGCGACGACTAAGCATGAGAGCCGAGAGAGAGGACGATTAAGCATGGGAGCTGAGAGAGAGAGAGAGCAACTAAGCATGAGAGCCTCAGTAGAACATAGCCTCCCACAACATGGCATGGCTTGTTATGTTTTTGGAGCAACTTCACAAGTTAATGAGACTGGGGAATCAAGACATTCTCTCACAACAAAATAGGTTCTAGCATGCAGCAGTCATGGTCACCACACTATGCATCTGCGACTAGTACTACAATGAGAGTGAACCACAAAACCATCTCTACCACGGAGTACCAAAGTGTCTTTTGGAGGAAATCTCTTCGAGTAAATAACTCCTCATTCATTTGGTATCATTCGTCTCCCTCTATAGGTATGTCATGCGCTATTCTTCAAAACAAATACAGGAACATGCCCTATTATTGCCCCTGCCCAACAGTTTGAGGAGGATGCAACTTGGTGCAGGACATCCTACAAATAACCCCCTTCTCTTGTCCCAGTTGGGCCTGCTTGAGGCGTGCCTGATACATCCCCGAGATCCAATCAAAAGCGAAAACATGAGCACCTTCTCTCGCTCTACTCCCCTGCGCCAACGCTGTGGTTTTCACATGCCTTCCCTTGGCAGCACTTCTAGTTCTAGTTTCCCAACCTCACCCTTATAAGAAGTAATCCGGCAACTGCCCCTGCTCCCCCATCTTATCCTGCCCCATCTGCATGTCCTTGACCTGGTCATTCTCGGGCGCGGCTTCGAAAACGTTGAACACCCTCTCTCCGTTCTCCCCCACTTCCAGCACACTCGCCATGTTTCCACAACGGTAACAGTAATTTGGGGCGCTCCACACCGTCGACAGCTGGTTGTCAAACAGCGTCTGGTATCCCTCCTGGCACAGCTGATGGGCGCGGAGGATGTGTTCCATCTTGTTGACTTCGAGAAACTTCTTCACGACTTGTGACCCAAATGTGTAGCCTGCGCCGCGGGGTGACAGGGAGAACTCGTCGCGCTCGGGGTCGGGATCGGACCAGACGAGATCGGCCATGGGGCCTTCGTGGGGGATCTCGCGGAAGCGGTCTATGATCTTGATTTGGTCGATGGAGTGGATTGATGGGGAGAGGCCTGCCAAGAAGGGGATTTGTCAGGGATGAGAAGGATGAAAGGAAAGGCAACGGGGTTCAAACTAACCACCATGTACGCAGAATATCCTGTCGTCAATCACCACACTCAACGTCAAGTAGTCAAACATGTCCGTGAAATGGTGCCAGACGTTGGCGTTGCCGTATTTCCTCGAGCATTCCGTGTAGAACCCATAAGACTGTGTTACGCCTCGAGACTCGTGGTTGCCCCTGATAAGGTGCAGCCGGTTGGGGTAGCGCAGCTTGAGGCATACGAGCAGCGAGATGGTCTCGACTGAGAACATGCCGCGGTCGACATAGTCACCTAGAAATAGATAGTTGGTGTCGGGACAGAAACCTCCGATGCGGAAGATCTCAATCAGGTCGTAGAACTGGCCGTGGATATCGCCGACGACGGTTACTGGGGCTTTGACATGGACAACATTGGACTCCCTCATGAGGAGCTCTTTTGTTTTGGCGCATATCGCCTCGATGACCGACTCGGCGAGGAGTTCCTTCTTGTAAAGACGGGCGATACATTCGTCGAGGTCGACGGAGGCTGCAAGACTCGACGGTCAGTGGTGGTTGTTGAAGAGGCAGGAAATGGCGGGACAGGAAGGTGCTGGTTTGCGCTGCGATGACCAGGGGCTGGGTTGCGAACTGCTTGCTTGCCTGGATGCGGGCATGACGTGTGCGTGGTATGGGGGAGCGACTTACAAGGGAGGCCTGGCATTTTTTGCTCGAAAAGATAAAGGAGCGTCGTTGAATCGTAAAGGAATGGTGGCGCCTAGCAGTAGAGAGGAAAAAGAGGATCAGGGACCGCAATAGCGGCGATGTCTCCCAACTCGAGCGATGTCAACGGAGATTATTGGAAATGCGCGAACCAACATATTCGAAAGAGATGGAGCAGTCACATATGGAGGGGGAAAAGATCCAGAATAATCGAAATACTCCGTCTATTGGTGCAGTCGGAACATAGGACTATCGTGGGGCGTAGAGATGAGGTGTGTCGAGGACCTAAAGCATCATCATGGCGTCGTTGTAGGAGGCGGTAATCGTGGTCGTGGTCTTGTCTTTTTTTCTCGATTCACCCACCTACTTGGTAACTGGCGCGCAGCAATTCACTGCCTGAACCAAGCATCATCATTTGTCGGTGGACCGGGGAATCCTCGGCGATAAGATAGGCCAACGGTTCCAGGTTTCAGAGCCTCGTTCACGGACCACCCCCCGCCAAACTCTCACCCACCGGCAACACGTGCATCTCTCACAGCTGCCCCACCTGGCGCCTGGGAAGTGTTTCTTTCAAAAGGGCACGTCTTCCCACCCGCACCGCTGCCGCCAATCTCTTATTCATTCATCCTCCTCTTTCTCGCCGTCGCTGCGGCCGCTGACCGACTGGCAGGGCATCGCCGTCCAGCGAATTCAATCAGCAAACCGTCGCCGGAAATTCTCACTGCGCTGAGTCGGATTCCGTTCTCCTTGGCTCTCGAATTCTGAACGTCAAAACCACTCACGGACAGCATTCATTGCTGCACTTCTCATTTTCTTGTCTCTTTCTCTACGTTCCGGCCATTTTAGCTGTTGAGGTTGTGCTCTCTGGCTGTTGACGTCTCCAACTCTCCAGCTCTTGCTTGCGTGTGTCTCCCCCGCCCCCCTCTGACACCTTCAGCACCTCGGGTCACTACAAGGTCCTCCCTCTCGCTGGTCTTGTTGAAAGCCGCCGCTCATATCGAGTCTTGGACGCGGGGTGGTGCTGCGCTGGGCATTTCCTTATTTTACTGTTTTTGTTGTTTTCCTCCTCGCAGCCTGTTGCCCAGGGTGCTTGAGGAGTTGTTGAGTTATAGACATTTACAAACTACTTCCCGTATCTGAATATCAAGATGAGCTTGTCCAACTTCAAGGTTGATAGAGGAACAATGTGGACAATGGCATCTGAAACTGCTCCTTTGCTGCTCTTTGCACCTGCCGTATGGCTGCCGATATCAACCGTTTCATCCCATCTCAATACCATTCATCCATCCATCATCACCATCGACTCAACAATAAAACCTGCTCACAATGACAGGTATTGTCTTCAAGTATCGAGCTTGGTTTCAAGTAGCCTCAACAGCATCTCTTGATGGGAACCACACAAATCGGCTCACGTGACATGAGTGAGGCCTGCGGTCTGCGGGGGCTGACCGTGGCGGCTGAGGAGATCCGAGCGCTTACCGATGAGAGGAGCGTTCAACCTCTGAATTTTGACATGCAGGTCCGATCACGCCGCATCCGCAACGACCATCCGCGAGTCCCTGCATCTTTAGCTCTCATGTTACAAGGCTGAGAACCATTATCACTCACTATTGCTATTCATCTCTATGTTGCTGCTGCTGTCTGGCCGGGCTGGGATCAAAGGAGGAGGAGATTGAAGTGCGGCCGAGTCTGCTGCTCACTGAGTGTCGCCAAACCGCCTGGGCTCAACTACCCCTGAACTGTGACTTGGTTGTTTCAGAGGATCGCGTGGACTTGAGGACTACCTAGCAGTGCCGAAGCCCCCTATTCGAATGCCAGGAACAGGCGTCAAGCGTTATCTCACGTCGTGTCGAGGCCGGTCGAGTCTTGAGATCGCCTTGGTGTGGTATCACGGTATCGCGGGCAGAATCGCTACCCTTGTGCGACCTTCATTACATTGGAGATCAGACGAACGATACGCGCCTTCCCTATTCACCACGACCCCTTTATTGTTGTCGGCAACAATAGTGCTCTCTTGCAGCTCTACCTGGCATTGTCCATTGTTGAATACTGAGAAGGTTTTTTGGACCCCAGCAGTTGGGTATCTTTTTCGGACTGTTCTCATTTCACTTGCCTCAACCACGACTCTTCCCCCGACTTTCCAATCACACCACCATGTCCACAGCACCTGGCCAGTCATCCCCAGACAAGAAACCCAACGAGCAGTGTTACAACTGCGGAAAAGATCATTGGACGTTGGCTTGCCCCGAACCGCAGAGGCCGATTATGGAGTAGGTCGTCCATTTCTTTCTTCACAACTCGACTCCTTCGATCCGGAAGACGTTCAAACCCCTTTCCCACTTCGATTTGTTTACTAACATTCTTGGCACAGCGGCATTCAGCGCTGGCAGTCGCGGCATCAAGAGCAAGGTGGTTCCAACCGTAACAACTCATCGCAAGAGAGACGCGGGCCAGTCGTAGAGCGTTACCCTCCCCTGCCGAATCACGGTCAAGCTATGGGCGGATACCCACCACCTTCAGGCTATCCCGTCCCCGGATATGCTGGCATGCCTCCTGTTCCTCCCGGCTTGCCTCCTGCTGGTCCACCTGGCTTGACTCCTGGTGGCCCTCCTGGTCTTCCACCTGGTCCTCCTGGCTACACCCCCAATGGTCCTCCCGGCTTCAATCCCAGTGGTCCACCAGGTCTGTCTTCTGCCGGTCCACCCGGTTTGCCCCCTGGTGTTGCACCTCGCCCCCCAAACCAACCCCCTCCACCTCCACCAGGACCTCCCCCTTCTCATCCTTACCAGCCGCAGCAACCATATCCACCAGCCCAGTATGCTGGAGGTTATCAAGCACCGCAGCCACCACAGCAGGCACCGCAGCATGGTCAGTATATTCCACCAGTTCCTCCACAGTATCCACAACAGTATGGCCAGCAACCTCCTTACGGCCAGCATCAATATGTTCCACCATATCACCCACAGGCCGGCCCATATGGCGGTGCCCCGAATTATCCTCCTCAGCAGTACGGTCAGCCAGGTCCGCCTACAGGACCTGCGCCATATGCTCAACCTCCTTTTGGCAGTCAAGCCCCGCCTCCACCACCTGCCGCCCCATACTATGCTGCCCACGCAGCTGGGTTCAGCCCTCCTCCCCTTGCCACGGGGGCATATCCCCCGCCTCCTCCGCCCGGCTGGGTTCCTCCTCCGTTCCCACCCGCCCATCAGCAGGCAGATGGCAGACACCAGCACTCGAACAACAATCGAGATAGAAAGGACCGGCGGAGGAGGAACAGGGATAGAAACCGAAATGGAAACCGCAATAACAACGGCAATGGTAATGGCAATGACAGCCAAGGCCGAAATGGTCAGCGCAGAGACCGGCCGCATAGCCAGCAAGTCCGGCAGCAGGCGTCTGCGGACGAAAACCAGGTGTCACCGGACGCCAGCCCAGCTCGGCGGCAGTCGGTGACGGGCGGTGACGGGGCGTTGGCGGGCGGTGCGGGATCGTCGGCGGATGTGACCAACCCGCCCGCAGATGTCGTAAGTTCGTTGGCGGATGGCAGTCAAGTGCCGGCTGAAGACATCCCAGCTTTGGAGCAGCCAGCAATCGAGGGCCGTGAAGGCCAAAAGAAACGCCGGGGGAGGGCCGGGTCGCCAAGTCCACCCAAAGATCCCAATGAGTGGGACTTTGTGGTGGACAACAAGCATGTCTTCCCGGACCTGGACCCAAAGCCCGCCGACCCCGTTGGCATCCCACTCCCCTTCCACTTCACGGAAGATCCCACCATCCCACCGGCTTACAATGCCACGTGCATCAAGTCAAAGTACTTCAATGAGTATGACTTGATGGACTTTTGCAAGTCGGTGCGGGACAAGGAGGAGTGGGAGAGGCTGAAGAATGACCCCATCTTTCGTCACTACCCTGGCATGGTGAGGAGGACGTTTCCGCCAGACAATAGGATTGAGTACTCCACATACGAGCCTACCCCTCCTCTTTCCCCTTCTGTTGAGATCAAGTTGCCGCCCAAGTATGAGCCGCCTCAGCCAGCCTCCCCCGCCCCGGCTCCAGTTGACAGCCGGTATGGTAGCGAGTATGACAGCTTTGAAGACAAAAGAGGTAGACGGGATGACCGCTCCGTTAGAGACGATGATGTCGGCTTCCGCTCTCGCCGTTCGCCCCCCCACCAGCCCAGGCATCAAGACTCCCCACGCGATCGTGATCGTCGTGGCCAGAGCAGCAACCAAGACCGCTGGTCACGTTATCCTGATGACCGCGACAGAGACCGCGGCATAAAGCGTCGCCGAAGTGCCTCGCCCCCGACCCCAGCCGACATAACCGCCGACCCTTGGTCCCCCAACGCCGTCGAGCCTCCCTCCACCAAACGTCGCAGTGACGACCGCCACTCCGACACCCCCCGCGGGAGTACCTACCGTGACCGCAACGACCGCGTCCCCTACAACAAAAGAAACGACAGCGGCTACCACAGCGGCCAATCCCTCGACAAGATCTCCTCCCGCCGCGACAGCCCAAGAGAGTGGCAACCCCAGTCCAACAGGCGAATGTCCAACCGCCCCCACGGTTACGACCAGCGCAACCGGTCTGCCACCCGCAGTCGCAGCAGGAACAGCAGCAGCGGCTGTGAAAACGCCAGAAGCCGCACCAGAAGCCGGTCGCCTCCTCCCCGGAAAAAAGCTGCTTGGGGTAGAAGTAGGAGTAACTCCCCTTTGACGTTTCAGGACAAGATGCTGCTTGGTTTTACTGGAACTGAGAGCTCTGATGAGGAGGAGAAGGAGGTGGAGAAGAGGGTGGCCAAGGCGAGGAGGATGGAGAAGAAGAAGCCGCCTGTTAAAAGGCCCAAGGTTGCTTCTGCGTTTAAGTAAGTTTTGCCTGGTCTTTATGTTGTTTATAAAGTATGCATACTGATAATCTTTGTAATAGTCGACGTTGGTAGCCGGACTTGAGCGTTTCCAAACGAATTTTTGTGAAAGGGGAAACATCGTGCCTTCGTGGTGGATTTAGCCATTTTTAAAAATGGTGTTTTTTGAAGTTGGCGTTTGCATGCGTTTCTCTTTTTCGAGGTCGATGATGGGTTTAGTTTAAGGCGTCTGGGAATGATAAGTTGCTGTTTGCAACCGGGAAGTAAGGATAAACCTGGGATTGAAGTTATATAGCATTGCGTTTCAGTTGCACATATAATTGTACTTGGGATGTTGAATACTCTGCAACTTGTTAGATGGTATTTCTTACTATGACCCTCGTAGGCTCCATGCAGCAGAGTACCTCAAGCTCACGTAATGAGGTCTTTGCTGAAAAAGAACTGAAAACTTCAGGGTTAGTGACCGAGATGATACTCGAACTGCAGCGTCCTACGGTATATAGATGCCATCAAAGGAAAGAGGCAGGAGAGAAGCGTCGCCTTTGACTACTGCGTTAATTGGATAGCACGGTGCGACTTGATGTGATGTTTGGACGATTTTAGGAACAATGTTGGGACGCAATTCTGATGCGGCTGCGCCTGGACTAAGTTGAGATTGTTGCCTGTTTGAAAGGGTGGTGTTAGAGAAAGACATCAAAGGTCGTAGGTAGTAGAGCGTGGGTGATTTCACGCTCAGCAAGACAACTATGACAGACACTGTGCTCTGGTCTCATTTTTCATCATGTAGTGCAGTTTGCATGTTACATGATAAAAAGATTGCCATGATTTCGTCTTGTTTTTTTTTTGTGAGAGTATTGTCCAAGACGACATGTTCAGCCGACTTGGTATAAACAAGTACTGTAGCTTGAGTGATGACAATGTAATCGAAACCTGACTCCTCTTTGAGGAATATATGATTTATGCTCGGACGATTTATCCTCAAGTATCTACAGTTTCATAGGCTCTTTCCGGCTTCATCAATACATATTCAGTTGGCCTTGTCTAGTAATGCTCGGACGATTTCTCCAAGTGAGTGATGTAATGCGGCTATTCTTCTTGAACTGAGCCTCTGCTTTTTTATTTGATAGCTATTTACTCGGATTCGGATTTATCATTTCTTTTTCCTATGGTGTGGCATTCGGAACTATGCTTGGACGATTGATACTTGAAAATCTTTATCTGAATTCGGGGCGATTTACCAGGACAATCACCAGCAGGATTCAAGGGCACTGTGGAATGTGTGACATGTCCAGACTGATGAGAATAAACATCCTCAAAAGTGATGTGCCTGTTTATTTTCTCTTATGCCACTACTCTGGTAGTTCCTTCGGTCGGTCTCTGAGATGAAGGGAGGAAACTCACCTAAAAGCCCCTCTTTGACGGGTAAGGCAGAGATCAGTTTGACAACCAAGCGCCCAACCCTTCACCATTGCAATCCAGGCAGTCTGGAAAGGATAGAAATAGGAAGCCAAGATCTCAAAGCTGCTGGCGTGCGTCACCTGCATAATCTCCACTTTCCTGGGCCCTTTCCGTAAGCAACTCTACCACCCATGGCCACAAGCTTTGCTGTTGGTTCATGCTGCAGCTGTAGCCTGTGTCCAAGACCATCGTGCCTTCCCAAGGAGGCAGCCCTACTCGCCCCCCCAAATCCCCTCAGACCCAGTCATTGTCAGCGCTTGCCCCTCATTTACCAATCCTCTTCCACCACATCCATTCATGGATCAAATGCCAGTTTGAATTATCGTCCACGAAAACCAGTGATTACTGCAGTCAAGGCGCCGAGACATAATCCATGATCCGTACGACTCCACAACTTCAGCATCCACCAAATAGTCTCACCAAAGCCACGCCCACCCCACCAGGGCTGACCGCGGACCAACCTCGACGGCTGCCTGCCTATCGCCCAAAATGCAGTTATGTGTCAACCCAACGTTGCTAGACGCGGCCCGCCACAGCCGCATACCAACAGTCTCAACCCGCCGCTGACATGCATAGCAAAGTCAACAACCACTGGCGCCAAGCCCATCGTCAATGCAACAGTCAGTCAGGGCACGATGGACACTCAACTCGACCCCGCCAACCTGCCCCGCCATGTCGTGAGATTCATATAGAGGGCCAGAGATCTTTTGTCTTTACCTGCTTGGACTCTGTGTCTATTCAAAAACAAACAAAACTTGAACCATGGCTGACCCGACTGCCATCACGGCCGCTTTGACCGGCCTCTTTCCTCTGGTCAAAGGTAAACATTGCCCCTTTTCAGGCACAAAATGGGCATATTGGCTGACGGTGGAAACGGACAGAGGTCTTTTTAATGACCCAGGTTCTCTTTGAGGCCGACAAGAAGCTTCGCTCTTTTTGGGCACGGGTGGAACTCCAGAGAGCAGTATGATATCACCGGGAAGCACTCTAGAGTAGACTCTCATGCTAACAACGGCTCTCCTATCACCAGATCTTTGATGCCTGGGAGGATGGGTGGCTCGATGCCCGGGACAAGCCTGATGATAAGATCAAAGCATACGCATTTGAAAAGCCACTTCTGGCAAGGGGTATCTTGAAGGAATTCGTGAGCCTGCTCAAGACACTCTCGGATCCCGACAAGCTCAAGAAAAGATACGGTCTGAGGCCCGACAGGATCCCCAAGTATGCGACCAGAAACGACGATGTGCCGAGGGACTTGAGATACTATTCGGATTATCTCAGCGGTGTCGACAGCCGCTTCAACATTAAGGGACTTCCTGCCTTCAACAAGAGCATCAACGACCACTTGAACTTGCTCAAGACTGTCCGTTATGTGATAGTGGGAAAGGACTACGAGCTTGAGGATGTAGTCATCCGGTTCACCGAGTTCAACCGAGACTTGCAGCTGTATACTGACAGCGAGGCCAACAACGAAGCGGTCCAGAGAATCTACGAGGTTGTCCTGACGGGCCTCCACTCGAAGCCTGACGACCCAGCACGTCTTGCCGAGGCAGCTCTGTTCGAGCAAAAGGCAACCATCGACCCCGACGCCAAGCGATTCTACGGCGACATCGCTAAATTCATCGGCTTCTCCCTCTCCCTCCGAGACGTCACCGTCCTCAACGGCCGCGGCCTCAGCCCCAACATGCCCTCCCAAAAGATCTTCACCCGCCGAGACTTCTCCTTCGACGCCCCTTACAAACTCGGCCCCCACTCCACCCTCGCCCGTCTTTTGGATTATCCAACCAAATACCAAACCCGCCTCGTCCTCGTCGAGTGGGTCCCCGTCCCCAAGACCGTCAACGTCAAGACCAAGCTCGAAGGCCTCAAGTCGGAGTGGTATGTTCTCCACGCTGACAAACCCGACGGTCTCCTTTTGCCGACCGCCCAAGGTCTGGTGTACGACAACACCGACTCCAACTTCATCGGCATCGTCTTCCAACTCCCGTCGCACATCAGGACGGAAGTTCCCCCCAAGATCGCCGGCCGGGTTGATCACCGGGTTGTCCGCTCCCCCAAGACCACGGCCGCTCAAAGGATGCCCACCAGCCTGAGGCAGCTCATCCTCCAACAACCGGCCCTCGACCTTGGCGTCCGGTTCAAGCTGGCGCAAAAGCTTCTCAACTCTCTGCACTTGATGCACACGGCCGGCTGGATGCACAAGCGCATCCGCGCCGATAACATACTCTTTTTTCCCTCCCAGAGCCGAGACGGCGAGCCTGACCCGACAAGACTGGACTTTGAGAACCCTTTTCTCGCGGGGTTCCACTCTGCTCGCTTGGAGATTGAGACGTCGTCTGTTCTTGAGGTGGCTGCGAAGCCGCTGGAGCATATCCGCCCGCTTCAGGGGCTGGGGAAAGTGCTGAATCAGCCTAGGGTTGTCGCGTTGGATGCGTACCAGCATCCGGAGTATAGGTATAATGTCAACCTGCCCTACCGGAATCAGTATGACCTTTATGGGGTGGGAGCTGTGCTGTTGGAGCTGGGGCTGTGGGAGACGCTCGAGATGTTGGAGAAGGGGGATATTGGACGGAGGGGGTATGATCCGAGGGTTGTGCCGACCAAGGATGATATCAGGAAGGATGGGGAGACGGTGGAGAGGGCGGGGTGGAAGTTGGATAGGTAAGTTTCTTTTTTCTTATTCTTTTCGTTATGCGGATGTGGGTTGGCTAACTGAGTGACAGGATTATGGGCTCAACATATGGAAAGGTGGTGAGGGAGTGCTTGGCGCTCAAGCCTATGCCGGGGGATCTGCTTGGGTTGGAAAGGACGCTGGTGGCGAGGTTGGCTCATTGCCAGGCCTGATCAGGTTGGTTGGGATCTAGGGTTGAATGAAAATAACAAGAGGGTTACGAGCCAAAAGACAAAACGATAAAGTTTAGCCATGTATTTCCCCTCGTGATCATCCATGTGTAAAGATGCCGTCTCTATCATCAGCGCTATGCTCAAACTTTTGAACTTGCCTATTCCAACTTGACCAATCATGACCTTCTACGAAGGCCGTACAAGTCTAGCATCCTCATCACTCTCCTCCTCTTCACTGCTTTCTTCCTCCGACTCATCCTCTTCTTCACTTTCCTCTTCCTCTTCCTCTTCCTCCTCCTCCCCCTCCCCCTCCCCTTCCCCCTCTTCACTCTCCTCTTCCTCCTCCTCTTGCTCCCCTCCCTCATCCTCAGCCAACCAATCATCCAAAGTCTTAGCACCCACCCCATTAGCAGCACTCTTCGCCCCAAACGACCCAGCCGGACTGGCACTCCCCGACATGGAAGCCGACCTCCCCTGTCCCGCATCAATAATCCTTTCCGCCGCCGGAATTGGCACACTGCCCGCCTTGTTCCTCCGGTCATAAACTCCATACTTGCCATCATCCTGCCTGTTATCGCCTTCTCTATCCCTCAACTTTGCATCTGGCTCCTGCCCCTTTTCCACCCACTCGGGCAGGTCTTCGTAGCCCCTTAACCCATGAATAGTTCCCCCTCCAGCGAGGACAAGAGCTGCCGAGCCGAGGGTGTAGCCCTTGCGGGTTTCGGAGGGAGACGGGGCTTGGGGAGCGGGTTTAGGAGCGAGGAGCATGAGGGTTGCTAGCTGTGGGACTTGGAGCAGGCTTTGGTACAGGCGAGTCCTATCGCGGAGGTCATAGGAGGTGTCGTAGCGGGCGAGTACGGTGACGTAGTTCCATAGTTTGGGGATTGGATGGTCGTCGTCTTCTTGGTCCGGGGTGGCGGGTGGCGTTCGGGCTTCGTTATCGCCAGAGGCAGCCTCTTTCTGGGCTTCGAGTTTGCGGTTGAGGTAGTGGAGGTAGACTTTGGCGGCGAGGAGAACAATTTGCCTCTTTGCCAGCTCGGATTCTGATGGGAATTCTTTGAGAAGAATGCGCAGCACGTCTGCTGCAATGTTGTCCTCCCCGTTCAAACCAGAGAATTCACCGACGAGCCAGATAATGGTCGCACGGGCCTGGGGGTCTGTGGCGCTGTCGAGGTTCTTGGCTAACCGAACAACAGTCGCGACGTGGGAACTGGGGTCTTGCTGAATGAGATGGCGGATTACCGTGAGTGACTCTGCTGCGAGGGTCCCATCGAGAGAAGTAATTTGTCCGAGAAGAAGGCGAAGGCATCGAGGTGCGGTGGCGGTGTCTGTCTGTGCGCAGCGGCCGATGGCTCGGACGGCTTCCTTGACGAGACCCTTGTCAGAGCCACGGCTGAAGTGCTCGAGTTCGTTGAGGATGAGTGACTTGATATGTGGCGGTGAATGAGGAAAGATGAGGGTCAGGACCTCAAGCTTCAACTCCCATATTGGTTGGCTGTCGGTTGCGCGGACGAGAAAGTGTGTGGCGTACTTGACAAAGGCGGCTGGATAGTCGAGACAGATCGACACTATATTGAACAAGGCAACCTGTTGAATATCCTGTCCACCTCGGAGAAGTGCAACCAGGGGCCCAACAGCTTGCCGGACGTAAGCAGCGGTCCCAACGGCAGAGTAACACCGTGCGACGGCCACCACCACGCCAGAGTTGCGGGACTGCAAAAGAGGCTTGATACTGGTAAGAAGGAGCTCCAGGTCGGCGTCCAGGAACACGACTTCCTCCCCAGCTTCCACTCTAGCCCTCCTTGGAAAGCATTTCCGGGCATAGACAGTCATCAGACGCAGGGTTGATAGCTGGCTCCACTCGTCCATGTCGACTACCATTTTGACCAAGTTTCGGTAGTTCTTGTGAATCAAGTCTATCCTTTCCGGGCAAACTTCCAGGAATGCCGTGACCGCAGCGCCTGCCACGTAGTATTGCTTGTCCCCCAACAGCGTCGTCATGTATTCCAATAGTTGCGGTAGTTGCGAGGGGTCGAGGCGATAGCACTTGGGGATGGCGAGCGCAGCAGCGCGCCGAACATATGGGCTCATATCGCCAGCGCCCTTTCGGATGGCCAGAGACACAATTTGACTGATGACTGGCACTCGTATTCCAGACATGGTTCGTAGTGCGAGGGCTCGAACTTGGGGGTTTGTATCGGATAGGGACTTTTGGATCGTGTTGATGGAGAGAAGGGCTAGGTCGGGTTCTTGCTCGGCATGATGTATTAGGTAGATGTAGACGAGCTTCTTAATTTCGAGGTTTGGTGACGCGACATTCTTGACGACGGAGGAGAATAGGGGGAGGGTTTTTAGCGCCTTGTACATCATCTGAAAGAAGGCAAACACTGGTGGTCAGCAGCTGGAGCTGGGAGAGGCTTGGGAGGGAATGCGCACAGCGATGACACGCCGTAACCCCTCAAGTACTTCACGATCATTGCGGCTGTCGAGGAGTTTCTTCACTTGGCTACGGTCGAGCGGCTTGAAGGAGCTTCTCGAGCCTCTGGCGGCTGAGGCGGCATCGAGGGTGAGCTCTCGAGCTGGTGGATGGAGGGCGGAATTAGTAACGGCGCATGATTAGCATTTGCTTCCAGAGGCTCACCATTCTCGAGCAAGCTCGATATACGAGCTATCGACTCCATTATGTCTGTTCGGCGCTGCGGTTCCTCTTTTCCCAAGACCAGACCAGACGCAGTTGGTGATTGTCGCACACCTAGGCACTGTGGTGTAGACAGTGGCCTTGGGCAAGTGACGTGCTCCCCTGTCCACCTTGCTGCTTGGGAACCTGGAACCGTGGAGCTGGGGCCAACTGTCGCGACGTTTGGTGGGGTAAAGGGCGCTATGCAGCTAAACACTCCAACGCCCGTTGACCTTAGCGGGGCATTCGCCTTGACGGCAGCACGTCCCGGTGACGGCTCGGTCCACTCATGAGCCCACTTCACCATCACTCCGATCGACGACCTGTCTTAGGAGGACGCATCTGGAGGCCTTCTCTCACACTACACGGCATTGATCATCTCATCTATCTAGATGGATCCCCTCTTTCTGTCCCCCGCCCTGCCATCAACCTTGATCCACTACATAATCCACCACTGCACCTACCCAACAACCCTCCTCATCTGCAGCGATCGTGCCGAGTTCCTTTCCGCTCTCACACAGGAGTTACAAACCCAACAACACCATCAGCGGCAGTCGGAAGCCACAGCAGATCCTGACACAGACGTCGGCCCAGACCATCTCGGTCAAGCTCCCCACCAACCATCATCCCCCCCAAACCACACAGCATCAGCGCCTAGTCTCTTAACTCCGCCCCCGTTGTACCAGCTGGCAGTCACACGGCACATACGGACAGTATTCATACCAACCGTGTCACACCTCCGCGCTTTTCTCTCCGTTTTCACCCTTCAGGACACGGCAGCTGTTTCGGCACCTCCCACAAGCACGGCCGCGCCTAGGTCGTCATCATCCGGAGCAAACCACACAACTCCTTTGCTCCTGGTGTACGGATTCCTGGGGTCACATCGGCATACGAGCGAGTGGAGTGTTCAGGGCGTCAATGGTACGGCCGCTGTGCTGGTCGTAGCTGCGAAGCAGGCGGGGTTAAAGGCCGTGATCGTGGAGGCTCCTCCTCTCTCTACTTCCTCTCCTGACGAGGCTGGTGGGGATACTCAACACGCAGAGGATATTCTGTCAGAGAAGATGCCCGTGTTGAGCGGCAGCTCAAAAAGAACAGGACTCAATCTCGAAGGAACCGGCTGGTCAGGCAAAACCATTGAAGTCAGCAAGGTTCTTGGAAGATGGTTCCGCTTTCAAGAGGGAAATTGGGAGGCCTGACAGCAGTAGGTGTCGCCACGTAGGTTACATTTCTATTTGTATTGCTGTGTTCCTGGAACAGCAACGAAAAACGTGTTCCCCTCTGCCGTGCATAGTTGAGCAAACAGCCAACATCTTTTCCGATGTAAGACATGACATGGTGCCGCCATGGGCCCTCATGGAGAACAACATACGTATTGATACCCAATTTCTCTAGCAAAAAAAGTCCAATGCTAGCGCCGACGCCGTCCCGTGGTATCTCTGCATCCTGATAATCCTAACAAACCAAATAGAAAACAGCCGTGCCATGCTAAAGTCCTCCGAAAGCTTTTACCATATATATATATATATATATGTGTGTGTGTGTGTGTAAACAAACAAGATGACACGTGAAATCAGCAAGGGCTCCTTAGAGGGCTTGCTCCATCTCGGTGATGTACAGCTTGATATGAGACTCCATCTTGAGGTACTCGTCATACGCAGCCCGCACTTCGTTTTCGATATTCTCTTTGAGGTCGAGCATCTGTGAACAGTTAGCGTTAGCCTGATGACTATGTAAGAGTGCAATCTGGAACATACCTTTTTCTCAATCTGTTCGATCCTGACTCTCCTCCTCTCAATATCCTTGCCCTTCTCTGACCTCTCCTCTGTGAGCTTCTTGTGTACCGCCCTCAGCTCCTCCATGGACTCCTTCGCCCGCTGAGCCTTTTCTTGGCTGTGCGCTCTCAACGTCTCAGTCCTTTCCACCCACTTGGCCAGTTGCCTCTGGAGAAGGGCTTCCGTCCGCTCAACCTCGCGGACGCTAGCTCCACGCTCAGTAAGCGCGTCTCTCTGCTTCGCGTTCTTGGCGTTCTCCTCCTCCTCCTTTGCCAGCTCCACCCCAATCTCCTCCAGCAGCTTGATACAACTCGCCACATCCCCCGTCACGACCGTAAACGAGTCCGTCGACGTCTGCAGCGCCCTCGCCCTTCTGTCAAGGCTATCAATATGAGCCTTGTCCCCATTGAGCGTATTGCTCAACTCCGTCAAAGAGCTCTGCAGCGCCGACGGACTTTGCAGCGTATACGGCTTCAGCTTCGCGCTCTCCTGCTTCAGCATCACCTTTGTCGTAGTTTTATCCTCCAGCTCCTTCGTCATCTCCGCCTTTTTGATCTTTGCCTCCTCCCACCTCGCGGCGACCTTCTCCTGCGTCTTCCTCAGCTCAAGCAACTTGTGCTTCAGCTCCTCGTTCCGTTTCGTCTTCTCCGCCACCTGCACCTCCATCTGTTTTCTCGTGAACTTCATGTCCTCCAGCTGCCCCTCCATGTTCTGATTCTCTTGGTACAGCTGCTCAATCCGCGCCTTTGTCTGCTCCGCGCGATTGCAATGCTCATCAATCACATTCGTCTGCGACTCTCTAAACCTCACAAAATTAATCACATAACTCAACAACTTGACCAACCGATCATGCGTCGGCTTGTACAGATCCCCAAAATTGAAATCATGCACCCCGCACTGCTCCATCAGTATCCTCAAGTTCCTGAAAAAACCCAACAGGTTCCTCGTATCGGCCGGCATGAGCGCATCGCAGAGGTCTACCCCGACGATGTCCTCGGCGGCAGCGCGCATGGCAGGGTCGACGGTGGCGCGGGTCTTGTTCATGAGGAGCTCGCCGAACCACTCAAAGATCATCTGGACTTGAATCGGGTTTGGCTTTTGGAGGTCTTGAACCGTGAAAGAGATGCCGAGCTCGTTGATGCAGCCGACGATCTCGCGGTCGGGGAGGCGCATGTTGGCGTAGGCGGCTTCTTCTTCTCTTTTGGCGGCGCGGGATTTGGAGGAGGCGCCGGCGCCGGAGCCGGGGGGGAGGCTGCCGGGCATGATGGACATGCGGGGGTTGTAGGACATGATGGCGGTCCGGATAGGGGGGAGCGCGAGGTGCGCCGGACGTCGAGGTGGTTTTCGAGGGGAAATTGGCGGCTTTCGGGGTAGATGGGAAGATCGGGGAGGGGGTTGTAGTGCGGGGGCACCAGCAGGTTGAGTCTGGCTTCGGTGCCGAGTGCCGGGTGGTGAATTGACTTCTGGTCGCGGTGTTGAAGATGCGCCACGTGTGGTGGTGAACCGTTGATAATTTGGGTGGGCCGTGTTGACGAAATTTGGTGGGGTGTTGCTCGGGAAACTGGATCCCTGCAGGCTGAATATCCACATTGACTTCAGCCTCGGTACATGCAAATTGCTCGGTTTACTCAATATCAAATTGGTACTCTTGATTTCTGGAACATCTGAAGATCGCAAGCCAAGCATATAAATATAATGCTGAGTCCATCCTCTTTTGCGGAACTCCTTGCGGACGATACCTCGTCTACTAGGTGCCAATCAATCCACTTCTGCCAGAGCTCCTGCGCCTTTTGGGTGGACAGTCCGACCGATATCAGAGTCTCCAGTGAAATGAGGGCATCGGGGATGGTGAAAAATGCTTCTGAAGATTCTGGCGCGTTGGGTGGAGTGAGAGGGAGATGCCGGTATTCTTTGTCGCCGAAATGGTTCAACGGCGCATGTGAAGCCGCTGAGACCTCCCAGGGCCTGGAGATTCTCAGCGTCCTGAGGTGATAGCATTTTGGTGCTGGTCGACTCAGCCAAGGTGAAGGTGATGAAAGGTGCGAAGTGATGAAAGGTGCGAAGTGATGAAAGGTGGAAGTTGAGAATCGAAGAAGAATTACCAGCTACGCTTTTTATATCTGTGGAAAGGAAACAAGAATACCCAAATCAAATCTGAAAAGCTACACTCAATAAGACTAGAAACTTTACCAGCGCGCACATTCGGACCAGAGACTTTAGATACCTATAGCTTGTGCCTTATAATCTATAGCTATGACGAAACGGAAAAATAAATGAAATAAATGAATTAAGGCTCTCGAGTCTAGCAATGCCCTTTTTTCCGCGCTGAGGTTGGTAATTGTGGAGGGAAGTTGTGAAGTTATTGGAAGATTTCCCACTTTCACAAAACTCGAAGGATCAGAGTTCAAAGGAACAGGTCGAATTAGGTTGAATCAAATCAACTCAGCAAAGCTAAATTAATGCAGCAAATGAAACCATTACATTAAACTATGCCATTAAACATGAGAAGGCTGAACAATGACACCGAAAAGGGCTTGTTTCTCTCTTAGAATTGATTTGCATGTTGTGGTTATATTCAAGGCATGGCGATTTGAGCTGGACTAGGGCGATGTGAGCCAAGGTTGAGCAGGGCAGCGCCAAGTTCGCTGGGACTCAAAATCGTTCAACCACACAATGGTTGGTAGAAACGTCACAAACATATCACCACTTATGGCGACAAAAAGCCTGAAGGCCAGATAAGTGCCAAACGATGGCGAGCAAGTTGTGGGCTTTCTTCACATGGCGGACTGTACACAGATCTATGGTTTTGGCAACCAGTATCATGCATCCACAGACCCCGGGCCATCGACTTCATCCTGGTGGCACATCATTGCCGAGCCAGGCCCAGGACTGTGGTCAACCCTTGTCGAACCGTCAGAGAATCTACCCTTTGCCTGTTACTAGACGTCGCACGTGTCCTGACACAGCATATCGATAGATTGCCATAGTGTGATCGCAGCCAGACCATCAGCGCACCGCATAAGGCCGCAACCCTAGCCACATGGCAATGCCTTGGAAGCCCATCGTGAGATGAAAAGCCGCAGGCATCCGCTCTGTGGAGGCTGGCATCATTCTATACGACGGGCGCGCGCCTGTTTTCATGTGGCATTGCAGAATCAGAAATTAATCATGGCCAGGCGGCCCTCCGCTGAGAGATTCTTCTCCGGGCCTTCCATGCGCAGCCGTGATCCGAATGTAATTCCTCGCTGTGCCACATTGCCCTATGGCCGAGGTTAGACTGCTGAGATTAAACCCTTCGTATGGCTGGAATAATGACCATGCTAAGATCTCGTCCGCGTCAGGTCCGGATCTGCGGACCAGTCTATCGAACCTGGGATATAATGGAAACAAACGGAACGGCAGTGTCTCTTGATTTGTTGTGTGGGTGTGGGAGGGCTGAATGGTGAAACGTGAGGGCGTTGGCTTGCAGCCACTCCTGTTGTCTGTCGGGTCATCCTTTCGCAGTACTCATCTGCCAGGTGTGATGCGGAGGGATTCCGGAGACTGCCCTATCTCAGAAGTTTGATCAGTTTGAAGAGTTGTCAGATCGAACTCGCCCATGCAACTGAATCTATTGAAACTACAGAGACGGTTTCTCCATCTCATCCCCGCACGTGAACCAATCCAGAAAGCCTGGTGCATGTTGCATCACTTATCAGAATTGCCTAGCGTGGGCGGATGGTGCCGAAAGCTGGCAGGCGAGATGGTCGAAGTTCGACACTGCATGATGAGTTTGGAGACTCACTCAAGCTTGATTCCAACTCTGGTTGGTGTTAATAGAATCATGTCTTGCTCCCCCCCCACGCAACAAGAGCCTGGGCCCTGCAGCGTCTGTGTCCATCTCGCGATAGTGTTCAGGGTAGCCGTCAAACTGTGTGGGAGCAAAACACGTGTCAGGCTGGCAAAGCTCCCGGAAGTCCCGCTGGGACGTCCCTTTGCTCTGCGGACTTCGGGGCCTGCGGGTTGACGGTAGTGCATGCACGTGCTTGCGGAGAACGGAGAGCGGAGAGCGACTTTGGCAAACGCGCAAAGACCCATGATGGCACATGGCGAGACGATTGCAACCCCCATCCGGTTTTTGTGAGCAACGCTGCCCAGGTGTGTCCTCGGCAGGGGGATCAGCACACAGTCGCCGTCACCATCCACGCAGCTCGCTGGTGTTCAAGGGAGCAGATGACGCCAAAGAGTCCATTGGAGGGTGACATTGGGGAAGCTTTCCTGTGGCGACTGCCCTATCGGCTCTTCATGACATAATTGGCCGGGGTAATGTGACAGGGGGGAAATGCATACCTATCGAGGATGTCGCTGAACGAGCCTTTCCGTTTTGTGACGACGTACATGGCAAACGAGAACTAGACCTCACACCTCGTGAGAGAACCGAGCTGCGTGCGTACCTATCGTGCTCGGGCCAGACGGATACGAGCATCTATTCTCTTCCATATTCTTCATGACCAGTGCAATGCGCTAGGTGCCGTGTACATTAGTCTCCTGGGCCCATTTTAGAGGCCCAAAAAATACATACCACCGGCAAAATCACTCAAGAGATACACGGCAGCTTTGAGCGATCGCGCGATCTTCTGATTGAAAAGCTCGAGAAGAAGCCAGTGTTGGGGTTGGCCTGGTGGAGCGACCCGTGGAGCCAACTGAAGGCTGAAAAGACCCCTGGCACCCACAAGCCCACAAAACCGTTGCAGTGGGGCAGTGCCAAGCCGAACCAAACCTCTCCAGGGTTCAGATGACGAGAAACGGCGGGGTCCAGGGAAAACGGAGGGGAAAGATGTCGCCGCCCTTCATGAATGCCATCATCCCATACAACATGAGCGGAAATAGTCCGACTTCGGGGTCTAAGGTGCTGAGGTGCTGGTGCAGAATTCCGCCAGTCTGGCCGGCTAAAGGTCCGTCGCCGCGGTTTGGCAGTGTCTCCAGGGCGTTTTGGATCGGAGGTTTGGAGGTCGATGGCTCATGGACTGGCCTGAGAATGTGATTGGGTCAACCAAGAAAGTGGTTGGGGCAAACGGAGGGGATTTAGCAGAACCCAATTCCTCAGTGAACGAATCAGTCTTCTGGAGAGAAGACAATAAGTGACATGATTTCATTACGGGGGGAGCATTCATTCAAACCCTCCGTTTCTCACAGAAGAGACTGTCAGGCAGTCTGCAGTCGATCAACAAGAATTTGGCAGGGGGGCAACAAGCACGTCGCAAGCAAGGTACCCGGAACCCTCCCTTGTCACTTCAATTCTTATTTTTCCTTGGGCCCTGCCAGCAGCTGCAACGCCCTGTGTCAAATACGTGGGCCCTCCCGAACAACCTTTTCTCAGACACTTCTTCCCGCCCTGAAGGCACAGCATAGGAATATCGCCTGGCGATCCATTTTTTCACCTCTGCCCTCGCGTTCGACGAGCTCCCTCGCGTATTCGGAGCACACCTCCATTCCAAGCATCACGACCACAGCCATCAACAATTAGATCGCCTGCTATCCACCGTCGATTTACTCCACTGCCACGCAGCTGTGGATAAGAACCCCGTGCTATCGAAGGTCCCGGTAGCTCAGCCTCTCACCACTGGACCTCCGTTCCGTCACTCTCACAGCTCAGTAATTAACACCTGGACACGCCCACTTTGTCTCGCCGCTGAAGCATGCTTTAGAGACATTCCGACCGTCTGACGAATTTGCCAGTCGCGCTCCCATTTCCACCCACGCGTCACCTTGAGATATTCTTCAGGATGAATCTTCCCCGCCTGTCACCGTCTATAGAGTTCACCAGTCAACAGTCTCACAGCCCACGCCAGTCTTCATCATAATTTGGTCAAGATCACAAGCATGGGGTGGCTATTTCGGCGGAAGAGCCGCTGGAAGCGAGCCCATCAGAACGCATCCGATATCGAACAGCTCCGTGGCCGAGCCGAATCCGCATTACCACCACGAACTCAGACATTCCCAGATGCCATGATATCAGCGTTCCCCTCCATGTCAGAGCGCCAGGGAATCAAGAAGCAGCGAATCGAGCCTAAGAAGCTCCAACGGCGAGCACGAACCTACAGTTTCTCGCCTGGCCGTGATGACTCCATCCAGGTGGGCCGCTCCAAGAGCTCCAAGAACAAACGGGCAGCAGGCGCATCCTTGCCCGCTGCATCAAGAGTGGCAAATGATGGCAACGGAGAACAGCTCGATGTCGGGTTAGGAGCTGCTGAGGAGGAAATTTTACGGCGTGTTCCCACGCTTCACAATAAGCGCGATGGCGATCATTTACCGCGGAAAAAGTCGAGCAAGAAGCAGAAGAGAGAGGTTGACCATCAGCGTGAGGCTGAAATCAGGGCCATGAGCAACTTGATACCTGTCCGACCCGCTGCTGAGGACTGGATGGCCGGGCGCCCTATGAAGAAAGAAAGCCGGAGGGTCAAATCAGGCATGGGGATAGTTCGAAGATCGGACTGGGAGAAACGAAATCGGTCTTCAGAAATATCCCTTCCAGCACCAGGATCAATTGACTCGGCGCTTTCTTCAGACTCGGATTTCATGTCATTCAGGGTTTCTGCACTAGAGGCCCTAGCACCACGCCCCACAATACGCTGCACCACACATCCCAGGCTTGCTGGCGACGGCACCGGTCTTGCCAGGAAACCATCGCAACGACAGAATGAGAACCGGAAATCGCCAGCCAACATCCCCGAGGCTACTCTCAAAGCCCATAAGCGGGTTGCCAACCTCGCTGATGACTTGAGTGCTAGCGACCTGCGGGAGCTCATGGAACGAGATCAACGAAGAAGAGAAAGAAAACGACAACTTGAACAAGAGAAGATCGAAGCAAGACTTGCAAGGAGGGCAGAAAAGCAGCGGGCTGCTGAAGCTGCAGCTCAGGCACAGGGGAGAGACTCGCCTCCAAACTTGGAAAGAGGAGTGCTAGGTCGTGAGATTCCGGATTTGGGAGCCAATGCTACTTCTGCTGTTGTTACTTCGACTAGGATACGGGACTCTCAGGATCAGCTGCAAGAAGCCCAGACAAAGCCCCTCAGCACCGACTGTGATGATATTGCCATTGACGAACCGCGTGTGCCTCCTCTCGCCGCCTTTCACCGAGTTGACAGCATCCCATTGCAGACACCCGAACTACCACAGGCGCCGAAGGAAGAGCCTCTACCCCCACTAGCAAGCCCAAGATCTCGAAGCTCCTTCCTGCATGCTAAATTGCGGCGTTCAAAGTCACCACTCGGCTCAGAAACACGTACCGAAAACACGGAATCGCTGAAGAAAGGGTCAGAGACGAGTAGTTCTAAAGGCCCGCTGTCCTGGGCCTCATTCTTCAGATGGGGCAAGAACAGGCGTCACTCCGCAGGCCCGTCGTCTTTCTCGAACACGTCGAGGGACTCTATGCAAACGTCTCAGATACCAACCCCGCCACCTAATTTCATACCACGACGGGTCAGCTCAGGAGTACCGAAACGAACCATGTCTCGGTTCCGCGAAGACTTGCCAGAGTCTCCAATGTCACCACCGGACTCGAGAATCCAATCGCCAGAAGTTGACGTGATCCCCCCCATCGCCGAAACTTCACCTGATCTCCCACAGCCCGATGAGGATCCAGATCAGTTACCAACGCCTCCCGCCGAACGATATGATACTCCCATGACGGACCCCCGGTCACTTGAAGATATGCGCAACACCCCGTCTACAGTCAACCACCCGGATGAGCCTGCTGGTGTCTCGCCTGAACCTCAGGCCATGTCGCTAGCATCCATTGACTCTGAGGCTTCCTGGTTCTCAGGGGGAGCGTTGGCTAAAAAGCGGAAGTCGTCGAGTGTCATGAAACGCGGCTCCCATGCGCAGCTACAGCGATACACGCCCGAATCTGACAGTGGGCGCTTACAAGAAAACGATCACGCCAACGAGGACATGGAAATCACGGAGGACGATTACTTGGCACGCCTTACCCCGTTGCAAAGCGAGAGGCCTGGTTGGAATAGAAAGTCAACCGGCGAAGCAAGGCCGTCGAGCGATTGGGAAGAGGAAGCCCACTGGGGCAGTGTCGGCCAGCAGCCCACTCTTGTCCATTCTCAAACAGTTGGCAGGATGAAGAGTCGGGAGGGTCTCCTCAATAATTTTGGTGAGGATGCGGCAAGCACCCATGAAGCAGAGGTACTCGGCGCTGAAAGTCCAGTTGACGAAGGCAACGGGCTGCAACGAGCTACAAGCATCAACCTCGGCAAAGGCCATGCAAGGCACATCAGCGCCGGGAGCGCGAGGCTGCTCTCCATAACACCCCGCTCATCAGTGGATGGTAGGCGCACAAGCCTGACGCTGAAGCGCATGAGCTCTTGAGGGTTGAGGGGAGAGGAGAGAGGCTAAGCGATGAAGAAGTTGCGAATGGTTATGGCTGATCCTGATACACACCTACACTCTTTTGACATTTCCTTACCTGTTCACACACCGACGGACTTTTCCTATCACCACCGACCACTATTCATTCATTACCTTTTCTTTTCCTACAATTTAACACATCTACCAACCCTTACAAAAAACTTGAAACACCAAAAACCTACAACACCAGTCATCCGGATCAGCCATGTCCACCACCATCTTACCTCCTACCATCAGTTCATCCCTCCACGCTTTGGAAAACCCTCCCTTATATCATAGCAGGCTTTCATCTCTCACCAAATACCCTCGAATCCTTCACTTTTCTCTTTCTCTGCTGTCATTTACTATTTTGTTTATACCCATTTTTTTGGCTTGAATTTGTCAGGATCACGGCACGATACCCTCCTCATGTATGTAAAACGGTTTCATCTCTCGGTTTAGTCCCGGTCCCTTTGATAGAGATTTCGGGAGGAAGGAAGAAATTGAACGGAAATAGAGACGGGACGGGAGGGATGGAGTCGCGTTGGCTTTTTGTGCATTTTTCCCCAGTTTGTTACTCGCACGGCGGAAACACGGCGGGCACATCATTACTTGGTGGAGGCATGGAAGGGGAGATATTCCGGCATTTTAGAAGGGGAGACGATTCGCGTGGGGGAGTGGAAATTGAAGCAAGTTACCATATTGTGCAAGACGTCGGTGCGAATGTTTCTCTTGAAGATCGAAGAGAACCATGTGGCCCATTCATGACAGAATAGTGACAATTCGTGCATCAAAGACCTCGTTGATGCCTTCGAATGAACCCCTTGAAGTCTGCAAGAACAAGCAGAGATCTGATCATTGATCTCTTACTTGAATCCCAAAATTACCCTGCAAAGACATCAAGTGGATTCAAGGGCCGCTGGTCTAGTGGTATGATTCTCGCTTAGGGTAACACCCTACAGCAATGTTTGCGAGAGGTCCCGGGTTCAATCCCCGGGTGGCCCCCACCTTTTTCTTTCCCTTTCTTTCCCTTTTTTGCCCCTCATTGCCCCTCTAACCACAATGCCTGCCGGCTGCTGCATTTTTTCCCCTGTAAAAAAAAAAAAAAAACAGTATGCTTACTTTGCGCCGCTGTTGTATGCCTCAAGGGAAGTAGGAATTGGGTTTGCGCTGAAAGCGAGATGGTTTCACCAGACGAAGTCTCGGAAGCTAACATGGTATAAGCTCTGGGAGGGAGGGCATATATTTGAAGATGAGGGGGCGTTGGAGGTGCGAAAGAGCTTAGATGGTAGTGTTGAGTTTCACATTGGGAACATCATCCTTCACATGTCAGACACACCCAAAAGCAGCTCCCACAACCTGAGACATCTTTAGAAGTTCCACAATCTTAATTTCTTCATCTTCTTATCTGCATGCAAGCTGGGTATTTATTCTTCCCTCCGCTCTATCCCCTTCCCTTTTCCGCATCCCTCGTCTTTAAAGCGAAGGAGGCTCAGGGTGCTCCCCACCACTGCTAGCACCAGCACCGCTCCCACCGAGGTACTTCCTAAGCAGGTTCAGTAGCGCGGGGGGGTTGGCGCCCATGAGCTCGTCGACGCGGTCGCCGTCCTTGTAGAAGATGAAGGTGGGCATGGCGCGGATGCCGAGCTCCTGAGCGAGTTCGGGGAGGTGGTCGACGTCGAACTTGCAAAAGTAGATCTTGTCCTTGAACTCGGGGTCCTCGGCCCACCTGTTTGTTTGACACAAAGCCTGTTAGTATTTTGCTTGGGACATCGGGAGTGATGTAGTAGACAAAAGAAAAAGAACCTTGAAAGCAGGGCGTGATGTGGTGAGAGGACGTACTTTGCGATCTGGGGCGCGATGGCCTTGCACGGGCCACACCAGGTAGCGAAGGCGTCGACGACGACGACGGGGTGGGCGGCGACGGCCTCCTTGAACTGGCCGGCTGTTTCGAAGATGTGGACCGTCATTTTGGGGGTTGTGGTTGTGAAGGCTCTTGGTTTAGTGACGGAGGATGTTGGGGTTGTTTGAGGGAACGCAGGGCGCAGTGATGGTAATGGTGACGATGTTCTTGTTGTTGTTCGGAGAGCGGATCGGAAAGCTGTGGTGGTAGCTGGGCGGGCGAGGAGTCGGAATGACATCTTCAACAAAAGGTGCGGGGTGGGATGTGGCTGGGGGGGGGAGGCTTATAACGGCTTTTTTGTTATTGGAACGAATTACTCCGACAGCCAAGTTACAGAGAGTCACAAGCCTGGTTTCAAAGAAAAGGTGTGTGGATGGCTGTGGAATTGGCTGCAAGTTTGGACTGCTTGCCGGCCGTCAATGAGTGATGATGTAAGAGAGGGATTTGTCACCGAGCTTTAGGAGGTTCTCGATGTTGGTGGCCGATCTTGGCGATGACGCGAAGGAGGTGAATTACGCGATCTTACGGTAAGTGAAGGCTTGAGACCTAAGCGAGCCAATTGTAGTGTCCAATTGCTGACGTTACGGTAAGCCCTTGTTCCCCGAGACAATTCCAGAAGACCGGCAGAATATTGGTTGATTCCTCATCATTGCGCAACTGCACGACAGCGATGGCGCCGGAGAAGCACGTGGCGAGCGATCTCAAATCAGATACTATTTTAAGACAATTCCCCAGACGCAATTCCAAATATCGAGATCAACACGTCCTTTTGCTGCAAATGTTGGAAACTTGGGCAATCCCTTGTTGAAGCTTCAAGTTGCCTCGAGCTTGGATCCATGGCACCTTCTGGATTTTCCAAATCGAACATCGTCGCCAGAATTGACATAGAATACCGATCACGATCAGTCGACATGCGTCAACGAAAGCCCTTCACGGGACTGTGATGTTATTTGGTATAATTAACACACTGTATTACATCCATCACTAGATCCCTTCATTACCTCCCCCACGATCTCTGCCAGACAGACTTATGTGAAAACAGCATTCTCGCAAGGCCCACCAGTAGGGCACTTGGCATACAGGCTCAACCAAGCATCACCACCGCAGAACTGGCCGCTGTCACCACTGCACCTGTAATCACACTTGGCCAAACTGACAAGCGTCGTCAGAGGCTGTCTGGTCGGCGCATAGCTGTTTCCGCACCAGCACTCGCGCCTCCACTCGGTACCAGCATACGCCCAACCATTGGCGCCGCAGAAGGCCATGCAAGCCTCGTTGGTCATGGTGTCGGACCCCAACAGCGCACCGGACAGTGTGCGGAATGAGCCGTCAGTAGTCCAGCGCTCCTCCGGGGCGCAGCCGATGTAGCGCCAACCGAGGGAGGTCATGTCGGTGTAGGGGAGAACTCCGGAGGTGGAGGTGGAGGTGGGGGCGGTGGAGGTGCTGGTGCTGGTCGAGGTCGAGGTCGAGGACGAGGAAGGAGGCACGACGGAAGAGGAGGACGAGGTCGAGCTGGCTGTCACGGTGGAAAAGGTTGTGCTTGGGCCGTCGAGGGTGGGGAGGACGACCAAGGTTACCTTGATGCACTCTCTGTTGACGTCGATGACTACAAGGCATTTGTTAGGGAAACGGTTCCGAAGATTGGGTAGGGAGAAAGCTTACGAGTGTTGCCGGGCGGGTCATAACGGAACTCGTGAGAGCCGTCGAAGGAGTGGCGGACACAGATGTGACCACCAAGAGGCTCACCCTCCCACTGAACGAACCTCAGCTCGACCTGAAGGAGGCCGGTGTCCGGGTTGCAAGCATATGTGGGTTGGAAGATGGCGTCAGGATCCGGACGGGCAGTCGAGAACAGCTTGGTGGTGTGATCGATTTCGGACCACTGTGTGGGCAGTTGTTAGTCATGTCTGGGAACAACGAGACAGGAATCAAGAGCTCACCTCTCCGCCAATGACGAGACGAATGTTCTTCCGAACGTTGAACACGACACCATCCACCAGCGTGAAGTCGTATGTGGGCTCGCCAACTGGCCCGATGAACAAATGCTGGTCACCACCACCAGCCTCGAACAGGTTCATGTACTTGTTGTGCACTTCAGGCCGGCTAGCATTTTGGACCTGGATCCGGAAGTGAGAGGGGATGTCGTCGGAGAGGGGCGTAGTAGGGATGGTGCACTGAGCCGAGGCGAAGGCGGCTCCGGCAACGAGGCCCGCCGAGATGGTCTTGAGGTTCAACATGTTGTCGACGACTTTAACAGACCTGTCTGGTGAATCCTTCCCGACAAGTTGGTGCGGATCCGGCTCATTCTTATACCCTTCACCAGGCACCCCGGAAGGTCGGATCCCTCTTCGCTGTACCCATGGGGCCCAAAATCACCAGGCTCCCGTCCCCGGCGAGTGTTGCAAAAGGTCCAGAGGCGGCACTCCTTGGCAGCATGCATCACCAGGGCCCAAAGCCGTGATAGCTCCTGGAGCTGAGCTGCCAACGAGGCAGCCTTTTTGCATGATGCCTGCTCAAATGGTCCAAGTGCTCCACAATCAGTACATTACAGAGAAACCCTGCGATCCGCAATCTGTGGTCCGGCTGACCAGTCCGAGCGATCAATTCAGCCCAGCGGTGCCAATGTCACATCGCGGGGGGGCCTGGGGAGACGACGTTGCGGCGTCAGGGTCCTTCCGGATTCGTGTACAGTACCAATATTGGGCGGGGGAGCTAGGTGTATATATCTTGGCATCATGTAGGTTGTTTTTTTTCTTGCCGACTTTCACCGAGTTTGCCGTTGTGGGAAGGATTGGTGTTGCTATTCGCGACTCTTTCTCCGAGTTCGTATCCACAACGACGGCTGCAGGTGAGTGGCTTTTTTTTTTTGACGGGCTTGCTTGTCGTTCGACAGCGGGCGCTACACCAACGAGCTGCCCCTCATTTCCCCACGGCCCAATGGCGGTTTTCTGGGGTAAGCTGTGCTGCCCAACAGTGGGAATGCTGTGTCACGGGCTAACAGAAAAGCTTCGGTGCGGCGGTGGGCTTGTCTTGTCTTGTCTGTGCCTGTCATCTCATCTTGGGCGCCCCCTTCCTCGCCGGGAATGGACATTTTGATTCCAATATCAAGTACTGTAGATCAGCCGCAGCACTAGGAGATACCAAGACGGTGTGTAGCGTATCTCTTTTCATCCCGCCACCCGACAATACACATTGTCCATCACCATGTGATGTTGACCCCCTTTAACACCGTACGGCCTGCCGCCTGCAGCGGTTCCTGAGAAGAATTCCCAAGATGCTCGGGCTGGAATGTACGCCAAGGAACGAGTGGTTACACTATGGGATCTCTGCATGAAGAGCCTCGCGTATGGAACGAACGGCGCAAGCAAGTCTGTGGTGGTGTTGCGGTCAGCGTTGGGGCAGGGGGCCTGGTGCTGGTGGTGTTCGGACTTGAATGGTGGGTGAGATGGAAAGCGGCGCGGGGATAACGCCAAGTTGACAGGGGGAAACAGAGGAGAAGCTTCCAACGATCTTCTCTCGACAGGGCTGGCTGGCTGTTCTGTCTTTGCTTAAACAGGCAGGATGCTTGAAGGAAACAAAGTTTGTTTTTTCAGCAGCTTGATGAGACGAAACAGTCTCATTCCTGTCCCAGAACTCACACTCAACTCCATGACCTGCCTCAACGTGGGGGATGCAAGGCACGGGTGTTTTCACATGCAGATTCCTCACACAGCATGACGGCATGGGCAACGGTCGATAGGTATTTCGTACCTCGTAAACAAGCTGCATCCTTTGGGTAAGACAACGAAAACAGAACGTGCTTAGTTGAGATTACGCCGGACGTTGATGGAGAAGACCAAAAGATAAGGGTCATCAATTTCCTATGGGAGATCACTCTAGACCAAAAGCCTGGCAGCTTCCAGAACTCCCTCCTACACCTCAGAGCTAACCCCCGTAAGCGCTCATTCATAATCATGAATCATTCCTTCCATCATGCGCGTCCCGATCCGAGACATCAATAGTCCATGTCCATACTCGTAGTCTTCGTGACAGCATACAACGATATCTCCCGCCTTCGTTCCTCACACAAGCCACGCATCCAAGATAGGTGGGCACATCTCCTCCATACTCTTCAAACTGACATCCCTCACCACACTCGACAGCGGCACCCTCCCGTCCTCGGTCGTCGTCCCATTCTCAAACTGCCCAAACTCCCTCACCAGTCTCGTGTCAAGATTATACCTCGGCCACCCTGTCGCTTCGAGTCCAGCCTGCCCTCCCTTCGCAAGCGCCACCCAAGCGTCCTGCATCGCTTCACTGACGGCCTCCTCTTCCGGCGTCGACAGGCCTCGGAACAGGGAGTCAGTGCCGAAAATCAGAGGCAGCTCAGCCGAGTGATAAGCTCCCATAAACGCCTCAGGTGAGACATTGCTAAAGTTGCCCGTGTAAAGATATCGGTAGACGGGCACGCCGGCCATGATCCGCAGCGCGCTGGCCTGCACGGCGGGACAAAAGAAGAAGACTGCCGTAGTGAGGGCTTCGATGGTGGAGTTGACTCCCTCTGCGGTGAGTGGGACAAAGGGGATGCCGTCGTTCGCGTTTGTTCCGATGATTGTCGGCTGTTTTTTTCCCTCTTGTCAGTTACCGCCCCCCCACCTCTGTCTCTTTAGTCGAGTTTAACTCACCACATCCAAAATCTCCTTCTTGATCGCCCTGTCCGTGTAGTTCCCAAACACGGTTCTGTTGTCCACCACGGATGTAAAGTAGATGAACGGCTTCCCGCTCATGAGCTCCTCCATGTTCTCCTGCAAGAACGCCTCAATATGCTCCGCATCGGCGGTTTGCATGCATTCCAACTCCTCCTGAGGTGACAACCCCCCACAACCGACTTCGGTCGCGACGGCGGTAAAGTTTCCGTGCTTGACGTCCTCTGTGCTCGCCCGAGCAAGCGGGAAGATCTCTGTCCCAGAGTCCATGATGACGGCCGAAACCTGGGGGAATGAAGGGTCAAAAGCTGCGTATTGGTACCAAGCCGCAGAGATAGCACCGGCTGACTGCCCCCAAAGGGTGATTCTCTCTGGGTCTCCGCCAAAGTAGCTGATGTAGTCTTTGACCCATTGGATGGCCAGCTTTTGGTCGAGCAAGCCGGGGTTTTGCTTGGTGCTGTCCCCGGCAAAAGCTGCGGCGTTGGGGAAGCCGAAGATGTTCAAGCGGTAGTTGAAGGTGACTACAATATGCTCTTGTGAATCTTGGACCCAGTTGGCGGGAATTTGATAGGGGACGTCTTGGCCGCCTGCCATGAAGGCACCGCCGTGAATGAAGATTATCACTGGGAGCTTTTGGCCCCAAGCCCGAACTGGTGGGGCGTAGACACTGAGAGAGAGGCAGTCTTCGGAGAGAAAGGGAGAGGTCATGTTGAGTCCTTGCAGGTTGTACTGGTTGACGAACTGTGTGAAGATGGTTGGTGGGTCTTCCATGAGAAACTGCATGCATGAGGGACCGAATTGAGTTGCTCTGTATGGGGAGGAGGGGAGGGCGGAGAGAGGTTCAGGAGGGAGAAAGCGGAGAGATCCCACTGGGGGTTGGGCGAAGGGGATGGAGAGGAATCGGCGGACACAGGGCGTATCAGGGTATGTTGTGCCGATAACGGTACCCAAGGGGGTGTCAACCGTAAGTTCAGCGGCGGCGAGGGCAGAGCAGGAAGACCTTTTGTATCGCGAAAGTATTGGTGGTGAGTGGCCGTCGTTGGCGAGTGTGATGGTGGATAGCGAGGCCCAAGCGAGGGCCCCTAGTATCATTGGTGAGGACTTCATAATGGCGAGGTATCGTTGCTATACTGGGATGATGATCTTTGCCGAGTATTGACCGAGTTCTTGTCTTGGTAGGAACTTGACCTCGCTGGGGAGGCAAAGAAACTCGAGAGGCTGATGTGATCCCATCATCCCAGCTGTGGGGGGGATATTGGACATTTTATCTGTCAGATGTCACCCATCCGGGCCATTGGGCACAACGTCTAACGTCTAACGACAGACGCCGTTTCGCGCCAATTCGAGTCACGCCCCGACGGGGCGGCTTTCTTACGATCTCAACGGCGGACTTGAGATGATCGCCATTACGGGAGTGTGACACGGTTGTGGTGCTAGTTCCAAAAAGCTGCGACGCAGACTGAGCCATGTTCTTGGAAGTTAGAGGCTTCGCGACGGCAAGGTGCCGGGTCATTCCCCGTCGTTTGGAGTTATCAACTTCGGACGTCTATTTTTGGTCTGTGCCTGGTGTAGTTTGTCCGCTTTTCTCAAGATGGGAAGATGCGAGCAATTTGTTGCAGCGGTTCGGAACCTCGACGCAACAAGGGTCTCCAATTATTTCCTTGGGACAAGAAGCCTGCATGGACAAATGATGTCAATTAGTCTGGTCGAGCGTGATGTTCAGACAAGACTATGCCTGGACCAGTTGCAGCTATCTCCCGCGGAGATATTGGAAAGCTGTATATTGCAAGGTTTCCCTGGGTTAACACCGCCATCTGTCTGCTTGGAAAGGTCAGCCTCGTATGATGATGAGGGTGCTATTTGAGATCAATTAGAAAGCCGGACAGCCACACAGCAGCCACACAGACCTCGAAAAGAAAATAGGAGGGCTGTCATCATCATTACAATGCCTTGCACCTCACATCGCTGCTCGTGGCAGCAGCAGAACCAACTCGACAAGGGATGCTGAGCCCCGAAGTAACTCTACCTGAAGATTCATCGGAATCCACGCAAATGTGATGGATGTGTTAGCGACGATTGCACCATGAGCCATTAAAAAGTGGACGACGGCACTGGTGCCCGTTGAGCCACCGTTAGACCAAAAACTCCTTTTCCTGCATACCTCGTTGACAAGCAGATGTCTTTTAGCTACCAAACCACGAGGTGTAACAATGGACAATGAACGAAAGAACAGGAGTTGTTGACCGGAGTGGTGGTCGCGGCAACACAGTTTTACGATCGAAGACAAGGCGAAGTTGAAGGAAGGACTTGAAAAGATGGAGGAGAGAAGCGGGTGATTGTCCCATGTCATTGGCGATGGGAATCTCGTCTGTTCAAGTAGCATGTTGACTTTGGGATGACACATGGGTGAGCAGTCTGCAAACTCGCGTGTGAGTCCAAGCTTTGGCAGACACAGCCGGGAGGTGCGTGAGAAGCTGCCCACTATTATGGGATGGATGCAACTGGGAAGGTGCGATCTCATGAACAGTTTCCGCCCAGTGCTCGTGTTGTTCGCTTCCAAGCTCACTACGGCCTTTCATGCTACCTTGGCCTCGTAACATAGTTGCGTTGCGTCCCATCACCTCCGAATATCTTCACTTACACATGGTGTTTCCCCTGGACAGCTGCTGCCAGCTGTCGCCACCTCTGCTGTCGGCTGCTGTCAGTCGAGTCATCCGGCGACGTCAATGACGACCACCTCATCACCAACACTCAAAAAAACAAGACACCCACCATCGTCGATTTCACGGAACTTCAAAACTGCAAATTGAGTGCATTTCTTTCACAATGGCCGAGCAAGCAGAAGATATTGACGACATCGTTGACCACCCCACTGGGGCAAACTCATCAGAACACGACGACGAGCCATCATCGGCCTCGTCAAAGCCAAAGAATGCATTTGCCGAACTCATGGCCCCGAAGAGAAAGGCCCCGGCCTCACCAGAACCCGAAAAGCGTCCAAAAGACAAAGCCGCCCGCTGGCGCGGCGCCTTAGTTCAGTACATCAACAACCCCTCCTCCTTTGGCAGCCAAATCCTCCGGGTAACTCCCAACACAGTCCTCATCAAGGACTCGTTCCCAAAAGCCACCGTCCATCTCCTTCTTCTACCTCGCTCAGAAAAACACTACCTCCTCCGTCCTAATGAAGCTTTCGCCGACCCTGCCTTTCTGGCCATCGTACGAGAAGAAGCCGCTTCGGCAGCCAAACTCGCCGCAGCCGAGCTAGAAAGATTGCTCGGTTCTTTTTCAGTCTCAAACAAGCCTCGTCTAGAAGCAACAGACTACGCCAACCGACCCCCAGGACGGGATTATCTCAAAGAAATCAAGGTCGGGATGCACGCACACCCGAGCATGGATCATCTGCATGTTCACATCATCAGCAAGGACATGCACTCGCCCAAGGTGAAGCACAAGAAGCACTACAATAGTTTCAACACCGAGTTTTTTATTCCCTTGGTGGATTATCCACTGGCAGATGACGACGTCAGGAGGGATGTGGGGTTCCAGAACGGGAATCTGAGCGAGGATTTCAAATGCTGGAGGTGCGGGAAGGACTTTGGGAATAAGTTTACGCAGCTGAAGAAGCATTTGGAGGAGGAGTTTGAGGAGTGGAAGAAGGAGTAACGGGCTATTTGTTATGCTTTATGCCAAAGCGGTGAATTCAATCGTGCTGCAAAAGAAGATTCAAAGAGTGTAAAACCATCGCAATGTTGACCAAGAACATGACGGGCCAGGTCTTGGCCAATGTCCCTGCTATTTGGGCTACTCCAGAATAAACTCAACATCCGGCTCCTCCCCCTCCTGCAAGTTCCGCTGTTTGATCTTTTGAAGTATTTTGTCCTTCCTCTCCTTCATCTCGGCCTCCTCCTTCGCAACAAGCAACGCCCTGTTCTTTTTCCTCCTCGCCCTCTCCTTTTCATTTTTCCTCCTCCGCTTGGCGATCTCATCCGGCGTAAACCTAGCCCTACGCTCCTTCTCAGCCTGTTGCACCTTTGCGGCCTTATCTGCCGCTTTCTTTGCCTTGTCCTCCGCTATCTGAGCCCGGATGATAGGTCCGTAGCGTCTAGCGGCATCATCTAGCGCCTTCCTCACCTGGGGAGCATGCTCACAGAGGAATTTACGTATTTCCTCGTCCTCGTCCCCGTTGGCCTCCTCGCCGGACTCACAGTCGATGAGCTCATAGTCGCTAAACTCATCGTCGCTGACTGCAGCTTTGGAGTCATCAGCCATTGGGATGTCAATATCCTCGCTGGCCTCTGCCTTGGTGTCATCAGTCATTAGGATCTCAGTCTGCCCGCTGACTTCCGCTCCGGTGTCAGCAGTCTTTGCAATGTTAGCCTCTGTGCTGTTGGCGTCTTGACTTTGAAGTGTATTGTTGTCAAGGCCTTTGTTTTTGTCATCCGCATGGAGCCGCATTGTGACTTTTGGAAGATGTCTGCTTGAGGCGACAAGAAGGAAGAAGCATGTATATGTCTGTTTCCTGGTGTGAGAAAGGGCGAGCGATGAACACCCGACTGTGCTTTCAGGGCGTTGCTACCGCCTACCTACGGATAACTGAATGAAGTAGGTTTCACCAGTTTTGAACTCGCTCTGGCATGTGACCTATTCTTTTGAGTTTACCACAACAATGGCCCAGAGCTAAACCACGAGGTCCTGAAGAGTTTTTAGAGATCACCAAATTCACAGCTACCTTATGACTGATGACTCCACCACAAACATCCAAACCATATAATGCAGTTTGCCTCAGCACAACTGACTCATTTCTTGATCACCAATCCCTCACCAAAAGCCCACCCCTCCAAGCAATCCAGACATGACACTCTCCCCAGAAGGCTCAAGCCACACACCCCGAAATCCCCACCAACCGCCCCGGACACTCAACCTGATGATAAACCACATCCCACCCATTCACCACCCCCCCAGCCCAATTCCACCTCCAATAACAACCCCCCCACAACCCCCCCGGCAACCTCTCACACTCCTGCCTATTCCTCACCCCCCCCTGTGCACCCCCCCAGTTGTAACCCCCCCCATACATCCCATTACACCCCCCCTGCCCCAGCGGCCCTACCCCCCCTCCCGGAGTCAAAATAATCATGTCCCCCCTTTTGACATCCCCCCCCGCACCCCCAGGTGTAACAACTTGTACAATCATCGTTTTATTCGCTGCCGCCCCAGTCAACCACCGCAATTGATAGCATTTACAGCAATTAGGATGGTCAGCTGCTTGACTGTCCTGGACCTGGATCGCAAAGCCGTAGGAGAGGTCGTTGGAGATGGGAATGGGCTGGTACGTGTCGCAGAGGTAGGCGGCGGTGTTGGTGTTTACGCCGGGCTGGCAGCCCGTCACGGCTGAGACGCCGGCGGTGGTGGGGAGGGGCTGGTTGGATCTGTTGCAGACGCGGACGGCGCCGCGGGTGGTGAGGAGGGAGGGGCGGTTGTTGGTGCTGGCGCAGATGGGTTTGCAGCTGGTTGTGGTTAGAAAGTGGTGGGATAGGGAAGGGGAACAAGGAGGGGGGATGTACCAGTCCCAGCCTGTGTAGGTCTTTGCTACTGTTTGGGCTTTGACGAGGCCATGGTGGCGGAGGGTGAGGAGGCAGAGGAGGTAGTGGTAGAGTAGGAGCATTTTATCTCTGTGAGGAGCCCGCGATGCCTAAGCAAAAAGTCAAGGTGAGCAGGGCCAGGGAAGGAGCAGCGAGAGCCATGTTGATATACCGCTGAGTGTACCCCCACTGTTGAGAAGACTTTGAGATTACCGGCCCATTCCCTGCATCTACCGCAACACCATCTGCCCGGTCAATCTCTGCTATCTGGCATGTGATCAATATGGTGGGTGTCAATACCAGTGATGCAGAAACTCCCCGTCTGATGCTACCATGGCAGACCTCATCAATCCGGGCTATTGGTGCTCCATTCCCAGCGAGCATCAACATCAGATGGAAGCCGATAGACACCTCCCGCTCTCCTCGCCAAAATAAAAAATCCCCATTGGTTACCGCAGCCAAGGGTGAACGATAGAGCTCTGCTGTAAACAACCGGTTAAACTGTGCCGAGAGCCGGGCTCGATAGATTGCCAGCCTACTCTGTCAGTCAAACAAAGCTTACTGCATAGAGAGCATGACCTCATGTGGTAGATGAAAGTGTATTGTGCCAGATGCTATTTTCAGCATTCATCCGATATCTGAACGCTTAACCTGCAGAGCCAAGGTTATACACACAGCTAAGCGGGGAAGCTCCCACATATCAAAACACTATCGTGCCGCTTCATGGCAGCATATTTGAGTACCGTTGCTCCTCCCCCAACCCATGAACGCCTAGACAAAAGAATCCCAATCCATAAATTCAGATCCTAAACTCCAACCAATCCGAGGCAGTACATGGTTCATTATTTAAGCACCATTGTGCTTCACCTTCTTCTTGGGACGCAGTTCGCCAGCATACAGGCGGAAGAACTCGTCCGGCTCGGTGGGGTGCTCGCCCGTGACATCGTGGAAAGCAGTCGTGGCGATGTAGTTGGTCTTGCCCTCACGCACCAGGCTGTAGTACTCGAGGAGGTACTCCTTCTCGGAGTCGTCGATGGTGGCTTGGTTCTTGAGGATTCTCTTCGCCTCACGCCTGAAAGAGTGTTAGTTGCCGCACGTGAGAACGGGAAAAAGCCAAAAGAAACATACTCAGAGATATTCTCAAACTCCATCGTCTGACCCAAAGCCTTGCTGGCCGACTCGGCAAGCTCCTTTCCAGCGCAGAGCATAGGTCCAGTGATGACCATCATCTGACCGCGGTGCTTGTCGTCAAAGCCGTGAGGGCCCTTTCCGGAGAGAACATGGGCAGCGACGTGCGCAATGTCACCGAGGGCAACAGGAGCAAACTTGTGGTTCTCGCCAATGGGTAGAGGAAGGACGCCCTCGCTCTGGGCTTGCTGGGCGTACAAGAGGATGTTTTCGGCGTAGAAACCAGCACTAAAATAGTCCTGTCAGTTGCAGATCTTGACATCCACGGTGTTGAAGAAACTCACCGAATAACACAAGGCGAATGTCCCAAGGCAACATCCGCATTACCCTTCTCAGCCAGCACCAAAGCCTCCAAATCAATAAACTCCCTCAGTCTCGGCTGCTTGTCCCTCTCGGCATAATCGCACCCAGCAGCACTAATCAACAGCACATTCTGAACACCCGCCTTCTTGGCCGCATTGGTCAGCTCGACGCAAATGTCAAACTTGTCCTCCTTCGCGGGAGGGATCAGGCAGATGGTGTCGCAGCCGATCTTCTTGAGGGCATTGACCATCTCGCGCTCGCGGCCGGGGTTGTGGGGCACGATGAGGGCACCGAGCGACTCGAGCTCTTTGGCCTTGGCCGAGGTCGGGTCGAGGGAGAGGCCGCTGAGGCTGGTGATTTGCTTCTTGAAGCGCTCTTCTTTGAGGAGGAGCTCGGCGATGAGGAAGCCGGTTTGGCCGTCGACGGCGGTGATGCAAACGTTGCGGGTGTCGGACATTTTGGCGGTGGCGGAAAGTCGACTTTGGGTTGAGGTGTAGAAAAAGAGGGAATTGAGTTGTTGTTTGATGTTGCAAGAGGTCGCAGTTCAGTAGTTGCTTGGTTGTGTTGTGGTCTTCCGGGAAGGTGGGGGGTGCAGGTGCAGGTGCAGGTGTTGAGACTGCAGGTGCCAATTCAAAAAGTCGGGTCGCTCAATTGTTTTTATTGCCAAAGCTCCCTTCCCCCACAGCAGAGTTACGTCTTTATGCTTGGTAGGTACCCTCTGTCCATCGTCATCATTATTGCTTCTTCAAACAAACCATGTTGATGAAGTCATGAGAAGTTCGTTTGTCACCGCATCCGAGATCCATTGCGTCATTGAGTCAGGGGCGCCAAGGGGTCAAAGCATCAAAAGCATTCCACATTGAAGCTTTCTCGATTTGATTGTGCTTTGTTCAAAACAACAGAGAAATTGCGTGTTGATATTTAAACTACCAGTCGGATCACTGAACGCATCGTGGTATCTCAACAACTAGATACTGCGCTGTGTGAAAGTCGGTTCAAAACTATGTATCTGCGGTACCCTACACTTTACACTTTTGCTAACTCCCCAGCCTACCATTATGACAAGACTCTCAAATCCCATCACATGTTTATCTCACAGTTTCTCGCCTGTCATTCTTGACAAGGTAAACGGATTTTTCAGCTGGCATGATTATCATGTCCACATCTCCGTCATCTCTCTTCCACACAGGTTGGCCCCCTAACCCGATGTCTTCACCTTCTTCGGAATAGAAATCCCATCCTGCATGGTCTGCTTATCGCATATCACCTCAAGCTTAACGAGAACCATCTTTTTGTCGTAATGTTTCCCGTCCGCCGTCCCGCATTTGACGATCCCGGGGGCAATAACAAGGTCGACATTCATCGACTCGTTTCTCTTCGAACAGTGAGGCGGAGGATGGAGACGGCGCGTGGGCTCCATCATATCTGGATTGAAGGGAAACCCGAACCTGTAATTTTCGTCAAGAAGAGAATCAGGCCAGGCATCACTGATGACGATCGTAAAGTCTGCCTTTGATGTGCGGAAAATCGTGTCTAGTTCTGCTGCAAGCGTGATGATCTCGGTGACAGCGGCATTCACCGCATCCTCTTTGGTGTCCTGGGCCAACACATCTCTGAGTTTCCTCGAATAGAAATGAGACACAAGAACAGGGAGATAGTTCCGGTGTGGGACCATGTTGGCAAATCGCACAGTTTGGGACCGCCATTCATGAAAACGCTCCCGGGTGGGTTTCTGGCCATGGACGTCCTGTTCCTTGCCGTCAATGGTGGCTAGATATCAGAATGACAAAGTTAGGCAACCATTACACATGTGGTCGTTTGAAGGGGCTGGTATACTTACCCGCTATCTTGTGAAATACGACGGAAAGAGACGAACCAAGTGACCCATTCCAGTAAGTGGCCTGGATGCGAAAGATGTAGTCGTGAAGATAGTTCCATACATACGCTTCCAGAATGAGCGGATAGAAACGCGGCGACGTTGCCTGGTACTTGGTAGCTGTAGAAATTGGCTTCAGGAAGGCTAGCGAATTGGCAGTCTCCCAATCGATGGACTGGGGGAAGTGGCTCTCCACAAACTGTCGAACCAGAAATCGCAGCTGCTTCCATTTGGATTCGATCTCGTTGTCCGAGACCTTCGTGTATCCAACGGGATCTTTCAACTTCTGCTCCTCAAGGTCTCTGGCGAACTTGGCGGCCTGATGCTTGATGATAGCTTCCTGCTCGATGAACTTTTGCTCGGCATTCCTGAGCTCGGCGGCCTGATGATTGGTGACTACTTCTAGCTGGACGCACTTCTGCTCGGCATTCTCGAGCCTGGCCTCAAGCTCGCTGATGTAGGTGTCGTATTTCTCAGTGTCATGAGTGCAAAGAGCTTTCTCATTACTAAACCTGCCGAGAAAGCTGGATAGTTTCCATCGCGAGTCTCCGCTGACCAAGCTCAATTGCTCTTTCAACTTCTTGTTCTCGTGCTCGAGATCTGTTGCCTGGTTGGATTTGTCCGTGATGACATTCCGATAGGACTCTAGCATCTCTTGCAGCTGCTCAATACTGACGTAGCTCTCATCGCTTGCTCCTTCGGACTGACCAGCATGGTCCTCGGCGCACTGCTGCTCGAAGTGATGGGGCATAGTAGCTGCGATCAAGAATGTCTGAAAAAGAAATGGTAAGTGAATGCGTACATTGAATCAGAGATATTACCATACCTAGATCAAGTCGTAAAACTGGTCCCTGGCAAAAATCTCAGTGGTGGCTTCTTCTTTCGGAATGGAGGTAGAGGAAGGGATGTGGGAAGAGGTGTGGGGAGAGGAAGAGGTGATGGAAGAGGTGTGAAGTAGGGAGATTATTGTCAGGGTTGCTTGAGGCCCAGCTTTTTGACCATGAAAAGGAAAACGCACTAACATTCCAAAGCACATCTGTAGGAAGGTGCTCTTTTGCCCGCAGCTTGTGGAGTGGTTCAATGGTACCAGGGTAAACAAATCCGTTTGCTTGCTGCCACGTTGCTTAACACGGGTAGCCTTCCAAGTTTCCTCAAACCGAGCAAACAACCCCTGTGCGACCACCACAGGACTCTTTTACTCACCAGGCTTTTTTTGTCCTTTTCTCTTGAACAATGAATCCAGCCAGCCTTTACAACAGGCAATCGCCAGAATGTCAAGCGCCAACAACAAAACTTCGGACGACCCTGGCGATAACACCATCACCATTGGGATCGACTTTGGCACTACCTACTCAGGAGTCGCGTACACTTGGTCGAAGAAGTTAGCTCGAATTGAGATTATCACGAGCTGGGATTCCGACCTTCACTCCAATGCCGACCTGGAGAAAGCCCCAACCGCCATTTCTCTAGACTCGGACAAACATGTACTGTGGGGCTATTCCATTCCCCACGAGTTTGGGCAGATCCGCTGGTTCAAGCTTCTTTTGATCGACAAGAATGATCTCCCTAATGACGTTCAGAATTCTCCCAAGATCGCGGAAGCAGTCGCGTATTTGGAGAAGCATAACAAGTCCGCAATCGACATCGTCAGCCTTTACCTTCGCCATATCTGGAACCATGCCACCCAGCGAATCATGGAGACTATCAGCAAAGACATGGTATGCTCTTCGAAACTCGAAATCGTCATCACGCTGCCAGCCATTTGGCCTGCCTATGCAGTCGGACGCATGAGACAAGCCGCTAGAATTGCTGGTATGCTTGGGGATCGGGATCCTGGTCCGACCATTCTCACGTTCGTTTCGGAGCCGGAGGCGGCTGCGCTCGCGACTCTCTCCGATATGCAGGGCCGTCATGACATCAAGATAGCGTTGCACCATTCTGTTATCTACAGAATCAATTACTTACTCTGGCGGTTCAACTTCTAGGCTGGTGACAGTTTCGTCGTGGTTGATTGTGGTGGAGGAACGGTGGATCTTATCAGTTATGATATGGTTAGCCTTTCCCCAGCGACGGTCAAAGAATGTGTCAAGGGTCAGGGTACGTGACTACCACTAAATAATTACCAATTGTAACATTTCTAACAAGATTATCGTCTTCATATAGGTGGACTTTGCGGCGCTGTCTTTGTTGACGAGGCCTTCACCGATATCCTCAAGCGCAAATTTGGCAAAAACAAATGGCGGAAGCTTGGGGATGACGCACGCCACCGTATTCAGCATGACGAATGGGAGAATGGGATCAAAACTCAGTTTGACGGTTCATACAGGGAGTGGAAGTTCACCATGCCCTGGGAGTGTCTTGAACATGTTGACCTCAAGTCTGGTACCCTTATCCCCAAGATCGTGATTACTTCAGATGAGATTCAGCGTGCTTTCGATCCTGTCCTAGACAAGATATTTGTCATGGTTCAAGAGCAGGTGGCCGCGGTGACTCGGAAGAAGGGACATGGTCCAAAGGTAAGTACAGGCTACACTTTCTGTATTGAAGAGGCTAACGCGCCACGCAGTATGTCATTCTTGTTGGTGGCTTTGGGCGTTCAAGATATCTCTTTTCTTATCTTAAGAAGAAGCTTGGAGATGAGATTGAGATACTTCAATCTCGCGGCGCCAGCCCGTAGGTTTCCCATTGTTCTTGTTGGCATGACTCGGTTTGCTGACAATTCTGTGTTCATAGCTGGACCGCCATCTGCCGCGGAGCTGTAATACAAAGCATTAGCTCCAAAGGCCTTTCGAATCTGTCTATTGATGTCCAGGGGCGGATCTCCAGAGCCAGCTATGGTGTTCGTTACTCTGCCACCTGGGACCCCAAAGTCCATGATGCATCTCTGAGGTACTTTTGCCACTACGACGCCGGGTGGAGAGCGAAGGACCAGATGTGCTGGTATTTGAATCAGGTAAGCGTTACCTGTTCCATTAATGTGATTGTTTTAGAGCTGACCTATAGAAGGGCGACCTCGTGAATTCAGACAAACGTGTCACAAGTTACTACCTACGTCATTTTGACACAAACGACGACCAGAAACAAACCATTGTGGAGGCTATCTACTGCACAACTGCCTCACAGCCACCCAAAGTCTGGAATGATCAAGTCAAGACGCTCTGCACGGTGAAGTGGGAAACGAAGATCGACCTGACCACCCTTCCAACATTCACCAACCCCGTGGGAAAGGTTATCTACGTCCTCAAGTACGATATCGAGATGACGGTTGCTGGGGGTATTCTGGACTTTGCTGTTTACCGCGATGGCGTTCGGCAGGGAGGAAAGAGTGTCATGATCGAGTATGAGAATGCCTAAGCCTAATCTTGGGTGTTGTACCCAATCATAGGGATGGCCATGTACAACCATAGCACTTCTGGTATCGGCATTTGGCACTGTGTGGGGTAATTTTATCAAGAGGGTGGGGATTTGTCATTCGGTCATGATGACCTGATGGGTTTAGTGCTTTAGAAGCCCGAGATAGTACTCAACCAACGAAATCACCTATTTCATTAGATCCCACGTAGAAAGGCTGTGGCATACGGTGGGATTTCCAATTTCAAGCCGATCAAGCGATCTTTTGAATACATAATGAAAACGATTTGTGTAAAACATATAGCTAATCTAAATCCACATGATGTATCACCCAGGGGTTACCAGACACCCAGACCACATTCATGCCGAGAAAGCAACTCTGGATGCTGGCCAGGCTGTATTACTCTTGTATGCTGCGACCTGGACACGGTGTTCTCAGGGCCGGTACAGGTTTTGGAAGCAGTATTATGTTGTTACATCTATGCTGGCTGAGTTGATGCTCATATTGGCCTTGAGTTCAAGCCGTCATGAACCGACTTTTGGGTTAGAAGCATGAGCAAGATGTATACACATTGGATTCACACAGGTCGACGACACGTACTTTGGGGACGAAGAGATCTTACGAGAGCTTCCTCGAGACCGCAGATGACACCATACCTTTGCCAGAGCCTGGGAGATTGCCCTTGGGTCATTGGAACGGACTGAAAGAAGAAAGGGTTTCAGCAAGCAGTTCCCGTGGTCACTCGGTACGTGCTCACAGACTGATTCTGGTCAATATCGGTTCAAATCCTTCAGCAAACGATCTCGTTACAGCTCTAACCGTTTTTCAGGGCAACAGGTATTCGTTTCGCACAATCATATCCCCCATTTATTTCTCTCAATGCTCTGAGCCAATGACATCCCCTTTGGATGCCAACCAAACTCGAATCGAGCCCAGACTCTCCGAGTCCTCAAATAATTCGCGAGGCAACAAAGTTGACTGGATTACCATCGATACTACGGCTGTGAGGATTTCAAAGTCTGAGATAGACCAGCCATCCTATCGCGATTGGATTGGTATGTACAGAAGGTCATGGCCCAAATAATGCGTTTGCCTCAGCTAAAGATTCTTGTCAGACAAAGAAACAGGCCTGATGATAAGGACTCACAGCGCTCTTCTCCCAGAGACCTATGAAAAGTCTGACGATGTCAGATTCCCTTGGACCTGTCCCGTAGGATCATGCCGCGCGATGTTTGAGAGTATTGTCAACTTGGTCAACCATTTCGTCGTCAGTATTCGTCGCTTCAGTTTGACTAGTGGGATAGAAGATGCTGACATCTGTAATCTGAAAGCACACCGTGCTACGAATCTGAATGATAATCTTGGCGGAACAACCACCAAGTAATACAGATGACATCAAATATCTCCGTCGCGGCTGTCAGAATGGAATCTGGAGCGCCTTTCCAGTTCGCAGCTGATCAGACCACAACGAGAGTCTGCACTCTGGCCAATGGCAAACTGAGAGTGAAGGTTGATAACGAAGAGGAGTATGCTATTGAAGCGAGGGGTGTGTTCAAGATTGATGCTGGGGTTGGAAGTAGGGTTTTTAACCGGTGTTATGAAGATGTTGTGTTGCATGTGAATGGTTTTCAGGCTTTGTGAGGGTGTTTTGTTGTGATGGTTGACAAGTAGTGTTTTGCTTTTGGGTGTGTTTGTTTTTGTTTTTGTTACTGTTCGTGATCATCTAAGGTAGGCGAAGTGTGGTTGTTATCAGGTCCGTCTTTGTTGTGGTTTTTTTTTTTTTTTTTTTTTTTTTTGCAGATGATGAAGAGACAGAAATTAATATATAAGATTATGAAATGCGGGAATAGCTGGTGGTAATTGTTGGTTTATGGGAGGATCTTGTTGAGATGCAGGGCATCAGAGAGATGGCGATGCTCTGGAGTAAGGCGTATATGTAAAGCTATCTCCCTGTTAGATTAACATGTTCAAATATTGTACACTACGCGAGTCCGTAAATCTATCATGAGAATGGAATTGTTTTTTTGCGGCTGTAACCCCCCGGAAACGTAGTTGCCCACCGTGTGGTTGGTGGTGGGGATCAGGGGTAAAAGGGGCGAAGTGGGGCGGTCTGTCAAGTAAACAAGAGTGACAAGCCATGAAGTGGAATTGGCTTATAATGCTGCATGAGTGCGGGCCAAGAAAATGTCTTGAACATATAAAAAGTAAGATATTACCTAATAAAAAGATTTTAAATCATTTCTCTTGGAGTTATGTTTAGGTTGGAGGTCATTAATCGCTTTTGTGGTGCTTCTGCGATGGAAAGAGACTTCCATCCAGGTGCGGGGCAACAACTGCAATCATCAGATGGTCGTCACCCCACCACAGCACGCGATTCAACGGCACTGAGGACAAACTGTATTTAAGAACCGGCATAGACGCGATGGCTTTGGGGAAGGTGGAACTCAATTTCGGAATCCTAAATCCAAACTGGCAATCGCAACTCTTTTGGAAACAAGCAGTTCATCTTTAACCATGCTATCCTCGCTGCAACTTGTGCCCCCAGCTGCTGTAATCCATAGCGCAGTCCGGGCAGCAGCTCCCCCACTAACACTGGCTCTCACCAGAGCCCTCACCAGCACAACACGCCGTATTGCGTCACAGGCACCAAGAGCGGTACACAACTCAACCCCCCACCTTCACCCCCGCCTTGCAATCCTGCCAACCTCGCACCACCCTCCCAAGATTCCCGGCTACCGCCGCCTCGAAACAACCAACACCCTCTCCCCCTTCTTCTCCAGCAACCAACCCCCACTGGGCGACCTCCCTTCCTCCACCTCCTCCTGGCGGCCCCCTCCGCCCTCCTCCCTCGACGAGCGCCCCGTCCTGATCATTGGCGCGGGCTCCATCGGCCGCCGAGTAGCCCTGATATGGGCCTCCAATTCCCGCCCAGTTACCCTCTACGATGTCTCCGATGACGCCCTCAAGTCGGCGACAGAATACCTTACTGATAACCTCGGCGAGTATTGCGCTGCGAGAGGTACCCACCCCGGGCATGTCTACACCACCTCCAATATCCGAGTAGCCACCACCACCGGCCGTCACGAGAGCGCACCTCCGCCATCATGTCCCGCAGAGGAAGCAGAGCTCGAGAGTGGCAGCAAGGGCCCCTGGTTGGCGATTGAGTGCCTCCCCGAGAACCTCAGTCTCAAGGTTGATGTTCTTTCGTTGGCCGAGGGCTATCTACCGCTGGATTGCATCATCTGTTCCAACAGCAGCAGTCTCATGACGTCGGAGATGATCAAGTACGGAGATAATGAACTGCAATATCCGGAGCGGTTGCTGAATACGCACTACTTCATCCCGCCGAGGAATAGGATGGTGGAGGTTATGTCTTCCTCGAAGACCAACCCCAAGATCTTCCCGTTTTTGACGGACCAGATGGAGAATGTGGGATTGAGGCCAATGGTGGTTCCACCTGGGGTGCAGAGCCCGGGGTTCATCTTCAATAGGATCTGGGCGGCGTGCAAGAGGGAGACATTGGAGGTGTTGAGTGAGGGAGTGGCAAGGCCGGAGGATGTCGATGCGTTGTTTAGGGATTTCTTCCATGCGGAGAAAGGTCCGTGTGAGAGGATGGATGAGGTTGGGTTGGATACTGTTTACAACGTTGGGAAGCATAACCTGGAGAGGAGCAGGGATTTGGGGGGTGGAGAGGCGTTGAAGTGGCTGAAGAAGACTTATTTGGATAGGGGAATGAAGGGGGAGAGGACTGGGGATGGGCTGTATACCAGGGAGGAGAGGGCGGAATTGAAAATGAAGCATAGGTTGGAGAAGTGGAAGGAGGTTGAGGAGACACAGGGAGCGTGAGGGATGGAGATAATATCAGAAACGGCAAAAAGCATGTTATTGACGATGCGCTTGCCATGAAAGTAGGGGTGATGAAAGAAGACAACGGATCTTTTTTTTTCTCGGGTCATCATCTATCCGATTGACTCCCAGATGTACAGATTCAGATTAAAAGTCTTCGAAGGACCCCTCACCAAGAGTAGATCTACTGCAGGCAGCAGCAGGACAACAGCGAATCGCATTAGTCGCATTCATGGTTCTACTGCATGTCATTTGAAAGGCGCGTTGAGCCCTTCGCGTCATGATCGTCGACGCGTATAAATTTCAGGTTGTCTGAGCCACATCGCAACGTGGTTTTGCTAATCATCATCACATCCCCAAGAAGCTCAACAAGTGCATCATGAGTTCCGAATCCAAGACCTTCCCTTTCCCAATTCCAACCTCGATCACGGGAGGTTGCCTCTGCGGCTCGGTCCGCTACCGCGTCACCTTCCCACCTGACCACGATTTCCTCCGCTTCTCACAAACCTGCCAATGCACCCAATGCCGAAAGCAAACGGGCTCTCTCTTCTTTGCTGAGCATGTCATTGCTCCAGCTTCCACCGCCTTCACCTTGACTAATAAAGAGAATCCCACCCTCAAGCATTACAGCACCAGTCCAAAGGCATACAGATGGTTTTGCTCAAACTGTGGCTCGTTTCTCTATTGGCAGCCGCTCGACAACGAGAAGGATTACATCTGCTTGGCGGTGGGGAGCATCGATCAGGTGTATCTTGTGGGTGGTGAGAATGATGAAGGTGTGCCGAAGGAGGGATATGGGCTGGCGCTTGTGGGTGGGGGAGGCGAGCATCTCTTTTGCCAGAATGAGATCAAGGGCGTGACGGATGATATTCCGCTGTTGGGCAGGAAGAGAGGGACGAGAGTTATGGATGGGGGTGAGTCGGCCTAGAGGGATATCCTTCACTCGGATGCTTGTACAGCAGCCATATTTTATGTAGTGTGATGTTAGGTTCCCTCCATGTTATTCAAGCTGGTCAGACACAAAACTATTGATTATATAAGAGCCATCCATTGCGCTTACTGTCAAACTTCTTGCTCTTTCCAAAAATCCTATCCCAATCCTTGCTCTTTCCAAAAAATGACACAACCCCACGAAGACAATGATTCGTTCGTGCCTTATTTTCAACAGGCACCTTCTTCCCTTCATTTTCCCTCTCACATCATCACTGCAATGGCGGAATATCCGACAACCTCTGCCTCCTCCGTGGCTCCGAGCCTTCTGAATGGTCATGATCGTTATCGTACCCATTGCCATACCCGTTGCTGTTATTCTCCGGCTGCGACGTCGCCTCCTCGCACTCCTTCGCGGCATTATACTTTTTGAAAGCAACCTGCACCAACAATCCGACCTCCTTCCTGTCCCTCCCAATCACCCCCACCGATAACAACGCCTCCGTCTGCTCGATCCAGTCCTGCAGCTTTCGAAACTCCGCCACTTGATGCCTCAACCTCTCCGGCAATCCCTGTCCCTTCAACAGCGCCAACACACCCGCGATCACGGTGTTCACCGCCCCCAAAACCGTAATCAGTATCGTGTGCTCGCCCGCCGACGGCCCAAGCGCAGTCAACGACGCGCCAACGATGATCTGGAAGAAATGCGAGGCATACACTATAAGATTCACAAGTCTGGAGATCATCTTCTTGTTGCGCTGGGCGCGCATGGCGGCTGCGTACATGCCCATGGCGGACTTGCGGCCCTCTTCCAGGGAGCGGCAGTCGGTTGAGCCTGGGAGTGTGGAGTTGATGCCGACGGCACGACGGAAGATTACGAGGTTCTCATCGTTTGTACGACGGATGGGGAGGCCGGCGGGTTGGCCCCAGGAAAGGTCGGTGTCGGATTTTAAGACAGTTGGGGTTGATGTCTTGGCGGGGGGATTCTTGGTGAGGCCCCTATTTCGCTCTTCAGGGGGTTGCGATGCTGATAGCGCATTGTTGGGATTTGTTGGTGCTTGGTCGGAGGTGTCTGGCTGTGCCTGGGGATTTGAGCCGGCACCTTTCAAAGGGTCATTATCTTGTGATGGCAACGGCATCTTTGATGTTGAAGGTGTGTTGTTTTGATGAGGCTGACCCAAAAGTGGGGAGGTCTCGTCGTAGTCTTGTTTATCGTCGTCGTCGACAGGGATCTCAGTGGAGCCACTTGGTTTAGACATCGTCGATGTCTAAAAGGGGTTTAGGTGGTGGGTTTCAATGCTGGGCTGGCTTTATATCACACTGTCTAGTCGGCACGTACACCGAACTCCTGTTATTTGTGGCGAAAACGTCAAACTGCAGATTCGATGATGGCTGTTGGTGACAAGAAGGAAGACGCAGGGGCTTTCTGCATGCGACATGGCGCTTTATAGAGTCCGAACGAGGCATTGGGAGAGCAGGCCAGAGGCACAACCGTGGCAGGCTGGGAGGATCGACATCTTTTTAGTCTCGGAAATGGCTGGTGTTATCAGGTTCAGCCCTACTTGGTGTTGTGCTAATTAATCTAGTTTGATGCGGCCTAGTGTCACCCGATGACATACGGCCATACAAAAGTCGTCGATAAGAGATTCAGCTACGCCTCGGGATCAGAGTCAGGAGGTGTCTGAAAGCCACCCGTGGGAAGGATTCCCGATTTGCAAGTCGGTACGGTTTTTGGCAAATGCAACCCTGAGGCGTCGGCAGACACCGTCTGCCGTCTTCGGTGTCCAATCAGCAACTACCACACTGTGTCGCATGCTGACACCTTGGTGTCTCGGGTTGCCCGAACAGATGTCTGAAGGTTTGTGCAACGACGGCTGAGATGGCTATCACAGCACCCCAAGCAGACAACCGCCGTGTTGTGTGTAGCGTCCTTCCTGGTCTGCTCTGACTTCTGGTCCAGGATCGTCATTGATATACACAGTTCATATCTTTAACAACAATATCAAGACGGCATCATGGCTGAATGCAATGCAAGTAGTATAATCCCACCCTCGACTGGTTAGATGGACATTAACCAAGACAATCTCTCCAGCGTATGCTGTTCATAACTTACGCAGACCTCAGCTTGATTTTCTATCCAAACCACACCACCCCAGTGGCATAGAGGCCAAGATGACCCAAAAATATCTTGATAAAGAGACTACGAACCTTAAAGCGCCGCCTTCCTCCCCTTGCTAAACTTCCTCCCCGCCTCTAACACCAATACCGTCTGCTGCGCGACCACCAATAACTCCATGTTCTCATCCGCAATAACCACATCGATATCCATCCTCCCCTTTTCCAACATTTTCGCCGTTGTCCGAATCAAGAACCACCCGTTTCCCCTGTTCGGATCCACCCGTTTCTTGAGCTCAACATCCAATGTCACAGTATTACTAAACGCCTCCGCCTTCATCGCATCCTTGAGCAAATTTCTCACCACCGCCGGCCTGCCCTCGTTTCTTATGTCTGCACTTTCCCAAGCCACCATCTTGGAGTGTATCCCATGTGGATCATACGCACCACCAGTGCGCATTAACATGTCCGACATACTGGGCAGTGCATCCGCCAGGAACGTCAACAGGGTGTTATCCACCCCGCCTTCGTGATCGGGAGAGTACTCCTCGTCGTCATTGTTTGCATAAAGGAATTTATACCACCCGTCATGAACCCCGTTTGTCGTGTGGCCTTGCCGTGGCGCAAGGATGAGCATCCGGTCTGTGAACGGTAAGAACTCCCCTTTTATCCTGCCCATTACCCAGTTGGGGTCTTTTTGGTTGGATTCTACTGCTTTGAAATTGGGGAGTGGGTTGGTAGGGGGGAGGAGGGTCCATTCTGAAGGTGAGGAGGGGCCGAGGGGGGTGTTGAAGTTGATGGCTGTGGCGATGGCGAGGATATTGAGATTGGAGGATTGGGTGAGGGTGGCTTGGAGGGTTGTGCTTGTTGCGCCGGTGCGGAGGGTGGTGATGGTTATGGTGGAGGCTTCGCGGGTGCAAGGGCGGAGGAATTCGAGGTGGAGTTTGAGGATGTCGGGGTGGGGGGTGTGGGCGAGATGGGTGGTGAGGGCGGAATAGATTCCGGCGGCAGTGCAGCCGCCGTGGAGGGCTGGGTGTGATGGTTAGCCTTTTGACAGGGAAGGATGGGATAAGGAGAAGAAATACTGATACCAAAGGCCCAGTCGGTGTGCCAGTCGCAGGTGTAAGTGTTGTCTGGCCCCTGGACTTTTTGAAGGTTGATTTGCTTGTGGAGTGTTTTCGCCATTTTCTGTTATGGCTTTCTTTCTTTTGAGTGATGGAAGAAAGGCCGGTCAGAACACAAATAAGCTTGTGTTTGTTTTATCACAATTTTTTTCCCCGGGGGGCCACACCACGCTTATATAGGTACTTTGTGAACTTCCGGTGTGCCTTCCCGAATTAGGACACATCTTTCCACACAACGGTCTGTTGGTAGCCTCATGTAACCTTGACCGGCCTGAAGGGTGTAACAGGATATCCCGGCCCAATAACATCCCCACATCAAATCGGTATGCAGACTTCACATGGGAAAGACGACTCTGGACCTCAGCCCTAAATTGGTTCGAGGTGGGAGCTTTTTTGGGACAAAATGTGGTGATTTGTTTACTTGCGTAGGTAAACCGACCCCTTAAAAGCCCCTGGCGTTTGCCAAGGGATCTGACAACACGGGTAAGGATGTGGGTGGTAAGTGTTTTTGACTTCAATGTCTTTGCGGTGCTGCTTGCTGGCGGTTGGAGTTTTTAGAAATGAAAAGAAGAAGTAGGATGGTTGTATGCCATTCTTTCTCGTACCTAGCTGAGCAGTGCAGTTGCTGGTGTGCAGGCTGTCCTATTGGCCTGAATACCTGTTTAAAGAGGTATCAACGACGATGAAGCGGAGATTTGAAATGTCAGGAGTCTATTCTCCGTCGTATCAAGTACGAAAACAGAAGTGGTAGAAATATACGGTCACTCCGGGGCTTTGGGAGATCAGATGGCTGTTGGAAGTCATTTTCCTCACCCACAACGGGACCTGGTAAGGTGATTGAGGGACTGAGAGGGGACGAAGAGGAATTTCACGCTATGTGTGGTGTAATTCGCCGTGGGAGTGAACTTGCATATAGGCACGTGGGCTGAAAGGTAGGCGGGTGCAAGCCCTTTAATTTTGCAAGTACAAACAAGTATGTGCTCCTCCTATCCACTTCTAACCCTCAACCCTCTTGCCGGTTACAGCCTTTTGGCAGCTCTTTATCCATCTGCAATCACCAACCCCCACGGCTTCCGACTTCCATTCAACCCACACCACCAAAAAAGTTCTCGAAGGCAGTTCTGCTGTGAAGCACTTTGTTACTCACTTTCAGCGGCGTAAGCAAACGAAGGAAAACCCGATATACGACATGGTAACATGACTAACCTGATTCTTCACAGATTGCCTGTGCCGGCCGTCCCTCAAGCAACTACACCATTGTTGATGTTCAATGGGACTTACCCATCCAGCCCGGCAACGCTTCCTCTGACACCATCTCCGTCAACGGAACAATCGAGAACGCGATGGATGAAATGGAATACCTCCATCTCGGCCAGAACCAACCCTTCCAAAACTACCTACGAGCCCTTGCTCAAGCTAACACCGCTCAATACACGGAAGACACGACGGGGTGGGACTGCGACATCGAGGGTGTCGGATGCCAAGCATGGGCTCCAGAAAAAGGTATTACTTACCTCCGTGGAGTCGAGGGCACCCCCAAAAATGGCCCTGGGCCAAACGAGTGTGAGCGTGTTAGCTGCGGGCATGGGGCTACTATTCATTGGTGCAATGAGGTACGGTGGCTACTTGATACTGGCGTTTGAGATGTCTGAGATACCTAACTGATCGATGTAGAATGGCTTTGAGAAAGAAGTCACCTGGGATGGTATTGCGGATGGGGCGGAGGATTTGAAGGGATTGTGTGGGACACATAGGCGTTGGTCAACGGTGAAGGTCAGGGTTGATTTCAAGGATAATTGGAATGTGGTCGTGGTGGAGAATGATTGCTGAAGGGGGCCCAGGGCAATCTTAAGCCTCGATGCTGGACTAAGGGTTCACAAGTTGGAGTGGAAAGGTTGCTGCGCTGGAGACATATGGGAGTCTCTTGATTATATGTCAGCCTTTTTCACCTCTCTTATAACAGGCATACAACAAAACCGTGAAAGTAAAGCTCAAGAACTCGGTATTCCTCATTTCATCGCCAGGATGACGCAGCGACGGCCATCATCAAGTCTCTACCTACTACCCCTCCAGCCAAGCTATCCCTTTGAGATATGAAAGCCGACTTTCATGTTCCGGGTGACCCCAGCCGAATGTTCCCGCCACTTCTCTAGCAAGGATCACGGCGGACGATGACGTTCCATTTGCTCTTGTAGAAAGCCTGACCCTTGACGTCCTTCAACGAACTGCCCGACCTGCAGTTATCAACTATCACCTGGGCTCCGTCGGCAATCTTCCCCCAAGTAATCTCCTTGGCAGCGTTATTCTGTTCAAATTAGCTCTCCACTCATTGAGGGGTAATTGAGTGAACCGGGAAGGGACGTACATCATTGCACCACCAGATAGCAGCATTGTGGCTGCAGCTGACACGACCGCAGTTGCCCGGCCCGGGCCCGTTCTTGGGCTTGGTACCGCCCTCCAACCCCCGGAGGTAGTCGATGCCCGTAAGAATGTAGGAGATGATGCAAGATGTTCCAAAGTTGCAATTGTAGCTCTCGAGCTCATCTAACGCGGCGCCGACCACGGAGCCGTCAGCCCGCGGTGAAATCTGGCTCTGAAATCTCTCGTTCCAGCCAGGATACAGGGCATCCATCTGGGCAATGGCTTGCTGGACAGTGCCAGTGACGGTGACAGTGCCGTTGCTGGCATCTCCGGGGGTGATGGGCATGTCCCATTGGAGTTCGACGATGGTGTAATTGGTCGCGGGGTCTGCATCTGCACAGGCAAGCTGTGGAGATGTTAGCAAGGCTGTTACATGTCCTTAAGAAGAGCGTGTAGCAGGGGACTAACGCCAGCGAAGCTGAGCAGCAAGCTGCCGCAAAGGAAGGTGATGAGATTTGTCAACATTGTGGGTTGTGGTATGGATGGGCGGCGTGAGTATAGACTGGTTGATGTGGAAAGTGGTTGATGGGAGAGGAAGAGTTATGTGGTAATAGAGGACCTAGGTGCCTTATATACCTACCTATCCATTGATAGATAATTACACCAGGTGCCTTCCAAGCCCCCACCGCCTTGTGGCTGCCGAAGAGCAGGATAAGAGTCACATAAAGACGGAGTCGTTCTTGCTGAAGACGAGTCGGGACGAGTTGACGCCTGAATGGGTATAACCAATGATCTTGCCACAAAGACACCATCTCATTTCCCAGGCCTAGGTGGATGACGCTTTTTCGGCAATCAGCCTTCTTTTTACTCGGTCTCGTGTACTGAAATATCAGTCTCCTGACTTCTTGAAATTCCACTAACCAATCAAGCGGTCAGTCTATTTGCTCTGAGTTGCTCTGTGGGCAGCTGGCAACGATCGGAGCGATAGTCAGGTAGCTAAGGAGAGATATCCACTAAACTGCTGCTCTCGCACAGATTGGGCACAGATTCCTGTCTACGTACATCTTGTTGATCAATTGTTTCCGACTTCACAGAAAATTCTTTTCATTACGAATTACCATCTATCAACAACTCCTCGTGCCTACCGATAATCAAACTGGGCATCAAATAATTTCGCTCGCCTTCTTCTCAATATGCGGCTCCGACCCATCATCGCTAGTACAGTAACTCTTCTTGGAGCTTTCCTTGAAAACAGGCACATCAGGAATTTCCTCCTGATCCCTTCGCCCCTTCAACTCCACCGGCTCATCCTCATCCAGCTTCTCCTCCGAGATCATCTTTGGGTTGAACGCCAGTGCTCCCTTGGGGACAAATGTCGCCGCGAACACCAAGACACTGATGATTGTCATCTGCATACCAGCAGTGAACATCAGCCCCTCACGAATGTTACCCCCGTCTGTCCCTCCGGACTCATTGTACACTCGATCTAGATACCGCCCAAGCAAGGTGCCCGAGATGGCGTATGTGACGATATAGAACGAGTACAAGAACGCCATGACGGCGCCGAGGGCTGAGACGTTCTTGTTCTTGGACTCTAGCCGAGAGAGGGACGCCTGAATATACGCAGCAAGCGACACATCACCAGCTGCCCAGCCAAACGAGATGGGGGCAAACGTCGCCGCCACGATCCATGCCTGCCCAACATCATCGACCGGTGGCCTCCAGAACGGGATGTACCAGACGATCAACAACATGATGGCGTCCAATCGAAGCCATGGCATGGGTGTCTGGATGGTATTCGTAAGGAGCAACACAGCCAACGCACCCAACAGTTCACCCAAGTTGGAACCGCCGACCATAATCTGCGACCAGGCCGAGTGCCCGAGATAGCGTCTAGCAACCTGGGGTGCGATGCCGTTCTCGAGATATCGATGTGCGTAAAGAGCGACGGCATAGCCTGGGACCAACCAGATGAACTTCCGCGAGGTGAAGAGGATTCTGCCGCCGATCCAGATAGACTCGCCGAACAGATATAGGCCACGGAATGCCGCCTTCCAGTAGGCCGGCTTCTCGTGTTGGTGGAGGGTCGACTTTCGCCGCTTGAAATCCAGCTCACTGATGAAGAACCAAATGGTGGCGCAAAATGTGAAGCAGACGGGTGTGACAATGAATGCCTTGTTGTTGCCGAGTTGAGGGATAATGACCAGTGCTGTGATAAAGGCACCTGCTGTACCTGTGATTTCGTAGAAGATGTGGACCTGAAGAGGTTTCAGCTTTTGTGTCCCAACAGAGATGGTAGGAGAGGCTAACAATGGAGTCCATCTTTCTCAGCTTTTGCACATGGCCGCCGACGATATCTCTTGGGATGACTCTTCGAATCAGTTCCACCATGCCATAGGCAATACCACTGATGCAGTAGACTGGGATCATGGCATCGGTGTTGTAGCTAGCCATTGTCAGTGTGGGCTAGGTCACCGTTGGAAGTCATGTCAAAACTCACTCCCCGTAGTATGACCAGTCATTTATAGGGTGGTTCTCTCGGTCTGGACATCCTCTAGTCAGTCAACTGTGCTGATTCACGATCTGGAAAGCAGAGCACTCACAAGCAGCTGGCATAAAAGTTCCACCCGTTGCAGCGTCGATGATGAGGAGCAACGCCGAGCAAAGTCCAAACACTAACACAGCGCAGGCAAGGACATTCTTGGTCGGGTATCTCTTCACCAATGGACCGATGAGAATACTACCAATACATTGGCAAGCCTGATTCAACCCCGTCAGAAGACCGACACGCTCGAAGGTTCGGCTTGGCCGTCCACTCTGTATTGATTCGTAGTCGTATCGATTGGTAGCCAACGCCACTACTGAACCGTTGAAGGCCTCGAGCCCGAACTTGTAGATCATAATGCCGGCAATGTAGATGGCGATGTTGCGGCGTTCTTGTGGGGTGAAGGCCCGGAGACCATCTTTGAGATCGGCAACATAGCCCATGATGGCGATATCTGCCGCCGTGCAGTCACCGTCAAAAACAAGAGGATGATTAAAGAGAACAAAGATTTGGTCCATGCAAGGCATGGAACGGGGAAGGGTCCCTCCACGTGGTTATAGTCCAGGATTGGGGGGCAAGAGCAACTTATTTTGCTGCGTGGGGATGCAACCACCCCCAAATCCGATGCCGCAAGCACCCGAGGGGGCGGGCCCCGGCCCCTGGGCTAAACGAATGGAAGGTAGAGATCGATAGTGGCTCGTTTTGTGAGCCTCAAGGGTGCCTGATGCAGGAGCGAGCAGGGGTAGAAAGTCAAGTTACCTTCATGTTTCCACCTCAAAATACCATGTCGTATGTCGTGCGATGATATGCTGACACTCCAGCCGCAGTCCTACATCTTGTCATGACGGCAGAGCAAAGGAGGTGGTTGTGTAGCTGTGTCTGCAGGACGACAGCAGTCTCACACCGACAGAGAGTGTCTCAAATATCAGGATGCCCCAGGTATGTTTGAACAGAATGTGTCCCATCCGGGACCGACAGGGTGGTCTGGCATGATGTCTCTGATCCGCTATGATCGCCGTCGCTGCGTCGCAGTCCAGGTTTGCGGTGGTTCTGTTGGTGTGTGGGGTGGCGGGCAGGAGGTGAAGAGGGTGGAGGTCGCATCCCAACCCCAATCATCAATGACATGAAGAAAGAGGGTCGCAGTTTGTCAGCGCGTGTGTGGTGTGGATTAATGCCGTGTTTGAAGTGGATGGTCGACGTTGATTTAGAGCCAGACGGTCCAACACGTGGTCTTGGCATCGATGTCGGCCAAGACCACCTCTCATCTCGACACGACCAAAAGAAGAAGCAACGCGCATGGTCTTGTGCAACACCGCGCCAGACCCCGACGTTATAGCGAAGGGTCCACTTTGGTTCTGGTCGGGATAGCAAAAAAAAGCCTGGTTGCGGACCGGGGCGCACAACCACCACCAGAGAGCCGTGGGCCGTTGCGCCTTGCTCATTCGTCATACAAACATCGCCCACGTCTGCCCCACACGTGTGATGGTAAGTGTGATATTACCCTAATCCGTCCCTCGGAAGTCGTTGTCGGCCCATACTTACATGGAATAGCGCGTGCCGACTTGCTTTTGTTGTCCTCGACGCCCTCATGTCGGGACCATCATGAACCCTGTTGCATTGCACAGGTGTTCCTTCTTCTGTCTCAGCCAGGTCCCCATTGTCTTGAGCCTCTGAAAGCCGGCTCCCCCACGCTTCCCTTCCCTTGGGACTTCAACTGTCACGAAACTCCAACTTTGCCTCAAATTTGTTTGACATACAAATCTTCTCCCGTTGGTTATCACTTTCTCTCCGTGGGCTGGATACCATGACCGCCGATGCTGAGGAGCTCTTGATCCGGCCATTCCGGGATGTCGTTGCAGTCGGGACTGCCGCAGTGACCAATGCCGCTTCTCTCGGTCCACACCGTGCTGACGATGCCGATCGCATGTCAAGGGCCGCACAGGCCCTTGTTCGAGAGGGGGAACGAGCACTTAAGAAGCTGCAGCCAGTCTGGGACGACCAGGTACAAAAGCTGGGGGATATCTTCAAGAGAATGATTACACAACAAGGTATCGTGCGGCCGCTGCTCAACACATCTACTTCTCGCTGTACCATCCAGAAGCTCATCTCAGCCCTTATCTAGCTTCTATCGAGAAACGACGTTTGATCCTGGAGGAGCTCCTCTGGGACTTTGACGATGTCACCCATCCGGATGAGTTTGATATTGAGCGGTACTCAGCTCTTCAAACTGCTACCAAAGCCCTCGCCCTAGACATTGTCGAAACTGCAAAAAGGCTGAAGCCCATCATGGAAACTGCACCAGAGATACCAGAAGGGGGATTCCCACCATTACCACCGCTTCCTACCCACCGCTCCCGACCCTGCTCTACTTCTTCTTCTCGACCAAGGGCTCATTCAAAACAGGAGGCAAACAGTAGCTGTGGTGGACGACACGGCGCCGAGCTAACACCACCGGACTCTCCCAACTGTGCCACCCCAATAGCCCAGTTTCAGGAATTCAACATCGATTCCTCTGTCAAACGCGCCAGTCTCACATCTGACTCCTTTCCTAGTCCTAGCACTGTTCGAACAGCACCTTCTCTTCTTTCCAAGAGCAGCAGTCTGACATCTTCATCCGCCCTCTTAGCCACGCCCGAGTCCGCGTTCAACCAGCCCGAAGCAACACCGAACAAAGTGAACTTCCACGAAGCTGTCATGACGCTCCTTCCACCACCAGCGTTGGGCACCGGTGATGAGGACGACCTCGAAACCAGTTCTACGACCAGCAAGAGAAGACAAGGGAGCGTCCTGACTGAACACCGAAAGTCCAGCCGGGCTAACCCTCGTTCTGAAGATTGCAATATCGGCTCTGACAGCACATATCACAAGCTAAAGGGACTTTGCAAAGGAGCAGTCAGATTTCGGAAGGACGGCCATTGGGGCAGCATCAAGATGACAACGGAATATGGCGGTGGCGGCGGTGGAGCGGGTGATATGATGAGAGCGTCTGATGCTATCGTGCCACTACAATACGAGGTGACCAAGGTGGCGGGATGTGCTGAGTGCGGGTATGCACACGATCTGGAGGCGGTTGAGTTGGACAAGAGCCGGAAGCGTGAGTACTTTCGTGACCCCTGAGCCCCTGAACATCGTACAAGGCCGAGGAATCTGGCCGCTAACCATTATTCTTGACACACAATAGCTGAGGGAATCATCATCTCTGAATTCGGACCTCGATATCGATTACGACTCCTCTTCAAATCGCACCTCGGCAAGGGCGCCTCAGGTGGAAGCGCAGACGATTACTATGCTTGTCTCTGGTGTGTCAGCGCAGCTGTCACAGTCCGGGAAAGCGATGCAACAGTCTTTCGGTCAGCGGATGACCTCCTGCAGCATCTCTCCCGACACCCACAACCATTACCACAGATACCTGGCGTGGCAGTTTGCTATGGACCAAATCCAGAACAAGCGGAGTTCGACCTTCACTTGCCCGACGGCTCCGTCCCAGTGCCCATACCGGACAACGTCACCAGGTTAGCAACAGCGATCGCAACCAAAGACCACTTCCGACGTCATGGGCGGGGGAAGTTGGAGAAGCCTCCGAGGTACGATGGAGAAATGCTCGAGTTTATGGAAGGGGCGAGGATCATGGGGGTGATGTTTCCTGAGAAGTGGGAGGGGAAGTGGTGTCTAGGGAGACACGATGGGATGTTTGGGGCTTTCCCGTCCAAGGTTATTGAGCTTCGAGCGCCACAAGAAAGTGAGGTTCCAGTGGGCGGGGAGAGCGGCATGAATGTCTCTACACGGTGGAAATGGACACCTCCCAAGTCCGGGGGTGTGCCTTGGGTAGCGTTTGGGAAGGGGGAGGTGATCACGAATGTTCAATGTAAGTTGAAAGGGTCCATCGGCTTTGAGACATTTCGCTAATGCTTCGACAGGTCTCTATGCGGATTACTGGTGCTGGTATGGGACAAATAGTAAGGGGAAGACAGGGGTGTTTCCGCAGTCTCATGTCGACTTGCAGACTCTGAAAGCGCAAGAGTCAGCTGCGCCAAGACGTCCAAGCAGAGGGTTGAGTTTGTTTGGGAGGTAGGAGATCTCTTCTAGGCGGCAGTCTGTCCTACAATTGACACTGTTACTATTCCCTCATCACCGCATTCGGTATTCAGGGTTCAGTCCCAGCATCGCCGACTAGCATGGTTGTCTCAATGGTAAATTTGCCCCAAAAGCTTTTCAAGACTTTGAAGAGCATCTCGAACCTTTCCGTGCTTTTCCCTCTCCACCGGGGACATTGCTTCCTCGTCCTCGCCCTCCAGGAGTTCTATTTGCAACATGGTAAAAACATGCTGAGCGCCAAGAGGCTGGCCATCAGTACACGCATAGGCAACTGCCGTTCTGAGAGTATCTTTGATAGCCCGGCCCTAGACAGCACGCACCAAGCAAAGAGCGGTCATATCCCGGCATCAGTTCGACGCACATTCATATTCAGCTGGCCAAGAATCTGGTAAACCTCTTCGGTCCACGATTCATCCACCGTCAGATGCTTGTTCACTCTAATGAGCTCTTTCCAAATTGCTGCTTGCGCCTCCTCGGTAAGTGGCGGGTATGAAATGGTGACATGGATTCGGCTTTTGAAGGCCTCGTCAAAATCTTGCTTTCGGTTGGTTGTTAGAAATAAGGTGCCTTAAAAGTACTCGAATTTTCTGTGACAAGGGCGGTGATACAGGGCTTGGAACAAATAGTTCAATTCCAGTAATAATCTTCAATGGCCTCGAAGTCCATGATAAAGGAAAACTCAGAGTAATACAGTGATCCTGAACGCGTATTTTCTCTCTCGTCAAATGGTCCGTGCCTTCCGTGCCTCAGGCCTCTGCCAAGTCCTTCAATATCTCTCTAGGCCAATAGGATTCCTTTGATACCCGCTTTGCCTCTGATTGCCTGCCTCACTTTCGACGAGAGGCTCACGACTTGCAGTTACCCCTCCTTACGGTGATATTGGCAGTGTTGTTGGTCGTGGTCGCGGGTGGTTGGCCTTTGCCGTGTGACACTGAAAGCCCCTTTTCTTAGCGTCAGATTGTAGACTCCCAAATGCTATCTCCTACCTAGTACTCTTTTAGAATAGCTTACATGTGCGTACAACTGTTTAGACAATACGATCGTCTTTCAGTGAGCTTAGACTTACGCCAATGCATGCTAGCGATTGCCATTGCCCAGAAAAACGGAGTGTTTAACCAGAGATAAAAGGGGCTGTTGAGGAGTGATCCAATCAAGGCACCGGGGTATCTTGGGGTGAATGATTGACCTGTAGGTGCCTGTGTTTCTTATTCTGTTATTGCTAACGCTAACGAATGGGCTTTGAAAATGTGACAAGGGCTGTAATATCAGGGCTTGGAACTCATGGTTCAATTCAGGCTAATAATCTTCAATGGCCTCGAAGAGCGTGATACTGAAAGTGAAGAAGGAAAATACAGTCTTGATGATCTGTTACAACCCTGGTGCAGGGCGGGTTGTGGGGCTACGGGAGCAAGGGCCAATCGGGAGAACGTATAGGAGAGCCAATCACAGTAAAGGACGACTGATCAGTGTGCTCAGGGCACTGAGCACAGTGAGCAGAGGTGATCAGTGGCCTTGGGAGACTGATCATGGCTTGGCACGAGGTCTATATATACGGAGGAACTGGCTGGTGTAGATAGACAGTTCCGCAGTATGCAATACAAGTCACAATCGTTAGTATCTAGACTGTTGTGATTGAGACAAGCCATTTGTTGTACACTGTTTAGCTGTACCGAACCAGGATTGTTCAGAAGTGCCTTCAACCAGTATCCCTTTCAGAGGTTCTGGATAGGGGTTCGTCACATGATCCTGAACGCGTATTTTATCCTTCCTTGCGTGGCCCGTGCCCTTGTTGGCCTCAGGCCATCGCCAAGTCCTCCAATATCCTACTGGGCCAGTGGGCTTCCTTTGATAACCGCCTTGCCTCTGATTGTCTGCCTCACTCTTGACGAGAGGCTCACGACGTGCAGCTTCCCCTCCTTAAGGTGATATTTGGCGTTGTTGTTGGTCATGGTTGTTGGTGGTTGGTGGTTGGCATTTGCCGTGTGACAGAAAACAGTACGTGAGCCTTTAATGAAGGACTGATGGGTTAGCCTTGGTGGTTTCAATGTTTGTTGCCCATTCATCAGCATTGTTTGCCCCTAACCCCCCTGTTTTCATTCTCATGGGTTTTTTATGTCATGCCTGAGCCGTCTGCCAGCGCTTGAGGGGGCTCTAAAATGCTGATTGGGGAGCATATGCAGGAAGAGGAGCAAGTGCATATGTCTTGATCCCTAATAATGCATCAATTGGGCCAGCCCAACCGCTCCACGCCTGCACAATCACTTCAGGGACAGTGCCCAGCTTACAAGTTTTGGTCACATCAGCCCCCCTTTCCGTTCGGTTGGCCATTAACGGCCACGGTCTGCCGCTCTCGGGCGCAGAAGCTGAAGAAACGCACGGCACATTGCATGACTAATACACGTTCCAGCAAATGGCTTCAAAGAGCACAACACTACCAAAGTCCACCATAAGTCTTGTCGCTACAAACTAGGGCAATGTCGGAAATGCAGCGACCACATCGATCAAGCTTACAAACGCGCTGCAGAAATACCGCTAACTAACAAATATCTTAAACCGGCTACCTTTTTACTGGGTAGTAAGGTAGCTAATAAGTCGCATTACCTAACCGCTATTATGCAGTACTAATTTCCACATCTTTTTAAAGCAGTAGCGCATGTAGTGCGCTGTCGCTATAGGCATACTATAACAACTTATTGGGCATTAACCCAAGACTTATCGGTTCCGTCCCTTAAGCCTATGGATCCAATATCCTACACTGTACGCATCCTTCTAGTACACTCTCCGAACCAGCCGAACTTTTGCTCCTAAGAATCTCTGCCGATTCACAACATAAGGACTAAGCTCCTCTGTGATCATGTTCGTCCCTGTTTCTGGCCCCAGCTCCGGCCGGTCCCTGAAGGCTGCATCACTGTATATTATCCTCCGACTCAAGACCCCTGGATCCGAATGGAGTTTCTTCCCTAAGGATCAGCCTTTGCCTTTGCAAAAAAGACTTTGCGACTGATCGTTCTTCCACCTTGGCACTTCGTGCTCAACCATCTTCCTTGACAACTTGTGTTGAGTAGAGACACTGACACTTCTTGTGCGGCCTTTGGCTGCACCGATTCACGGCTACTCACTGTTCAACCTTCAGAGGATGCCTCTCAGGCGACGCGTACGGGAATCGTAACAGGGAGGCGCGCGAGTCCATATTATCTTAGCTTGCGCGAGACGGAATCAGGACTGAGACTGATCGTCATGATGTGGAACAGATCAATTTTTGGCTGTCTCAGCAAGACCCCTGCGTCCGCCTGCGGACCAGTTCTAGCACTTGCTGTCATATACGGCATCATCAATCAAGGACCCACATTTGCTGGTCGGAAAATGACCAGCAAATGTGGGGCTATGCTGTCGCCTCTTGTCAAACAACGGTATGGGGTTCAGACTTGGTCAATTGGTTGGTTGTCTTGGGGAGAAAGGTGCAGGTGGCTGGCCGCTTTCGAACCTGGATACCTGAGTCTCACTGCCAAGATATTAATTCCTTAACAGTTGGTCTCACTGGCTAATTTAACACCTCTAATCCATCTCCCAAACCCCGCATTCGTAGGGAACGCCAGTTCCTCGTTTCACATCTCAGATAACCCACTCAGCTCCACATCTCAGATAACCCACTCAGCTCCACACCAACGTCCGGTTAGACATGTCGGTACACCGGATCGGCTTCACAGAACTTTCTGGCAGTCATGGCGCCAGGGACGGACTGTACCGGGTCAAGTATGCGATCAATTCCGATGCGGGGACCCGTGACTGACGCGAAGCAGCATCATCTTTGTGCACGGCTTGCGAGGGCATCCGCAACACACATGGGAGGACAACCGGGGCAGGGGCAGTGTGCACAGGGGCAGCGTGGAGAGAGGCAACAAGAACGCGGGAACGGCGACGTCACGTAAACGAAGTATCTTGAAGTCCCTCTTTAAGTCCAAACCATCGTCCTCAGCCTCAATTTCGACCACGACCTCGACTGCCGACAGTAATACGACCGAAGAGAGCCCTAACAAGCTGTTCTGGCCCGATGAGTACCTTACACAAGACATTCCCGAGGCGAGAGTATGGACATATGGTTATAATGCAGAGGTAATCGGCGGGTTGTTCCAGGCGAACAACAAGAACAGCGTGTCGCAGCACGGTCGAGACTTTGCAGTGCGCGTCGAGCGGGAGATCCCAAACGAGGTGGGTGCGCTTCAATGACTCGGATAGGAGGCTTGAACTAATGATAGCAGGACCCGATCTTATTTGTGGCGCACAGCCTTGGTGGCATTATCGTCAAAGATGTACGTCTGAACTGCTTCATACAGTAGCTAATGCTTATGTTGAGTAACAGGCGATACGCCGATCGGATGCGTGTCGTGCGCGAACGAAACTAATCGTCTTCCTTGGCACGCCTCATCGAGGGAGTGCGTTTGCAGAATGGGGCGACATCGCGTCGAATCTAGCTCTTCTAGGACTGCAAGATTCAAACAAGAAGATCATCACGACGCTGGAGGTGAATAGCGAGGTCTTGGACAATATCCACGAGGAGTTTAAGACTATCGCGGACCAGTCTCAAATTCGGATCCACTCGTTTCAGGAGGCACGGGGAATATCAGGCATGAAGGGCTTGCACAATAAGGTACTTTGCCAGCACATCTTGAACGTCCTTCTGAGTGTTAATCGTAAACTCACGGCAGGTTGTAGACGATTTCTCCTCGAAGCTCGATCTGCCGCGATCTCTCGAGACTGTCGAGAGTATCGACGCAAACCACATACAGATGGCCAGGTGTAGTGATAGGGCAGATCCACAGTACCGCGCCATTGTTGGCGTACTCCAGCAGTTTATACATCGTATGGCTCTTGATGAAACCAGCCTCCAGGAAGAACCGTCGACAGCATCCAGAGTCGAGGTTAGTATGGTAGAAACGGGAGGCGGCTCCAACATGACATTGACGAGTTAGTGTAGGAGAGCTCTGCTATAATGGACAGCAACTGTTAACCCTGCTATAGACCCTGCTACTCTGCCTTGCCACTACATTCCGCTCCCAGAGAACCGGCGCTTCGTCGGACGGAATAGGACGCTAGACACCCTCAAAGCGATGCTGTTCATGCGCAAGGAGTGGCGGAAAGCCGCCATTGTCGGCCTAGGCGGTGTCGGCAAGACCCAGGTCGCCCTACAGTTGGCATACTGGACAAAGAAACACCGGCCCGAGTTCTCCATCTTCTGGGTACCGGCATTAAGCAGCGCGACCTTTGAACAGGCCTTTGCCGCGATGGCTAGGAAACTCCCTATCCAAAGCGGCGGCGATGACGATGATCTTAAACAGTCCGTGCGGCGGTACCTGAGCTCCGAGGCGGCCGGGCCATGGCTTCTCGTGGTGGACAACGTGGATGATAGCGATATTTTCTTTGGCTCTGCAGGTATGCCGGGCAGCATTAGCGAGTACCTTCCTGAAAGCGACGATGGCCTCACCCTGTTCACAACACGGTCTCGAGAAGTAGCTGTGTCGGTTGCTGGGAGCGATGTAATTCGACCTGTACGAGATGGACCCGCTGGAGGCGGCTGAGTTCTTGGAGAAGTCGCTAATCTACAAGGATATGCTTCACGATGAAGAGGCGGCAGCAGAGCTGCTAAAGGAGCTTACCTACCTTCCCCTAGCGATTACACAAGCGGCGGCCTATATTAATATAAAACAGGTACCCCTTGCCGAGTATGTCGAGTTGCTGCACGGCACTCAGCAGGACATCATCGGCCTGATGAGCAAAGAGTTTCGGGACAAAACTCGGTACCCAGGGTCGCAAAATGCGGTGGCGACAACGTGGCTCGTATCGTTCGGCCAGATCCGCAAGTCCGACAACGCTGCCGCCGATCTGCTATCGTTTATCTCGTGCATCGAGCCCAAAGGAATACCTCAGTCGCTGTTCCCCAGCTCCGAGTCGACTGAGCAGCTGGTCGATGCAATCGGGACGTTATGCGCGTACGCCTTTCTAACCAGGCGGGGGGACAGCAAGGTATTCGACATGCACAGTCTAGTACATTTGGCAACGCGAATCTGGGCTCAGCGAGAAGGCCTGACGGCAACGACGGAGGAAAAGGCGACTCGACATCTTGCAACAGTTTTCCCATCTGACGACTACGCAAATCGCAATGTATGGAGAGAGTACCTTCCGCATGGTCTCAGGGTATTGCAGCACAGCAAAGAGCTTGATATTAAGGAGAGGTCCGATCTGTTGTTCTGGATTGGACGGTGCTTGAGAGCGGATGGACGGATCAAGGAATCTGCTAAGAGTTTGGAAGAGGCTTGCCAATGGAGGATTCGTCATTTCGCCAAAGACCACCCCTCCCGGCTCGCGTCGCAGCACACACTAGCAATAGCCTACCAAGCTAACGGCCAAGTCCAAGAGGCCATAGAGCTACTCGAGCAGGTCGTCGCTATTCAAGCCAAAACCCTCACTCAAGAGCACCCCGACCGGCTCGCGTCACAGCACGAACTCGCAAGAGCCTACCAAGCTAACGGCCAAGTCCAAGAGGCCGTAGAGCTACTCGAGCAGGTCGTCGCCATTAAAGCCAAAACCCTCACCCAAGAGCACCCCTCCCGGCTCGCGTCACAGCACGAACTCGCAAGAGCCTACCAAGCCAACGGCCAAGTCCAAGAGGCCGTAGAGCTACTCGAGCAGGTCGTCGCCATTAAAGCCAAAACCCTCACTCAAGAGCACCCCGACCGGCTCGCGTCACAGCACGAACTCGCAAGAGCCTACCAAGCCAACGGCCAAGTCCAAGAGGCCGTAGAGCTACTCGAGCAGGTCGTCGCCATTAAAGCCAAAACCCTCACTCAAGAGCACCCCTCCCGGCTCGCGTCCCAGCACGCACTAGCAATAGCCTACCAAGCCAACGGCCAAGTCC